GACCGTATACAGTCAGCATCCATATGTAGTACTATATAATGGTATGATTATCGTATCTTATACTGTATATATATATATATATGCTACCCCCCCCCCCCTCAAAGATCCACCGTTTTAGAGACTTGCAATAGACAACACAGTTCCCCTGGCATATTTTCTCGTTTCTCCTGACGAGACGTACAACCACCTGAAACATCCTGAAAAACACAAACATATCTGTAAAGTATCTAAACAAAACCTTTGGCGTACGTACCTCTTCCACTAGTCTTTCACTCAAAATCACCCTAAACCCTCGTTATGTTAAGATATAACAGCACACAACCACCTGAAGCACCCTGAAAAACAAAAATGCAACCGTAAAGTATCTAAAAAAAACTTCTGGCGGTCTCAGGGAATAGTGAAAGAGATGTTTGCTCACAGTATTCTCGCGTCCCCGTGACTTACAGCAGATGATTTTGTCGCATCACCTTATGCCTTCTCCAGTATGTGTGTTTGAAATACAAGACTTATACCCTAATTATATACATGATGTGGGCACTTCTTCTACTTTCTCTTTGCATTTTCACAGGAGGCAAGCCCTGCAAACACAGGCATAACCCTACGGGATTTGAGGTTTAGGGATTTAAGCCTCAAGCCCTCCAGGGTTACAAGGTTCTACTCCTATAGACAATGCCTATTCCTTAAACCCGAAACCTGTAAAACCCTATAGGGTCTAAACCCTACAGGGCTAACCCCGTGACGGTTTTAGAGATAAACCCTGAAAAGACTAAACCTTTCAACCCTATAGGGTTCAATGGTTTACAGACCTAAGGTCTGGGCATGTATACCTTCAGCTCCTATTGGGTTAAAGCCTTTGAGCCTTTTTGGGCCCTTTAGGGGAATAGGGTTCAGACCCTAAAGAGTTTAGGGCTAAGGTTGAAATGCCTAAACCTTAAACCTAGAAAGAGTTTAGGGCGGAGGTTTAAATGCCTAAACCTTAACCCTAAATTGGCTTAGGTTTAAATGCCTAAATCACAGGGTTATAAGGTTCTACTCCTAGGTACTACCTAAACCTCAAGCCTATAGGGTTTAAACCCTACAGGGCTAAGCCCGTGAGGGTTTTGTAGATAAACCCTGCAATAAAACTCTAAGCCTTTAAACCCTATGGGCTTTAATGGTTTACAACCCTAAGGTCTGGGCATGTAGACCTTCAGCCTTCAGCGCCTATAGGGTTGAAACCTTTGAGCCTTGTTGAGCCTTTTAGGGTTTTAGGGTTCAGGCCCCAAAAGGTTTAAATGCCTCAACCTTAAAACTCTAGGGTTTGGACTCTATGGGCTTAGGTTTTAATGCCTATAAATCTTCAACCCTAAACCTTTAAACATTGAACCTCTGTGGTTCAAAGCTTAAAGGTTAGGCTTAATTGTCGATTTATGTGCAAATGCCTACATTTTAAACCCTAAACCTTTAAACCTTAACCATATAGGGTTTAACAGTTAAGGGTTTGGGTTTTGTTGCTTAACCCGAAAGGGTTTCGGGGCTTCTCTTCGAAATCCAAAACCCTTAAACCAATAGGTGTTAGAGAATAAGCCCGCAGTGGAGCTGAGGGAAGGGGAGGGCGGGGGGGTGTTTAGGGGTCCTGGCTATGTGGAAGACCCCTGGTACCCTCCCCTTCCCCCCCCCTGTTCATAAGCAAACTTAATGCTTGTGAGCAATGAGTGAGTGAGTCGGTGGTCGAGTGAGTGTGGGTTGATGCGTCAGCGGGTCAGTGAATTTGTGGTGGTGTAAATGAGTCAGGGAATCCTACAGCCAGAGTATGGAGAGGAAATGAGTCCGCGACTCCCACATTTAAGTACGGAGTGTTGAAGATGGCGGGCTTAGGGTTCTCCTGCATTTACACTTTTAAGAATCTACGCTAAATGCGGGCAGACCCCACCAAGAACCAAGAACCAAGATCCTCAGGACTCTTGATTCTGGAATCTTGATTCCGGGGGGTGTCTGCATTTAAAACTGCATTTAGAAATTTAAGTTAAATGCAGACCACCCACAGGAACCAAGAACCAAGAACCAAGATGCCCAGGACTCTTGATTCTGGAATCTTGGTTCCCGGGGGTGGTCTGCATTTAAAACTGCATTTAAAAATTTATGTTACATGCAGACCAGCCCCAGGAACCAAGAACCAAGAACCAAGATGCCCAGGACCCTTGATTCTGGAATCTTGGTTCCCGAGGGTGGTCTGCATTTAAAACTGCATTTAAAAATTTAAGCTAAATGCAGACCACCCCCAGGAACCAAGAACCAAGAACCAAGATCCTCAGGACGCTTGATTCTGGAGTCTTGGTTCCGGGGGGTGGTCTGCATTTAAAACTGCATGAAAAAATTTAAGTTAAATGCAGACCACCCCCAGGAACCAAGAACCAAGAACCAAGATGCTCAGGACTCTTGATTCTGGAATCCTGGTTCCTGGGGCCACGCTGCATTAAAGCTGCATTTAAATATTTAAGTTAAATGCAGACCACCCCGGGAACCAAGATTCCAGAATCAAGAGTCCTGGGCATCTTGGTTCTTGGTTCTTGGTTCCTGGGGCTGGTCTGCATTTAACATAAATTTTTAAATGCAGTTTTAAATGCAGACCACCCCCGGGAACCAAGATTCCAGAATCAAGAGTCCTGGACATCTTGGTTCTTGGTTCTTGGTTCCTGTGGCTAGTCTGCATTTAGCTTAAATTTTTAAATGCAGTTTTAAATGCAGCCCAGCCCCAGGAACCAAGATTCCAGAATCAAGAGTCTTGAGGATCTTGGTTCTTGGTTCTTGGTTCCTGTGGGTGGTCTGCATTTAACTTAAATTCTCAAATGCAGTTTTAAATTCATAGGGTCGTGTCCGCATTTAACTTAAACTTTTAAATGCGGTTTAAAGTCGCGGGGCCTCGGTCAAGTAAATAAAGGTAATGGTGTCGTGTGTCGTCTATTTTCATGTGTTTGGATTTTAAAACATAGAAAAAGTAAAGTAGCACATCAACAACACCGCAACAAAACATCAACAGAGGGAAAAAAGGGAAAACAGGGTGGATCTTTGGGGGGGGGGGGGTACCATATATATATATATATATACATATACATATACATCCCGTGAGGTCTCGCCGCCCCACGCGGACGACTTGACCGAAGCCCTACTCCCTTCTGGAGCTGCTCAGCTTGGGGCCGCTCGCTTGTATTCTAGTGAACTGCACCCTGGTATGGCATGGTGTCCTGCAGAGCATCCAGAGGTGCGGTTGGAATGCAAACGCAGTGATGGGAGAAGCTTGGCTGCAGAGTCTAATTTACAGACGCTGCTGCCAGGCAGGCGTCTGAAGCTACACAGGCCAAGAAGAAAGCTAGGAAGGAGTAACCTATTGAATGCAGAGTCTGCTATGTGGGGTGCTCTTGGTACAGTTGCAGGTATTGTGAAGTCTTCCCGCAATTGCAGGTGGTAAATGTAGGAGCATGCATGACATCTCTACCAGAATCCGGAACACTGCCCGAAAAATCAACAGCCATCGTACGAACCACAATTGAACAAAGCAGAACACCCATGTCTGCGTTTCTATTGAAATACGGTGAGCCTTGAAAGACTTCTGACACAGCCTGCCGCGGCATGAGGTGCACAAGCAGAACCCTTACAGCCCTATACCTTCAACCCTAAAACTTATTCCCCAAACATCCGGCCCTAAACCCTATCAAAGCCTGGAGCTCGGCCACGAAAAGGCGACAAGGCCCACCGGGGGAGGTCCACCTGGCAGAACGCCGGGCCACAGCCTCACAAAAGACAGCAGACTTTAAAACTTTACCTTAGCAGACTAAAACAGAGTAGAGAGCAGAGTGCAGCTGAGTAGAATAGTGTATCATAGAGTACAGCAGCATTTTGTACAACGCGTATCGTATAGTAAAGTAGAATTTTCTGTGGCATGCCTTGCGCTAGGATGATTTGTGCTGTCATCGTGTTCTGAGCGTGTTCTTCACATTGGCATTCTTTCAATATCTGTGCTTGTGTAGATATAGTCCAGAAGGCCAGGCAGGGCTGATGACAGGCCATGGGATGAGTAGCTTCATGTAGCTTCTAATCGGGGCTTCTTTTCAGCTGCCAGGTCTCCACGGCGTCCTCCCTAACGGACTCCCTGACCACCGGGCTGCCTGGGCTTGCCATGGCGTAGCAGAGCCAAGCAAAGGAGTCTGATTTTGGCGAGCGCTGCCCTCAGGTACATGCCACCGAACAGCATGTGCCTTGTTGCAAGAAACTTGGGTACAAAGCTCGGCTTGACGGCTTTAAGCCTCCCGCCCAGAAATTCCCAGCCTTTCTCAACCCAAGAACTGCCTCGACTCGACTTGCAGTGTCCCGTTGCGACAGCGTCTGGGGCATTTGGCCAGAATATGCAGACATGTCCCGCGCTCCATGATTTGAAGGCCGGGCGAGGGCTTTAACTTTCCGTGGGAACCACAAAATGTGCCTTCCAAGAGTAGACTGATCTAACTCCGACCGCGTGCAGACCTGGAAGCCAGTAACACGGTCGGCAAGGTTCTAGCAAGGCTCTCGCTTCGCAGCTGTGCTCTGCAACTCTTGGTGTCCTGAACAAACGGCCAAGCCTACTTCTCAAGAGACAGCACAGGTCCCACGCTGATAAGCCCTAAGCCCCAATCTCTAAACCCTATGCCTTCTTTTGGCCTGGCCAAAGAGTCCTCGCCCTGGCACTCCATGCTGGCTTTTTCACTGTTAAACTTTAGGGCCACTGCGCAGCCCTGCCATGCGGCCTTGCTGGCCTTGCGCCGAAAGGCTGGCAGGGATCCGTGGCTGCACAGTCCGAGGCACGAGACGGACCGAAGCTTCCCCTGAGGAACACAACAGTGCAAGCACGGATGTAGTGCAAGCACGGATGTGTTTACAGCGAGCCCGCCAGTTTACACAAACGTCACGTCTTCAGGTTGGCAGGCGCCGCAAGCGGATTGGCATTCTCCAACTCCCCCCCGCCATGCCCATTAATCGTCACACTCATGCGCGCTGTGTGGCTTGTCGCGGCGCCCTCAGAAGGGAGTTGCAGGCTTTTCCAGGGCAAGCTCCATCAGCTCCGTGCGCCAAGATTGCGTAGTTTCCCACAAGCAGAGGGGGCCTGTTGGCTTGCAGAACCGCTGGAGGTTCGCAGAAGCTTTTGGGCTTCTCAAAAAGCTCTTTTGGGTTCTCAGAAGGGCTTCTTAGAAGGCCTTTCGGGGTTCCTGGAAGGCGGTGCATCTACTCAGCACTCAGATGGTGTAGATAGTGTACGGGTTCTCAGAGCATGCGGTTTCAAGCAACCAGAGGATTCCGAGGACGCTTTTACAGCAAAGGTTGGGGCTTGTCTCTGATCGGCCCAGCGCCCTGCCAGGAACTCGGTTGAAGTGACTCAATCTGCTTGGGCGAAGTTTAGGCCTTCCGGCCCGCGCCTTGGATCCCGTGGCCGGCTGAGGTCGGGCCTTAAGCGCCCCTTGTGTCGCAGTCTAACTTCCGTTGCGCCGGGGGCCCATGTATCAGCCATGATGCCCTGCGGAGGCCGCCGAATGCTTGCCAGGCCAAGACGCTTGACAACGTTTGTCGGCTTACCAAGGCTCGCGGTGCAGCAGGGGTGGTCGATGTACACTCTGCTTGGCGCCATGCCTCTCAAATCTCTCAATGAACTGCACGTTTGGGTGTGTTGGCTGCCTCGCAGGGTGAGTTGCCTCCCCGCCCATGTCTGGCCCGTGGCTTCGCCAGGGGGCTTCGCCAGGGGGCTTCGCCAGGGGGCTTCGCCAGGGTTAGTATTTGTGTTGCAACCAGGTTGGGATGGAGTGTGTGATCTTGCGCCGCTTGTCACTTTTTGAGTTTGCCGTGGAGCTCTCCGCAAAGCCGCCAGTTAGCGGCCTGGGACCATGCTTACCATCGTCGGAGCTCCTGACGCCGGAATCCTGCACTGGAAATATGCGGCTGCTGCACAGTATTTCGGGTTTAGCAAAACGCTGTAGAGCTTCCAGATTCAATGCAAAAAGCAGCTGTTGTTGTTCCTCCACAGTGTGTGTGACAGAGCATCGTCCGACGCTTCCTGCCCGTGACTCTGTCTGTCTGATCCCCAAAACTAACCCGCGGCATGGGAAAGATGCTTTTCACACAAATGCGCACTTTGGGCAAGAGATGTGCCGGCCTTTCCGTGCAAGACCGTGTTCTTCATGGTGGCGTGTTTTTGATGTGACCAAGATGTGACCCTGCCATGTCGTCTTCAGCCCGAAATTGATGTGACCAAGATGGCCCGCTGTAGGATCTGCTATGGCCAGCCTTGGCCTTCGCTCCACTGTGTCGGATGGGCCGGCTGCGTACTTAGCCGCTGAGACTTAGCCTTTGCGCCGTCGCAGTCTAACTTCCGTTACGCCAGGGGCCCATACATCAGCCACGATGCCCTGCGGAGGCCGCCGAATGCTTGCCAGGCCAAGACGCTTGACTATGCTTGTCGGCTTACCAAGGCTCGCGGCGCAGCAGGGGTGCCATGTTCACACCCTGCTCAATCACCAATGCTGGTGCACTCCAGCCTCCCAAACACTATATGAGCGCCTGCCAAAATTATGTTTCTTGAAGCCAGTACTACGGTGGACACGAGTTGTTGCGAACATCAGTAAACCATGGAAAGTGATATGGGCCCCACCTAAAGCGACAACCTTAGTTACTACATTTCAACCTGTTTTGCTTGATGTGGTCCCACAGTCCCATAGTATGTAAAGCGATATGGGCCCCACGTAAACGTGGTATCCCGCGACCTCGCACCATGTAAAGTAGTTTTGTCCGTCGCTCATATGCCGCCTGTTGCTGTCGCTCGTCTCCATAGCGCTGTGCGCCAGAAGACTTCTGGTTGTACGCCCCTTTCGTAAGCCAAGTGAGAATCCCAGGATGATCCTACGTAGCGCCACGCGCCCTTGCAAGCATCAAGAACCACATCAGGATTGTGAACTGCCTGACACGCCATGGCTCCAATGATCGCAACAAGGTCGAGTCGCCATCGAATGGATATCCACAAAAGTGATCCCACTCGCCCTGCGCCTTTAAGCATCTACCAGCGGCTTTGAGACAAGTGAATGCCCTGCTCGGACATAGATATCTGCATTCCCAGAAAAGTCAGATCATGAACCCACGGTATCTCCTCGCCCTTTGCGTCCTGGATCGGGGGACAAGTGTTCCCCGAAGGTCTCAGCGCTCCTTGGTGTTTGACCTTCCAGCATGGTCCCGCTAAGCATGCGGTTGCTTCAAGCAACTAGAGCCAGTCCGTTTCGTGCAGCTGTTGCTTTCCTATCTTTCCTTTCTTTCCTGCGAGGATCCCGCCGCTCCCGTCCCTCCCTTTCATGGGGAGTCCCACAAGCTTGGAGCCGCTCCACGATGTGCCCAGAGGCCTAGCGATCGATTCGCCGCCGGTGGTGTGGGCGTCCATGCGGGCGCTTCCGTGCCATGATGGCAGCCTGGCTCTCAGCTGCGCAGTTTCCGAAGAGAGGAGATTTGGACAGCTTTCAAACTGCACATCTTCGATGCCTCGCGCTGCGAAACTCTCCATCACAAGACTGAGACAACAGCCTTTGTGCTGTTCAAGGGTGGGACTGGCCTCATCTGGCTACCCACGTGTTTGTGCTGTAACCGAAACCCCAAAAGGTCATATACTGAATTTGCCGACAACAAGCCCACGCACTTGGCCCGTTTGGACGGCGAACGCCCTCCAGGGCCCCTTCAAACCCTGCTGCTTTTCGCCTTGAGCTTCCTCAATGAGCCCCAAGCTCATGAACCAGAATTTCCGTCCCTTTGCAACATGCTGAAGCTGTCGTTCCATTGGCCTGATGCCTTCAGGAAGCGGCGCTGCCGGCGGCGACTTTCAAGATTGGGCCAGAGGTGCCCTGCGTCTGGACACGAAGCGAATGCTGGACCTGCTGGCGCCTTCCAAGTGATGGATTCAAGGCCATTGCTACAGCAGTTGACGATTTGACTTGCTCTCTTCTTTCCAACCTGCAGAATCCTCATCGCATTGATCGCAAGGCGCGGAGCAACCAAGGACATCCAACAGTGTCCAACACTCCTGTGTACTGGTCCCGGCATCTTGTGTGCATTGCTGGCTGGCCTGGCAAAGGTGACCGCGCAGCCAGTGCGGCCGAGCGTGTTGGAGCTTAGCCTTCGGTGCTGTTGGACGCAGCAGCGTACTGTTTGGCGCGTCGCCATGCACCAATTTGCGTAGCTCTCTGGTGTATCTGGCGACGGCGCGCTGTGCCGCAAGGCATGTTGTGGCCTGACTCCTTGTGTCTTTGGGTCCTGGAGTCCTGCCCCTTCTGCCTCGTTGCCGACTGCAGTCACATGTGCGCACAGTTGGCAGCCTGTGTCATGCTGTCATGTGTTTGCCTGATCGCCCGTCTCCGGAATGCGTGTGCCATTGTGTGCCATTGTGTGCCATTGTGTGCCATTGTGTGCCATTGTGTGCCATTGTGTGCCATTGTGTTGCTGGCATTGCATGGGCAGGCATCCATGGCCTGTGCCTTCTGTGAAGGCGGGGGCGACTTCGTGCAATTCCTTGTGCCGTTGTGTTGGAGGCCGCCCTCCATGTTGCGTTTTCAGGACGGCGCAAAGCTTCACGTGCTGACCTGCTGGCGCGGCCTTCCGTGTGGTGGATGCAAGGTGGCCTTTTCCGTCCATGTCGAATCCTCATTGCATTGATCTCAAAGGCGCGAAAGAAGTACCCACGTCCAAATGATTACACCAGGCAATGCCAGGCAATCGGTGCAGGTTTTGTCAGTTGTGCACTTCTTGGTGGAGGATGGTGTCTGTCCCTAGGGGTGTAACTTGGCCCGCTCGCATCCTGCTGCATGCCCGGAGCACTTGGCGATGTTCCGTGGAAGCTTTGATGAGGCGGTCTCCCTTCCGTTGCTGCTACCACTTGACGTTGCCTGGGCAAGTTCTACTCCCTCATCACAGCTCCTTCCTGCCCTTGCCTGGTTCAGCCGCATGCTGCTGCGGCCCCAGGCCACATGCTCGGTTTCTACTCAAACGTTTGCTCCCGGGTTATGTCGCTCTGGTCGGGGAGAACGTGCCTCGTGGGTGACGTGAGCTTCCTGCGCGCGTCCATGAACCGCACCTTAAAAGCATTCCAAGCAGCATGCCGGTGCCCGGCCCCAGGGTTGCCGGCCATGGATTTCAGCGCCGCGGCAGATCTGCAGTGAATCCACGGGCTTCAAGGCTCGCTGTCTCGGCTTGCGGCGTTGAGGGGATGGTGAGGGGGTCGTTTGGATGAGAGGTCAATAAAGCAGAATCTGAAAAGTGACCTTGACGGTCCCTAGAAGTCTCAACTCTCAGCAACGTCCTTTGCGCAACAGGGTCTAGTTGTTTCTTTTGTCGCACGCCTAAACGGGCAGCTTCCTGGGTGCCAGGCCTTTCACTTCCAAGGCGTTGCCTTGAATTGCCTTTGGCACGTCCACGGCGAGGACACCGGGACTGCCATCGAGAAAGTACCCTGCTCAAGTCATGAGATGCGGCACGTGTTTGCTTTGAGCCGTCAGGAGAGGCATGCATGTATTCACTGACGGTGATGATGAACCTCAGCTTTCTCATCACGGCGTCTACGATGCCTACACGCAGAGGTGGGCAGACACTTGATGCATCTGACTACATCATGCACATTTCGCAAGCCTGAAGGAACTTGCGGTATTCACAGATGGCTCCAGTCACTATGTTTGCCGAGAAGAACACGAAGCCGCCCTGTAGCAAATAGATTTCGGCAGTTCGACATCTAGAAATTGTTGAATGAATCTTGAGGCTGACCCGAAACAGGAATGCAAAACGCATGCAAGGTGCAACTTGCCTGCTCAGATTGATATCCTGGCAACATGAAGCTCATCTTACGAGGTTTGCTCCCAGACAAGATCGCTCTCAGTCTCCCTCCATTCGCTGCATACTTCCAATGTGAGGTTTCTTTTCCCGCCAAGGGAGGTGGCTCTGCGAACAAGACCTACTAGTTCCGGCAAACAAGGCCCCACCTGTCATTCACTGGCAATTGCAAACTCATCTCTGCAGGGTTGCACAGGCGTTGCTCAACCCGAAAAAGTTGGAGGCCTTGATCGCCGAGAAACTGTCCGAGAGTCAGCTTTAGTCTTCAAATGCTCCAGTTATTGGCACTCACGCACGCCCAGGCAAACGTTAGGCACCAGCGCTTTCCCACCCTACCGCAATGCGCTGGTGATCAGAGGTACTTCTGCAGCTCGTCTTAGAGATGAGTGCGAAGATCAGTTTTTCATTGCGAAGTTGCTTCGTGCAGGGGACAGGTTTGCCCCCAAGCAAGGCCCACTCATCGTGGCACATGACATCACCCATACCAAGATCAGCGAGCGCTTGGACCAGACAGGTATTCTGCTAATTATAGTGAGTACCCGTACTTGAGCATGGCACATGGCTGTCATTTTCGCAGGACCATCTGATCACTATGCTGGCCCTGCAAGGCAAGGCGACCGCAGCTGTGTAGTTGAAGCTTTCAGCCCTATTTTTTCGGCCTCATGACTGCGCCATCTTGTTTTGTTGGAGGCCGATGCTCCTGAAACCTCAACACCCGGGCCAGGGGTCCACCGGAGCTTTGATGACTATCTCACCCACGAGGCCTTACAGCCGTGGATACACTTAGTTTCCAGGATGTGAAGGTCAGACCCGACTGATGGTAGAGCTGCTAGGTGCCTTGCTATGTCCAGCCGATGCCTGGCTACAACCGGAGCCCCCTGGCACTCTCTGGCGAGCTCGTCCGCTGGAAAGAGATGGGGCAAAGGTTGCAAGTTTGGGTTGCCGAGGACAGCTTGGGCCAAGCCCTTCGAGTCCTACTGCCTGCGACGCGGTGGATGGACAGGGGGGCGATGACAGCAACACTTTGTGCAATCTTTCACTTGGTGCAGCATCAAGCATGAAAATTGCTTCTGTTTTTGCATGTATGGAAGGGGCGTTGATGGTGCGTTCAGTCATGTTGTCGGGGCCAGAGAACAAACAAGTTCAAGGCAACTGGCTCCAGCTGTAGTCGCTAGATGCCTCATCCCGAAGTGTTTGAGCTTCCCCGACCATTGAAAAGTCAGCCGGTGGGAGTGTCAATTCCAGTACTGCGCCAGCACTACACAAAGAGCAAAGAAGGTCAACCGTTTGACAGCCCCAGCTTGCAACAGCATGAAGCAAAGCGCCGAGCCTTGAAGAAGCGATGCGAACACCTGAAAAGTGACCAGTTTTCGGAATGGCTGGTGATTTCCGAAGGATCTCTTGGACAGTGGGTGGCCCTTCTTCCGGCTTGTTGCCCGGATGACGGTGAGTGACTCAGGGGGTGAACTCCCTTCTCGAGGTCTCTCTTCATGTGGCCCTACTCTGAAACCCTATATAGGCAACCTGCAGGCAGGCGGGATTTAGGGATTGAGGCACTTTGAGGAAGAGGGTTTAGGGGGGGGTCCAGGTTTGCGTGCAGGAGCCTGGCAGCATCTGGCAGCCTTAAACTGGCTGGACACTCAAGCCCTGTGAGGTGTCATACGACGTGCGACACAGACGACATCAAGGCGGGCCGCTGCCAGCACCCTTGGGAAGACAGTTCGACCTCGCAGGTATGTGTGGCCCCCCCCGCCTTCCATGCGTGTAGCGAGTTGTCCAGAAGCTGTTTAGAAGCTGTTCAGAGTAAACCACACAAGGTGAATGAGCAGGCCAGGCTCTGCAATTCTTTCTTGCCCAAGCTCTTTCTACTGCCCTGGAGGATCAGATCCTTGAGGGCTCCGGCGATCAGGCTGGGTTTGAGGGTAGAGGCTTATGGTAAATATGGGTTTGGTCAGTTTGGTCTTTGGGGTTCCCTTGGCTTCGTGACGTTTACTGTCAAGGGGCCAAGAGGGTTTGTCCAAGGTTGAATAGCGGAATAGCGCCTTCCATGCACAGTAGTATGAAACGAAGCCCCCCAAAACTCCCTGAGCCCCCCAAACCCCCACAAACCATGAACCCAAAATCTGAATTCTCCGCCTGCCCAAGAAATGAGGGACACCTCATCCAAACCCGAAACCGAAACAACCGATGAGCCCTAAACCCTACACCCTAAACCCTACACCCTAAACCCTAAACCCGAAACCCCAAACTGATGGCTCAGGGCCCCAAAAAGTCGCAGTGAACTCCTGCAGTCTCGGCACCCAGTGCCAAAGTGCCAAAGTCATAAGAGGGTCCGGACATGTCCGGACCGAGGCCGAGGAGGTCCCCCACGTGTTCCGCGGAGTCCAATAAACATTCGTAGAAATGTTCCCAAGGAGGGGGTTTCGACGGACACAAAGTAGACATGCAAAGCAAGGTCATTCTTGATTGTTGGACATGTGGACTTGGTTCCAGTTCTGGGGCTTCGCCTTCGTCGCCGCTCTATGGCTGCAGGTTACTGGCACGGGAGCGATGGAAGGGCCTCTTGGCGCCAGGATCAGCTCTCAGGTTCTGCGCGGATGGTTACTTTCCCCCCCTCACCCAAAACACAAAAAGAGGGTACCCCTTCATAGACCCCAAAAATGCTAGAGTTCCTTTTGATAGGAGCTCCCGGAAAGGGTCACCCCCCCCCCCTCAATTTTCGGGACGGAGGGGTTGACCTACATGATAGACGAGGGTGTAGGGGCTGAAGGGCTTCTCCACTGCGCAAGTTTCAGCCGTTGCAGTAGGGCGGAGTGAAGCGTGGCGCAGCTCCCTGGTAAGGCTCAGGGCGCCCCATGACGGCCGGCAAGCTCCACTGCCTGGGGAGGCACTCGCATTGCGCTTGGAGCACCGTCGGAAGGCATAATTTCTCACTTGTCCGTGAGGATTTGGATTGTGGATGACGCAAAAGGCTCAGCCGAGTGAACACCACTCCAAGCCAAACCGAGCCAAAGAGGCTGCTTAGCGGCTGCTTGCAGTCCGCTCTGGTATGCCGCAGGCGTCAAAGTCGTGGTTTAATGTGAGAAAGCACCTGCCGGCACTGTACAGCGCGAGACTGCCCTGTTGCTTTTTGGCGCGGGATTGAACTTGGTTCTACCACGCTTGTTGTGTCATCCTCTATGAGGACGTGTGCACCCAAACACGGAGCACATGAGGAGGAGTGTGCACCCAAACACGGAGCACACACCTCTGAGCGGGGCTAAGGGCCCCACCACGTAGCAGAAACCATCCTTGAACAACTGACAACAATCGGTACAAAAAGAAAGACCTCATCAGGATGTCATACCAGCGAAGCGCTGTCGTAGCACAGCAGGCAGGCAGAAGAAAACCACCCCTCAACCAAAGAGCCCAAAGCGAAGGGCCGTTCTCAAACACTATCCTAAAGAAAGTGAAGCAGGGTTGCGAACCGGCACTGCTGGCTGGCATATGAAGCTGAAGCAATGCTTTAAGCATCCTTCACGAGAGGACAAACCTGTTTTGTCAGTTTACCAAAACGCCGCCAGCCAGCAGCATGTGTACTGTAGCTCCACATCGAAGACATGTCGGTTCATCACTGCCGTTCTACCGTGCTTGCACCCGTGCAGACTCATGAAGAAAATGCACGGTTGTGGGAGAGACTCCCCCCGCTTTCCTTCGGCAAGCTGGAGGCAAGTGCACATGTATGTTGCGTCGTGTCCTTGAGCATTGTGTCACGTGGAAAGCATCGGACAGTGCTGCAGGCAGACCTCTCTGCTGCGTCACTTCAAAACTCCGTTTGTCCCACAGGCAGAACTGTGCTTGCTGATGTCAATGTTGCTACGGGATGTGCCAGATGCCCTCGATCTGTACCCAGTGAACACGGCAGCCCAACCGGAATCGCTGCGAAACCCCAAGCCCCCCTAAGCAAGAAGTCAACACAGAACCCTGAACATCCAGGAGACTGCAGAGTTGACCTCCACTAGAAACTGCAAGGCCTGGAGCGCTAAACCCCTAAACTAGAGACTGCAGGGCCTTGGGGCCCTTGGGGCCCTTGGGGCCCTTGGGGCCCTTGGGGCCCTTGGGGCCCTTGGGGCCCTCAGGGTCTCCAGCTGCAGGGGCACCCCGACTTAGAGGCTGCAAGGGCTTCAGAGAACTTACAGGGTCTTTTTCAGACACAGAAGGAGAGGCCGACCCTCGAGGGCCTGGGGAGGGAAAAGCGTGCGAAGAGCACCTGCTATTTCCGTAGAAAGTTTAGCCATTTGCAGCTAGAAGCACGGGGAGCGTTAGAGAGACTTCGAGAGCACTGGCTGCAGTGGTGCAAGAATTAAGGAGACTGTAGTCTGCCAGTACGAGGATCATTGACATGAGGCAGAAGCAGGGCACTGAAGCAGCACAGGAAAACAGCATGGCTTTGCCCATGTTGGTACAAAAGGTGCATAAACATCACGGGTTCCAAGAGTTACCAAAAGAATCGATGACAAGTTTGCGCATTCCGGGCGCACAACGTAAATAGGACGTGCGAGAAATCCATTCAAAGATGCCGCCGCAAGTGGCGTGCGTAATACATCGAGATCGCCGAGAGGGTCTCGCCCAGCTTCATAGCGCTGGTCATCAAAAGCTACGCCAAAACCAGGCATGATTTTGTTCTTTTTTCTCCCCCTCTCCTTGTCCCTCCCTCCTACCCTCCTTACGAGAATGGCAAATTCCAGGGGCCTCATCCTAGTTACTGTCAGCACTTCTAACCCAAAACGATGCGAAAACGCAGGCTTCCGCAACTACAGCTGGTGCATTCGCGAATGCTTCACAAATGCTTCACGAATGCTTCGCGAACGCGATCGCAAATGCATAAGATAAGAGAGGCAGCTTCCACATGTTTGTTAGCCGTGCTATTTTGGGCGATCTCATGTAGACCTTCGCTCCGAGGCTTGACCACAGCTGACGTAGGGATCTATCTCCACAGTGGGAGAAGCGAGCCTGTCGAGCAGATGAAAAAAGGAGAGGAGCACAGCTTTGCATGAATTCGACTCTTGACATCGCATAGCTTTTTTGTTGGCTGCAAAACCCAAAAATGGAGAACTCTGCGTGCTGCAGCGCCTGAATGTTCGGCATTCCCTTGACCGCACGCCCCGATCTCTCATGAGCTCTGATGCCATGGCCATGACAGTTCCCGCCGATGCAGGAATTGAGTTTACATCCAACGGGTCTGGAAGAGATTCGCTGGTCATGGTGGACATTGATGAGCAGCCAGAAGCCGCAGAGGACGAGGCATCGGAGTAGAAAAGTATCGTAATGGGATGCGAACATTGGCTTTAGCAGGTGTGTGCCACAGCATGCGTAGGTGAGCTTAGAGAATAGCCATGACATCGATGACAAAACTCCTCGCGGGCCCGACAGGAAGCGGACGCTGAGAAAGCACGCTGGGAGGCTTTGCTTCATCATGCGGATCCCGGCTCTTCTCATGGACCCATCCATGCCTTCTTTGACTTCTTGGATCATCTTAGCGAGAAGATGCGGGATGAGATGGAGTCAACTTTCGCCCACTTGGGCCTCCTTCTCGCCGATCATGCTTGCAAGTTCTGCTTTGCGGGGATCCTGTTCGCATTGGTCTGCATGACAGGGCTACCTCTTGTATCCTTTGCAGACGACTTTTACGAGCTGGTGTCTTGGCGGACTTTCGAGCCAAGTTGTTTTCCCATCTTCCAGAACCCTCCAGAACCCTCCATGTTTCAGTTCTGAAATCTTTGAGTTCTCAGGTGCTGGAGCAGAATTCACAGACCGCATTGGACTACTTTGAAGGAGAAGAGATTTTCAAAGCCTCTGTGCCGGAGTTGGAGCGTCAAGTGACAGTCATGTACCTGGGTGCATGTTAAAGAACTTAAATGTTTCTCTCCCTCTCTCTCTGTCTCTGTCTCTCTCGCTCTCTCTGTCTCTCTGTCTCCATCACCTGCTTGCACTGGTGTCACAAAGCTGTGAATGGAGAACTTAGATTAAGTTACCATAATCAGGGTGATATATTTTTTCACTGTATAACCTTATTCCGGTAGCTTAATATACGTTCGTTACCAAGAGCCCAGGTACTCAATACCAGGAGGGAAGAACCTTCTGGAGTCGCCATACTACGAGCAAGCACTCGCGATTCACCGTGAAATTCTCACGAACGTGACCGGCAAAAAACACAATGAGGTCTACGAGAAGCATTGCAATCGCTTCTTCGACAACCCAAACGAGTCTTGCATCGTGTTTTGTCCTCTGGATCCTCCTTACCAAGTAGAACTGCACAGGGGAGGACGAGGCTTCCGAAACTCGACCTTCTCAAGGCTGGGTGCAGCGGCACGACCCGAGCAGAACTTGGACCCGGAGGAGGATTATGGACACTTTGAGTTTACAGACAGCTTCTATTGCAACTATGAGTCGCTGTCAGATGATTGGAAGGTGGGAGCTGTCCTGTGGGCAGTGGAGCATCGCAAAACATCTTCAGTTGATGTTCAGATCTCAGCTACTTCCTCGGTGTTTGAGTTTTCGGAAACTATGAGGGGGCTCGTCAGCGAGGGCTATTTGTTCGTGGTTGGATTTGTCTTGGTATGGTTGTTCTGTGGAATGGCGATGCACTTCATCAACTTCGAGAATCACTCGTTGTGCAATGCCACGAACTGGTTCACAGCCACAATATGCATAGCGAGTGCCATGCTCGCAGTGTTGTCGGCTATTGGCCTTTGCGGCTACTTGACCATCCAGGGGCTCAAGCTCACACCTTCATCTTTGTATGTGTCCTTCATGATTCTAGGCCATGCCGTCGACGACATGATGATCTTGGCTGGTCTCTTTTTCGAAGTTCCCAAAGACCATTCCTTGGCTGAGCGGCTTGCTGCGAGCTTTGGCTCATCAGCAACTTCCATCACGCTCACAAGCATCACCACCTTGGCCGGCTTTCTCGCCGGAAGCGCAATAGACATGGTTTGGATTAGTTCCTTCGCTCAGGTTGGGGCTTTGGCAGTGGTGGCAGACTACATAATCCAGCTCACTTTCTTCTCTGGAGCCTTTGCCGCATTCCAGAGAAGCTGCAGCAAGTTGGAAACCTCCACAAAGGATCGAGGCCATGCCCATTCTGCCCTGGAGACCTACGCCAGGTGGTCGGCTCACAGCGCAGCATGCAAAGGCGTTACTCTGCTTGTGTTCATCGTGCTGGTCTTTGTTGCTCTTTACGGAACCCAGAATCTGGACGCTGCCTTTCACAACAAGGTGAACGTGCCTGATGATTCGCATTACCAGACCTTCCTGCAGGACGGATTGCACTACATGGGAGAGTACGGAACAGGTCCAGTGTACTTGGTTATGAAACACGAGGTCCTTCCAGGCCCAGATGTTATGAGAGCCACAGCAGAATATGCACAGCGAATCAGAGAGCTGAATGGCCAGAAGCCCTACAAGGCGACTTCTGCGGATTGGACGGTGGCGATGCAACTCTGGATGGCCATCGAGTCCCATGCGGAACGCCTAAGAGTTCGCACGAACACCACCGCCTTTGGTGTGGCGATTCAACAAGTCCTCGACGGTACGCTCCGAGATCAGTATGGAGGCTTGGCCAAGCAGTGGCAAAACGTTGGCGTGGCCTACGCTGCAAGCGGGCTTGCTGTGCAAGCGGCTCTAGCGGAAGTACACGGCATGGCCCAAGACTTGCACCAAGGCCCACACCAAGTGCTCGAGAGCATAAATGCTGCCCTGCATGAAGTGCAGGTGGCCCTCAACGCAACTCGACACGCCTATGGCAACTTCACTCAGGAGCTCGGGTTAGGTTTGCAGACCGCGCTTACTGCTGGGCTTGCCCACCTCCATGCTGCGGCTGACGCCTACGACGCCGGAGCCGCCGGATCAGCAGAAAGTCTCCTGCAGCAGGCTGAAGCTGCCCTGAATTTATCGAGTTTCTCCGCGCCTGGCATCTCCATAGGAATCTCCTTGAACTCTTCCTTGAACTCTTCCATCGGATATTTGGAGGAGGTCGCGACGCAGCTCCTCGACTCGGTCTACGCCTTCAATGCCTCCCTGGAAGCGCGGACGCAGCACGCCGCTGCGTCCTTGCGCGTTGCAGCTGCGAGCTGCTATCAGGCTTTGCCAAGTGATGATCGCCTTCTGGCAAAGTACTTCATACAGTTCGGGCAGCGAGAGTTTCTAAGACGACTCGGCGACCTGATGGGGTACATGGCTGATCCAGTGGTGGAAGTCGTTGTCAGGCAGTGGTGGAACACAACCCTGTTCCCGATGGAAGTGGTTGGTGTCCATGCGAGAAACACAGCGGCGACGCTGAGAGCCATGCAGCAGGCTGCGGAGACCTTCACATCCGAGCCTTTAGCTCCCGTGGCTGCAGCTTGCGCAGAACTCCGGAACCTTTTAGCTGCTTCTCCGGATGCGGCCTTCAACTCACGGGCGGTCCGTGCTCTTGGAGATCTCGTAGCATCCGCAGCAGCTTACGCCGGAGATGAGACCAGCTTGGCCCACGTTGAGCAGCACTATGAGGATGGAGCGTACAGAGATCCAGGTGCAGACGACGTGTGTTCCCCAGAAGAAGTCACCTTGGAAACCTTGCGCCGTGGCCTCGCTCATGGCGTGGCCCACTACCGTTCGACGGTGATTTGGAATGCCTTTTCGAATTACTCGATGGCAGGAGCCCAAAGATGGCTGACGAGCATTGTTGGCCGTTCCGTGAACCTGCACACGCCGCAAGCAGTCAGTGCCACCCGGAGGTTCGGGGGCTACCAGTGGCTCTCCTTGGCAGGCGAACGCGATCAGGTCGCGCGGGAGCGAGACGCAGAGCGCAAGGCAGACCAGGCTGACAGAGCTGTTGCGGCGGCACGCCGCATGCGGCTGGCCAGGGAAGCCACTGCAGAAGTCTGGGAAGCTGTGGACAACTTTGAGGAGAGCTTCGGCACGGAAATGGAAGGCGTGGTTTACGACGAGGATCTGAAGCCAGGCGGGGTCGGGGTCGGGGTCGAGGTCGGGGTCGAGGTCGGCGGGGAAGCCTGGAAGGGAAGCTACCAAAGCTACCCAAAAAGCTGCAAGTAGCTCTAGAAATTTAGATCTTCCCTGGGTGGCGAATGTGCTTTTTGGCATGTTTGCGACCTGGCCGAGGTCTGCTTAAGGCAGAAGAAGTGAGGCGCCCAGGATTTCCATTTATCGCGAACGCAAACCAGACCTGGGCCGTGTTCCAGAGTCTATTGAGCAAAGACTTCCAGACAAAGTTGCTTGACGATTTGGAAGCAGCAGACCCACGAGAGCATGGCACCGTGTTGCAGAACGGCCAAATCGCGGCGCAGATGAGGAGAATCCAAAGAGCTAGCTCGCGCTCGCAAAGCTTTGGAGACCGCATGTGGGGCTGGTCTGCCGCGAGCTGGGAATCAAAAGAGTCATTCCTCGCAGCCTTCCGCCTTGATGACATGCTGCAGGAGAGGCAGTCTGCAAGAGATGCCAGACATGGCGACAGGAGTGAAGATGACTTGGGTTCAGTCAAGGCCTACGGGCTCCCTGATGACAGCCTGGGCGATCTTCTTGCAGATAGCGTGAAACGGGAGAGGTCTGCGCGCCATCTGTCCAGGGAAGCCAGCGGTTCGCAGGAAGCATGGCAGAGCTTAGAGGACCAGGGGAAGGCAAACAGGAGCTCACCGGAAGGAGCGGAAGGAGCGGAAGGAGCCGGCGCAACTTCCTTGCTGCTCCTTCTTGAAGCATTTCTCCATGGGAAGAGAAGTGTTCCTTCGCCCAACGACCTCAAGCTTCAGATTGCCATACTGCACAACAATGACTTGAGGACCAGCGCCGCCCAGCGCGAGGAGTTGGAGGACCTCCGGGACGCCTTCCGCCTGAGCCAGATGGAGGGGGCCCTCTCCTACCTCTACTTTGCCAGGGCCGGGGCCTGGCTTCAGAATCTTGAGATGAATCTTCAGAGGCTTCAGGCTTCCCAGCCTTCCGACACATCCAGTATGACCAGTAACTCCAGTAGCTCCAGTATGTCCACAATGTCCACAATGTCCACTCTGCCCACTCTGTATCCGGAGCTCCACCTGGCCTTCCTGGGCCATGCGCGCCGGCACCTGGATGAGATGGAGCAGGACATGAGGTACAAGGCCGGCACCTTGAGTGACATGGACTTGGACACCCTGGCTGCGGACCTTGAAGCAGTGGCCTCCAACTTAACCCAATCAATCGTGACGCTCTTGTTCAACCAAACCGCACTGGATACCTTCCACACCGCGAGTGTATTCAGTGAAGCTGCTGTCATGAACCAAGCATTGGCTCCACACGTCAAGCCAGATGTTGTCGTGGATGAAGATGGTGGTCGGGATCGGAAGGGCACGATGCGTGTCCAGTGGACCAGAGTCAAAATCCCCTTCCGAGCGAAGGTATTCTGGACCGAAGACAGCTTCGAGGAAGACCACAAGGCAAGTTTGGAGGCTCGTCGGTTGGCTCAGGAGTGGGCCTCGGAGGTGAAGCGCTTGCAGGAGCGCCACACAAACTATTGGAAGGACGTCTCCTTTGGTGACCCGTGGGAGGTTGGGAGGGCTTTCTCCTCGGGACACGTCTTCAGGGTCTTGGACTCCAAGCAAAGTCTGCTGAACAACACTATGGCCAGCTTGATTAACGTGAACATCCTGATGGCAGTGTTCTGCTTCCTGTTCCTGGGGCCACGTTTGGGTCTACTTTTGGCCCCGTGCATCGCCATGCTGACTCTGATGACCTTCGGCCTCTACGGCTTCTTTGGCTTCAAGATCGACTTCGTCTTGGCTTTGGCCTTGCTCATTTCTTCGGGCACGACGATTGACTTCATCCTTCACTTCGTTGTGGCAGCTGCTTCCTGCACGCCGGCCAGCAGCGCCATCCGTGTCTCAGGGTCTCAGCGCTACGTCGTTGCGATGAAAAGTGCGGGTGTTGGCATCTTGGCTTCTTACGTTACTACACTGGCAGGCATTCTCCCAATGGGCTTTGCCAAGTTGGCTTCCATCAGGGCGCTGTTCAGGGCTTACGTCATCAGCTTGAACATCGGCGTCTTTTTTGGCCTGGTTGTCATCCCTCTCGTCTCCGTGTACGTCTACGGTGTCGACCTTGCTCCTCGCGGTGCCACGAAGACTCAGAAGGCCGAAGAGCACGAAGTGCAAGGCTCCGGAGCCCGCCTGGTCAAGAAGAAGCAGGAGAAGGAAGAGAAGGACCTCCAGGGAACGCAAAACGGAACGTAAGGGAGCGTAAGGGAATGGCATATCTGAGGCTGTGAGGGCAGCCGCACAAGGCTCAGCCGAGTGAGCACCACTCCGAGCCGAGCCGAAGAAGCTACGTAGCGGCTGCTTGCAGTCCGTGAGTCTTCTGGTATGCCGCAGGCGTCAAAGTCGTGGCTTAATGTGAGAAAGCACCTGCCGGCACTGTACAGCGCGAGACTGCTCTGCTGTGTTTTTGGCGCGGGATTGAACTCGGTTCTACTGCGCTTGTTGTGTCATCCTCTATGAGGAGGTGTGCACCCAAACACGGAGCACACACCTTCGAGCGGGGCTAAGACCCCATCACGTAGCAGAAACCATCCTTGAACAACCGACAGCAATCAATACAAAAAGAAAGACACCGTCAGGATGTCATACCAGCGAAGCGCTTCTGTAGCACAGCAGGCAGGCAGAGGAGAACCACCCCTCAACCAAAGAGCCCAAAGCGAAGGGCTATCCTAAAGAAAGGCAAGCAGGGTTGCGCACCGGCACTGCTGGCAGGCATGTGAAGCTGAAGTAAAGCTTTAAGCATCCTTCACGAGCGGACAAACCGGTTTTGTCAGTTTACCAAAATGCCGCCGCTTTGACATTCAAGATTTCTGTGACTTTGGAGGTGCCCTGAAGCACGATGCGTGGATCTCCATGTGAGGGCCTTCAGGCTTTAGCTGTCATGCCCAAATCTTCAATGATTGCCGGTCTAGATAGTGCACCAGGATACTCGTATGACTCGGTGGGACACCTGCGGGATTCTCTGGGGATGCTCAGCCTTCTCGGAGAACGCCATTCGATCTTCGACGGGAGCTTATGCTTTGGTTCTTTCTGTACGCGCCGCAACCTTCTGGCCAGCGACTGAGAGCATACAATTTGCACCTCCTGAAAGAAAAGAGCAGCCTTCCATTGCAAAGGCAGGATGCGACATGAGTTGCGCAACGGGCTCCAAGGCAACGCAGTTGGCGCAGGTGGCCTCAGGAGATTTTCGTCGATGTCCTTAAAATTGTACGGCATCCTCAGGCCCACAGCTTGAGCACGATGCGACATTTGGAAACGAGATTTTGGTGCGGCACGCAGAACACATGCACGAAAAGATGTGCCCGACAAAGGTGGCCCGACCCCAACATGCAAAAATGCATGAACAATAAAGTGCGCTGGAGGTGGCGCGGGGCGCGGCCCTACCAGAAAACATGCAAAGAAGATGAAGTTGTCTTGGCGCCAGCTGCCCTGGCGGACACTAAGCCCTATGAACGCTACTCAGCCGTCGAGAAAGGCAGAAGCACACATATTGGAAGGGCTCGCGGTCACGGGGCTCTTCCAGTCCTTGTTTTTAATGTTGAAATCTGCGTCTTTGTTTTGCTCGCCAGCCTTGTCAGTGCGTGCACATGACATGCTTGAGCACACATCCGAGCACGGACGAGCATTTCATGTGAACGCACTCGGCGGACCGACAGCTACAGTGCTTCCACGAAGACCTGGGCCATGGCTCGGCACGAGCGGTGGGACAGCGGCTGGTCCGGCTGGACCGGAAACTGGTGGGGTGAGACAGGCCGGCTTCTCATTCGTGCATGTTCCCTGATGCTGAACCTTCTTGCGTCAGGTGAAGCCTCGGACACCAGCTGGTCCCAAGTTCAGCTCAAGCGATGGGGCCACGATGAAGGCCAGTGTAGGGTTTAGGTTCCTGATCCACTTTCCTGGTCTGGGGGCGGTGGTCCCAGTTGTGCGGGGGGGCGGGTGTTGTGACAAGGCCAGTCATGGCACCAAAGACAAGAGCGCCACTTTGAAGGCCGTTTGAGTATTGTTGCGATGCTTTATCGCGCGTTTTTGCCGGGGTTGTTTTGTGTGTGTGCTGATTCAGCCAGGTTCGTGGGCATTGCTGTCTCAGAGCAAGGACTAAATCCCAAACCCTAGACTACGAACCCTTTCTTGCCCAGCTGGACCGTGGGCTACAGGTGCTTGGCACGAGCACCGCAGCGGAAGGTCCTCCTGGCATCAGGATCAAGGCCTCGTAGTACAGACAGTACACATGGCTTGCTTCTCTATAAAAAGTATTTGATAACGCGAGTCCCAAAGCCTCCAGAAAAAATCCAGAAGATGTTAGTGACCTGCAGGAGTTCCACACACTTCCACAACACTCCAGGCGTAGGAGTCATTTGAAAAAGGAGGCCTCCAGGATCCTTTCGGGGCAAAGCCATGCGAATCCGGACATGTCCGGACCGAGACCGAGGAGGTCCCGTCCGCGGAATCGCAAGCAAAAGCAGCAGGAGTCGAGCCCAACACACCTTCGTAGAAGTGTGCCCCAGCTGCTCATAAAAGGAGGGGGTTTCGACGGATACAAATGCAAAGCAAAGTCATTTTTGATTGTTGGGCTTGGTTCCAGTTCTGGGGCTTCGCCCGTCGCCGCTCTATGGCTGCAGGTTACTGGGAAGGGCGCGATGGAAGGGCCTCTTGGCGCCAGGATCAAGGCCATGCAGGGGTTTGAGTGTAGTGACATCATGTGACATCTCTCACGATCTTGGCCATGCTTTTGGCAATCATGCGCGGACGCTTGTCATGCAGGAACCCTTTTTGTACAGCCCACGGCAATCGCAGCGCCTGATCGGAGGTGTCTGGCAGAGCTGGAAGGACTGGTCCAGCAAGGAAGACCAAGGCGCCGCGCAGCGTGGGTTCAAGGGGCAGCTTTCACCATGTGGTGAGCTTTTCGTGATGCAACGCTTGCACCTGCAGGTGCCTGGCAACACAACAAAGACTGGCACGTGGAGGGATCCTCGCCAAGCAGCCAGGATGAAGGCCGCTTGTTTTGAGGGACTCACATGCTCACATCACGCCGTGCATCGCCAACACAGCAACCAATGCCGCACGTGTGCAGGTTCGAGTAACTCTTATACGCCGGGCGAACAGAAGCCGGTAGGCCGGTGTGTGCTTCTTTGACTGCAGGATGCTGACGTGCGATGCGTGCAACATGTGCCCGTAGGTAGCCCTCGCAAGCCTCGCGCCAAAGTGAAGTCTCGGCTCTTCGCCACCGCTTTGGCAGCCACCGTTCAACCTTCGAGGTTGGTCTGCTCATGCTCCGGTGCATCTGGGATGAAAGCCTCGCTCCTTCAGTCAAGAATCCCCGACCAGGTGCCGTCGGCCACAACCCTTGGAGCAGTCGCCGTCGGAGCCTGTGGTTGAGGAGAAGGAGCTGGCGGAGCAGGCCGAGCCGGTTGCTGAGCCCGTGCAAGCAGTGGAGGTCCAGCCAAAGCGCTGGGCACCCTGCTTCAGAGAGAGCGACGTGACGATGGGATACGGGATGGGTCGTGTGGACCCGTTTTCCGTGGGCTACGCCTGTCGAGACATCCCAGACAGACAGCCCGAGGGTCGCAACGTCAACAAGCCGCTCAACAGGGTCTGGCAAGAGGTGAAGGTGAACCAGTGCGAGGACATCTGCTACCTCGGCTACGAGCACCCCATCGAGGTGTTTCGAGCCGTGTCCGCCGAGGGACAGGAGCAACTGTTCACCATTCAAGGGTGGAAGCTGCAGCTCCTCCAAGTGGCGGCCTTGGCGAGGCACCCCAAGAAGGCCATTATCCAACCCAAGTTTGTCTTGGAGGAAGCGGACATCGGAGCGATTCTGGCCGAAGCCGATATACCCGAGGATTTCAATACGGTGCACATCGTCGGCGAGGATGGCGTCCGGCCTTTCTCCTGGGAGACCATCGTGAAACAAAAGCGCGCGAAGCCAAAGGCTTGACGGCGCAGGCTTCGAACTGCGAAGCGGGTGTCACCGAAAAAGCCGGCCGCTCTCGACTTTCAAGATTTCTGTGACCTTGGCGTGGTGCCCTGAAGCACGATGCGGGCAATGCGTGGATCATCATGTGAGGTCGGCTTTAGCTGGCATGCCCAAATCTCCAATGATTGCCGGTTTCGACAGCGCACCAGGATACTCGTATGAGTGGAAGCGCGCTAGGTTTTCTTTTCCAACCACGGTGCTTGTTTGGGCTGGGGGGGGGTGGGGGTGGGCACTCCAGAACTACTCCGCGGGACACCTGCGCGATTCTCTGGGGATGCTCAGCGGGACTTTCCTTCTCGGATCTTGGAAGGGAGCTTCTGCTTTGATTCTTTTTGTACGCACTGGAACCTGCTGGCCAGTGACTGAGAGCATACAATTTGCACATCCTGCAAGAAAAGAGCAGCCTTCCAGGGCAAAGTTAGGATGCGACAGGTGGCCTTAGCAGATTTTCGTCGATGTCCTTCAAATTGTACGGCATCCTCAGGCCCACAGCTTGAGCACGCGCTATGCGACATTTGGCAAATGAGATTTAGGTGCAACACGCGTAACACAAGCTAAAACAAAGTGCCCGACAAAGGGTGCCCGACCCCAACATGCAAAATGCATAAACAATAAAGTGCGCTTGAGGTGGCGCGGGGCGGGGGCTCGCGGTCACGGGGCTCTTCCAGTCCTTGTTTTTAATGTTGAAATCTGCGTCTTTGTTTTGCTCGCCAGCCTTGTCAGTGCGTGCACATGACATGCTTGAGCACACATCCGAGCACGGACGAGCATTTCATGTGAACGCACTCGGCGGACCGACAGCTACAGTGCTTCCACGAAGACCTGGGCCATGGCTCGGCACGAGCGGTGGGACAGCGGCTGGTCCGGCTGGACCGGAAACTGGTGGGGTGAGACAGGCCGGCTTCTCATTCGTGCATGTTCCCTGATGCTGAACCTTCTTGCGTCAGGTGAAGCCTCGGACACCAGCTGGTCCCAAGTTCAGCTCAAGCGATGGGGCCACGATGAAGGCCAGTGTAGGGTTTAGGTTCCTGATCCACTTTCCTGGTCTGGGGGCGGTGGTCCCAGTTGTGCGGGGGGGCGGGTGTTGTGACAAGGCCAGTCATGGCACCAAAGACAAGAGCGCCACTTTGAAGGCCGTTTGAGTATTGTTGCGATGCTTTATCGCGCGTTTTTGCCGGGGTTGTTTTGTGTGTGTGCTGATTCAGCCAGGTTCGTGGGCATTGCTGTCTCAGAGCAAGGACTAAATCCCAAACCCTAGACTACGAACCCTTTCTTGCCCAGCTGGACCGTGGGCTACAGGTGCTTGGCACGAGCACCGCAGCGGAAGGTCCTCCTGGCATCAGGATCAAGGCCTCGTAGTACAGACAGTACACATGGCTTGCTTCTCTATAAAAAGTATTTGATAACGCGAGTCCCAAAGCCTCCAGAAAAAATCCAGAAGATGTTAGTGACCTGCAGGAGTTCCACACACTTCCACAACACTCCAGGCGTAGGAGTCATTTGAAAAAGGAGGCCTCCAGGATCCTTTCGGGGCAAAGCCATGCGAATCCGGACATGTCCGGACCGAGACCGAGGAGGTCCCGTCCGCGGAATCGCAAGCAAAAGCAGCAGGAGTCGAGCCCAACACACCTTCGTAGAAGTGTGCCCCAGCTGCTCATAAAAGGAGGGGGTTTCGACGGATACAAATGCAAAGCAAAGTCATTTTTGATTGTTGGGCTTGGTTCCAGTTCTGGGGCTTCGCCCGTCGCCGCTCTATGGCTGCAGGTTACTGGGAAGGGCGCGATGGAAGGGCCTCTTGGCGCCAGGATCAAGGCCATGCAGGGGTTTGAGTGTAGTGACATCATGTGACATCTCTCACGATCTTGGCCATGCTTTTGGCAATCATGCGCGGACGCTTGTCATGCAGGAACCCTTTTTGTACAGCCCACGGCAATCGCAGCGCCTGATCGGAGGTGTCTGGCAGAGCTGGAAGGACTGGTCCAGCAAGGAAGACCAAGGCGCCGCGCAGCGTGGGTTCAAGGGGCGGCTTTCACCATGTGGTGAGCTTTTCGTGATACAGCGCTTGCACCTGCAGGTGCCTGGCAACACAACAAAGACTGGCACGTGGAGGGATCCTCGCCAAGCAGCCAGGATGAAGGCCACTTGTTTTGAGGGACTCACATGCTCACATCACGCCGTGCATCGCCAACACAGCAACCAATGCCGCACGTGTGCAGGTTCGAGTAACTCTTATACGCCGGGCGAACAGAAGCCGGTAGGCCGGTGTGTGCTTCTTTGACTGCAGGATGCTGACGTGCGATGCGTGCAACATGTGCCCGTAGGTAGCCCTCGCAAGCCTCGCGCCAAAGTGAAGTCTCGGCTCTTCGCCACCGCTTTGGCAGCCACCGTTCAACCTTCGAGGTTGGTCTGCTCATGCTCCGGTGCATCTGGGATGAAAGCCTCGCTCCTTCAGTCAAGAATCCCCGACCAGGTGCCGTCGGCCACAACCCTTGGAGCAGTCGCCGTCGGAGCCTGTGGTTGAGGAGAAGGAGCTGGCGGAGCAGGCCGAGCCGGTTGCTGAGCCCGTGCAAGCAGTGGAGGTCCAGCCAAAGCGCTGGGCACCCTGCTTCAGAGAGAGCGACGTGACGATGGGATACGGGATGGGTCGTGTGGACCCGTTTTCCGTGGGCTACGCCTGTCGAGACATCCCAGACAGACAGCCCGAGGGTCGCAACGTCAACAAGCCGCTCAACAGGGTCTGGCAAGAGGTGAAGGTGAACCAGTGCGAGGACATCTGCTACCTCGGCTACGAGCACCCCATCGAGGTGTTTCGAGCCGTGTCCGCCGAGGGACAGGAGCAACTGTTCACCACTCAAGGGTGGAAGCTGCAGCTCCTCCAAGTGGCGGCCTTGGCGAGGCACCCCAAGAAGGCCATTATCCAACCCAAGTTTGTGATGGAGGAAGCGGACATCGGAGCGATTCTGGCCGAAGCCGATATACCCGAGGATTTCAATACGGTGCACATCGTCGGCGAGGATGGCGTCCGGCCTTTCTCCTGGGAGACCATCGTGAAACAAAAGCGCGCGAAGCCAAAGGCTTGACGGCGCAGGCTTCGAACTGCGGAGCGGGTGTCACCGAAAAAGCCGGCCGCTCTCGACTTTCAAGATTTCTGTGACTTTGGCATGGTGCCCTGAAGCACGATGCGGGCAATGCGTGGATCATCATGTGAGGTCCTTCAGGCTTTAGCTGGCATGCCCAAGTCTCCCATGATTGCCGGTTTAGACAGTGCAGCAGGATACTTGTATGAGTGGAAGCGCGCTAGATCCTTCGTTTTCTTTTCCTACCACATGCCGCTAGCCTCTAAAGATGAAGAAGGACGTGGTTTCTAAATGCCAGTGTGCCTCTTCTGTTGCGGATTTCATTGCCAAGCGCCTCTGAGTTTCGTAGGAGAACTTTGTAGGACGCCCGCTGTGTTATTAAAATGCCTTCTTGCCAATTATATCTCAGTCTTTGAATGTAGAATCCTCAAAAGGATGCACCTTCCCCATTCCAACACTTGCCCGACTATCATCTCCTGCGAGATTTTTTTGCTTCTATGCCTCGCGCTCGACGAGCACCATCACTGTTCTCCCCCACTTTCAGATATCCTATCCAATCGATCCCGGATGTCCTTCTTGCGCATGGCCGTGCGCGGCTAAGCTCGACAATGTCACATTACATCGCATCCTTTCTACATCTGCTTGCCGAGAGTGTGTGCATTCTCAGGAGAATGTTTTACTATTATGAATTAGATCCCGTTGAAAGCAAGGCTCTTGAACCATGTCGGTGAATACGGTTGCTTGCAAACAACTTGCACACCCACGATATTCGGGATGCGGATGTCGTCACCATCCTTGAAATTGTCTTTGTGCTCGTACTGATCGTTTCTCAACATGTCGTCGTCGCCACTGTCGAAGTTTTCACCTTTACTGAGCCACACGTGTCACTTGTTAGCCTCGTAAGCTTCCTAGCCGCTTTTTCCGAGTTTTGCCCGTCCTGGAAACATCGTCCATTTCCTTGAGCCTGATCCTAAACAATCAAACCAAACGGTGCAAGGTACTACCAGGTGGACTGCGTGCCGGTGAGCTGGTTTCCCAACAAGTCATACCTGACACGTCCGAAGCAGCGGTGTGTGCCTGCGGAGAAACCTGCGCCGAAATGATTGATTTCGTTTAGGTCGTTCAACCTGGGATGACGAAACTTCATGCCCATTTCATTCCTGTGCCGTCCCATATCGGCTCCGGAGGACGCCTAGGGGTAGGACGGATTGCGGCAGGATTGCGGCACCTCCTGGCTGACAAGGCGCAGAGTCTCGGGCCCCTTTGTACTGCGTCTTGCGTAAAAAAGAACCGGGAAGCAGAAGAACCTAGGCCATGCCAGAGATATGGCTTGAAAAGTACCGACCCATCAAGTTCGAGGCACAATGAGAATGTGTTTCCTTGCCGATTCCTTGCTGTCCTTGCAGCACGGGGCAACTGCGAGGATGTGGTTGGCAACTCGGGGGCCGTGACGATCCTGAGATCCCATGCTGCTGCAGGCCCTGTAGCGGCCAGAAACTTCCGACAACCTCGCCTGAACGGACCCTGAGCACGCTGTTGGGGCAGTGCCCAGTAGGCCCGCGCTTTTAGAGGCACATTCCCTCACTTGCTCCTGACTGGTCCGCCCGGCTGCGGCAAGACCACCGTGGTGCACTGCCTTGCCAGGCAGGGCAATTTGAGCTTCTGCAAAGCAGTTAGCTGTGGGCTTTAAGAAGGCTTCGCTCCGCCCCCCTTTTTTCTCTTCCAGGGAGCACCTGGGCGAGCACTACGAGCAGGGCTGCATCGAGCTGAATGCCTCCGATGACAGAGGCATCGATGTCGTGCGGGAGAAGATCAAGGCGGACGAGGGGCCTTCCCCCCAAGACAACCTCTACAAAGACGACGCCTCTATAAACGCAGTAGGCTGTAGGCGTTGGTGCTGCTATACTTGTGGGCATTGCCAGGGCTTCGCGCAGCAGAAGGTTTCCCTTCCTGAAGGAAAGCTCAAGGCCAATCTTGACAGATTTGGAAAGGTTTTAGAGTCAAGTTCCCCAAGCCCTTCGTGAACACGGCATGGCGTCATGGCGCACAGTCCTATCGTCAGGTAATAATTCTGGATGAGGCGGACAGCATGACTCAAGCAGCACAGCAGGCAGGGATTTCGGTCTTCTATGGTCCAGGGTTCCTCGAAGGTCGTGAAGTCGCTTAGATGTCGCTTTGAAGGCCATGCGTCGAACAATGGAGATCTTCAGCTGCCGCCACAGCGTCGCAGCATCTGCGACTCTGTGACTCAGCGTGGCCTCGTGTCTTCTGCTTCAGGTGAGTCGACACGCTTCGCCCTGGCGTGCAACATATCCTCCAAGATTATCGAGCCCATCCAGCCATGGGCTAAGAGCATCTGCGATGCCGCAGACGTAGCACTACGTGACACCTGTGGACTGGTACTCTGGAAGGGGGCCTGGTGACATGTCCGTCATTTTCGTCATTCATCGTCACTCCCCCACTTCCACTCATGATACTCATGTCCACTCTGCACTGCAGAAGGTCCCGCTGCGCCATCCTTCGCTTCAGCCGAATCTCCGACGAGGAAAAGCCACGCCAAGTTCACGGAGTCAGATGTTTTTTGAATCAAGAGGCTGATACCTTGCTGATATTGCCCTTGCCCTCTTTGGGTGTACAGGACATGCTCCAAAGGCTGAGGTTGGTCTTAGACAAGGAGGGCGCCCCGTGCCCCAGAGAAGCCTATGCAGCAGAGGAGTATCGAGAGGCAGCCATGAACAGCTTCCGAAGTATCTTTTCATCTGCACAGGTACGACCAGTCGGGCCTCGAAGCTTTGGCTTTCTCTGCAGAGGGTGACATGCGAAATGCTCTGAACGGAGCGCAGCCGCTGCCCCACGAGAAGGGGTTCAACGATGCTTCACGAATAGCTGTCGCTATCCTGTCCAAGCCGTCTTTGACCTGGAGACAAAGATGAGGTCGACGTTCAACGCCTTCGGCGAGATCAACAGGGTGACCGTGTTCAGGCCTTCTTCTCTTGGGGGACTGCTTCTTCAGAGAGTCTTAGTAATATGTAGAAGAGGAGCTTTCGTGTTAAGAATCTGTTTCTCGTGGAGCGAAGGATGAATGACCAGCCGCAGCCCGAGAAGGTGAAGAGCTGCCTGGAGGCCAGCCTGAAGAAGGACGCCCAGGCGGCCCCCTCTCTCTCCTTTCTCCCTCTCTCTCCCTCTCTCACCCTCTCACCCTCTCAGCCTCTCACCCTCTCAGCCTCTCACCCTCTCTCTTTCTCTTTGTACTCCGGCATCGCAGAGTTCGGAAGTTAGGGGAAGTTTGTCTTCAAAAGCCTTCGTTTTGCAGGGCACCTTCGGCCCCATGCACGAGATCTGGAACCAGGGCTACAGCACCACCGACATCATCTCCACCTTCTCGCGGGAGGCCCAAGGAGAAAGGGCAGCTTGGGGTGAGGACACAGGGGAAGAAAGAAAGCCAGTTTCTGGAAGCAGGGAGGGAAGATGCGCTGCACAAGGAGAGAGAGCTGAGATTGAACAGAGGCCTCGCCTCAAGATCCTCAATCACGTGCAGAGTTGACATGCAAAGTGTTCTGGTCGGAGATGCTTTCCGATCTTCGTTGAGACTGAGGCGCGTTGCCAAGCAGATGGAAGCTCCGGAGCATATCAAGTTGGAGTGGTTAAAGGAGGCAGCATACGCTCCTGTTGATCCTGTTGCTGATCGTTTTGAGTTGTTTTTTTTGGTTCAGCTCTCTCTCGCTCAGATCGGTCTCGCACACGCCCGTGTGACGGCGGGGGCCCAGAACCTCTTGCAGCTCGATGCCATGGCTGGAGTCTCAGGGTCCCAACATGTCCCAACAAACGGGAGCGTTCAGTAGGCCTTCGTTCTCGTGCCAGTGTGAAGATGCTCTTATTATTTTGCTCGTCTCTACACGCAAGACTCTCTGCAGAGGGGCCTTTGTGTTGCGCCTGAACAAAAAGACGTGGCAGCAGCCGAGGTGTCCAAGATCATCTTGGCATCCGAGAGAGGTGGGATCCGTCGGGCCCCGTGAGCGAAAAGAGCATGATAGTGGAGATGCGTGCACCAGGCTGATGTTCAGGGCCGAGGCTCATCTGGCCTGACGCACGCGGCTTTCAATGGGTTGATGTGCGAGAGAGATCCTGAAAGAAGAGCGCAAGTCTAGCAGAAAAGTTCCAGAAGTCCAGTAGGGTTTTGGGTTGCCGCAGGATGCTTGGAGACGGTCCGAGGCCTCAAATTTATCGAGGCCTCCAAATGGCGGACGTGTCCTTCCGGGGTTGGCATCCGGATTCGAAGACTGGGAAAAGCAGTCTGAGATAGCGAGCTGCGAACCGTGCGTCGGAGAACAGAGAAGCCCTTGCCCACAGCTTGCGGCAAGCCTTGTCGAGACCCATGTCATCCCATGTCGCAATGTCTACTTGAAACCTTTTGCCTTGTCTGCCTTCTCATTGCTTTCCGCTTCCGCAGCTAGCGCCGCGCCCCTGGGACAGCAGGGCAAAAGGGCCTCAAAAGGAGCGGCCAAGGGTGTGAGGTTGGCGAGGTTGGCGAGGCTGGCGAGAAGTTCCGCCTCGCCAGGACCTCGGCACAAGCTTCCGGAGTTTGAGTGCCCTTTGGCTGTTTCGGAGTGCTGGGAGTGTTCTTGGGCCTCCAGTAGCCACCTGCGGGTCTGAGGTGCGCTGGGCCACGATGCTAGGCATCTTGAGCCATCTTGACTTCAAAGCGCGGCCGTTTTGTTTTTCAGTGGCAGGCGCCAGCGCAGCGGTGAACAAGGCGAAGATCATCTGCCCGGGGTCTCAGAGAGCTTCAGGCACCCTTTCCACAGTGTTTCTGACGTGAGCTGACTTGTGCGCGGGTGCCAAGAAAGGAGAGCAGGAGAACAGCGTGCGAGTCGAGTGCTCTTGCAAAGCCCAACAGTAGGTGGTGTATAAGCAGGCATAACCTCTCTGCAATCCGCCGCTTGCTTCCTTATTTAATGGTTTCGTGAACACAGCCGGCACTGCCGAAGATCCTGGACGACGCATGCGTCCCACGGCCAGCCGTTGCATGCAAAGGGTATGGCATCTACATGGCAGTAGAAACACGGTCGGCTTCAGACTTCCAGACAGCGATGACTACACCCCGAGATGCGGATGAGGTCAGCAGTGTCTAGCCCCTGGACACTGGACCTACGAGTGCAAGAACGGCAGCACCTACCAGGCCTAGTTTCAGCCCATGCTCTTGCGAAAGCCACTCCCTGGCAAACGTGACGTACCTGTAAAGAAAACAGTACCAAAGGCTTTCATATGACAGGTCCGTGCCAGTGCCTCACGGCAGCTCAAGCAGAAGCGCTTCAAGCAGGCCTTCCTGGAAGAAGAGGCTCATTGCTCCGATGTGCTCCCATGCGATGTGTTCCGATGTGCTGAGAAAGGTGGAAGGAGTCAGATGATTTGGCGTGGGGCTTTGGGGGCTTTGGGGGTTGTGGGGCTTTGGGCGTTGGGGGGCTCTTTGTTCTGGAAAAACAACACAAAACACACATAACAGCACAGTGCAACGGAGGTGATCCGAGGCTCTACGGCCGAGACAAGAGCGAGTTGAAGACAAGCACTCTGTTTCCATGTGTGATGTTTTTCTCTCACCGTGGGTTGTGCATGCTTGTGCAGCATGAGTCGCTGTCCTGAAGCATGCCCAAATACGCTTAAGAGATTTTTCATCTTTGCAAACACGCTTGGTCAGTGTTGAGTTCTCACAACACGGCACAACACCGAATGAGCATGTCCCCTGCTGCAACACCCTCAACACGACATCCTTCAAACCTCAAAGCTAGCTGCTCCTGTTGCTTTACAAAAAGGGTCAGAAGGGGCCGAGAGACTCTTTTTTGGGTTCTTGAGCCTGGGAGCTTGGGAGGCGCCTGAGGTGCCCTTCAACGCCTTCCTAGGCGCGGTTCAGAAGCGAGAGGTAGCTGCTAGCTTCTCGAGGGTGTGCGCGGTATGGTGTGGCTTGCTTTGGGGTTGCTATTTTGCTTTTTGTCATCATCAGCGTCATCAGAGCAGAGAGCGGAGCGAGGTGATGACCGCCTGCGCTTTGGCCAAAAGCAGGGAGCCTCAGGTGTTCGTTTTTTTCACCACTTTTTTTCCCCTTCGGCTTGCGTTTTTCGCGTCTTCATTTCTTCTGTCATCTCCTTCCTTCTCGACCTCTTCTCTCAGCTCAAGCTTCTCTCGGCTGTGAAGGAAAGATTCCGCTGCAGCGCCACCGGAGAAGAAGGCCAAGACCGAGAAGGCAAGGGGAAGATGCACTTCATTGGGGGGCACAGGAAGCACCAGGGATGTCGTTGAAGGGGTGAAGGGGTGAGCACATGTGCAAGCGCCCAAATTTTGACTTCATGTGGATAGAAGCTCGCCCGCGAGTTCTAGGTCCTCCGATCTCCCGCCTGATAAACGCAAATAGAGCGTTGCTTCTGTTCGTTTGGGGCGTTTTTTGTATTTCAGTGCGACGATTGTCGAGTGTAGCCGGAGCAGAGTGAGTGCACTACAGAATCTGCTTCTTGGATTTATGTGAGGGGAGAGATCGGTCGCAGCGTCAGGACTGTCCACATAAAGTGATGAATTTGATACGGGAGTTGCCACAAAGAAACAGTAGGTTTGTATTGCTTCACAGCTTTGACGGCGCATGTCGTGCAAATAATGTGTTTGGAGGGGATCTCTACCTTTGGTGTGGCTGTGCTGGCCTGGCTGCTCCAGGATGTGAAGGAGAAGAAGGAGAAGAAAAAGAAGAAGGAGTCGGGAGCATAATGCTTCGGCTTTGTCAGTTTCCCGGCTTGACACAAACATTGCTGAGGTCCTCCAGCTCTGACAGCGACTCCAGTGATTCTAGCTCGTCAAGCTCAAGCTGAATGAATGCACGAAAAAGGCGTTCTCTGCAATGTGCCTTCGGATGGGAAATTCGGTAAGCCAGTGGACAATCTGGAGTTTGATGAAATCATGTAGGTTCATTGCCTTTGCTCATATTGCTGTTGCTGTTTGTGCATGTATTGGTGCTGCCAGCCCGCTCCCCCCATTGTGGGAGGGCTTGAGTAGGACCTCGGCGCGCAAGAGCGTGCCGCTGGAGGGCCAGCAGTGCCCTTTCGTGACCTATGCGAGTCTACATGCTTGAGACACCGCGACCTCCTCAGTGCACATGGAGCTGGGTATTGTTTCAAACTAGGCAAAAATCAGTAGCGCAGCGCGCAGTCTCAGCCATGGCCATGTTGCTATGGAGCGTGTTGCAGCTCAGCTGCAGACGGGGGACTGTTGCCGCGTGTTTCCGTCCAGTCGCGACAATGTCACGGAGAGTCTCTCGTAGGCTGGTGCATCTCAGCCTGGCGGGAGCGGCTCCGACAGTTAGCCGCCTGGCAGAGAAGGAAGAAGGAGGAGAAGAAGGAGAAGAAGGAGAACAAGGAAAAGGGGTCTTTCAAGGGTTTTCAGAGGGTGTATTAAAAGTGTATTATTTGGGATACAGGCCTGGGGGTGGTGGGGGGGGGGGGGTTGTTCTTGGTGTGCTTGCTCTTGCTGCCTCAATGAGGTGCTGCCTGGGGCCTCGAGGCCCTGCAGCGCCGCGCGGAGCTGCGGCTGAGCCAGGCAAAGGGGGGAGACACAACAAAAAGAATTCAAAAAAGCAAAGAGAAGCTTAAGCAAATGCTCTTTAAACGAAACGGTTTAAAAGAAACGAAGGGCAGCAAGAACCGCGGAACAGCCTCAATCCAAAAGTGCTCACATGATGTCGCCACGCATGATCTCAAAGGCCCTTGCGGACGAGCATTTCTTGAGAATGCAAGTCGAACAAGCCCTTGAACCAGCAACATGCAGGGTGCCGTTCTTGCTTCAAAGCTCTCTTCCGTCGCCTGCAGGTCGGGTGGGACTCGACAGCATTGGTGGCGCTGGGCGCGGTGCCAGAAGCGCGCACCTCGCCTGGGCACAGATGGGATCCAGTCCCCCGCACATCCCCACACCTTACCGCGTTGTAGCTATCATACGCCGGTTCTTCATTTCGTGCAAATGGACGAGGCTTCAGTCGTCCCTAAAAACTTCGGCACTACTCCATTCCGTGCTTAAACAAATACCATGCCTGTAGACGGACGGGCGCAGCGCCCGACCACATGCATGGGAACAAGCGGCAAGCTCAGACCGTCTCGTGCAAATCTCCCTCTGATGTTTGTTGCTTGTTGTTGTCTCCAGCGGTGATGAGGATTAATCACAAGATATCACAGTCACAGCGGTTGGGCCAGTCGTTATCCATCTTGGCTGTATAGTAACACGCAGCAGAATGCTGGGGCGGCAACAAGTTGCACCGACAGGCGCAGTTACGTGTGCCTTCAAACACACGAGTGTTGCAACCCTTTTTGAGAAGTGGCTTACTCGCACTTGTACCTCCAACGAGATGGACGCGTGGAAACTTATTGTTGTTTCAAGAGTTCTTTTGCACGGTGAAGTGGGCCTCGTGGGCCAAGGGCTGCTGGTGTCGGATGAAGAGGTGGCAGCTCTTGCTCCCGAATCCTTTCTTCTCCGCGCCGGCAATGCCTCGGGCCGGATCTTAGTGGTCTGTGCCGGGAGGCTCTCGGGGTTAAGCTGGGAATCTGGCGGGCTCAAAGAGTTGAGAGGTGACATTCGGTCCCTGGCAGGACCAAGCGAGCGGTGGGCTTTGCCTTCTATGAGTTTCTTCAACAGCTGGGTTTTGGGTTCTTGCATCCGCTGAAGCCAGCGCCGTGGCAGCAAGCTGGGATCACTTCGAGTGCGGGTCGCCGGGTCTTGCGAAGGAAAACGCATCCGAGGTCATTCCCGAAGCTTCGGAGCAAAGCTGGCAACCCCTGGATATCCACGAGACGCCTCGCTGGAGTTTCCGAGGCTGGCAGCACAGGGTGTAGGTGCCTGGGTACGGGTAAGCTGTAGGCAGTGTAGGCAAGCTGTGTAGTGTAGGCAAGCTGTAGGGCAAGCTGCAGTTCAAGCTGTAGGCAGTGGCCCAGGTCTAGAAAGGTGTCATCCCAAGCCGTTTTTGGTGGAGAGAGGTACCCACTACCACACACAGCACCCACTGGAATTGACAAACTTCTTGAACGGCTACGACGCCCTGGGCAGCACGAAATCCCGGGAGAGCTGGCGGGAAGCGTGGGCCGCTTGGGAGGAGCTCTCGCCTCTCCTGACAGTGAGAGAGGATGTAGGAGCAAAGGTGGGGTCCGAATAAGGGTGTCAGTGTGCAGAGGCTAATGGGATTCTCGGGGCTTCGAAAAAAGAGCGAAGAGGCCAGCAGCTCGGAAGAAGGCAGATGCAATATTGTCATATGAGGCGGAGAGGTTTTCCAAGGGGGGGCGGAGGGTGGGGAGGGGGGCGGAGGGGAGAGTGTCACTTTCGGGGGATGCGTTGTCCAGGCAAGAGCTCCTCCTTCTGAGTTCTTCTCGAGGTCTCTTCAAGTCTTTCTGTCTCGATCTGCGTCTCCATCTGTCCCTGTGTCCGCAAAAGAGCCTGCTAGCCTGGGTTTAGGGAAATAATTGCCAAAAGCAAGCATGAGAACACTAGGCAGAGACGAGAAAACATAACAGAAGAGAAAGGACTATCTGGAATGGATGCTGGCCCAGAAGCAGAATTACCTGGAGTGGATGCTGCTGGCCGACGTGCGGACCAAAGAGGACACGGTCAGTCAGTTTTCCCATGATGTGAAGCTTCCTTGGCTCTTTTGTAGTTTTCGTTGTCATGCTTTTCCTCGTGTTTGGGAAATCTGTTGAAGACAGTGAAGGCCGACTTTGAAACCAGCTCCGAGCGCCAAGCTCGGCTGCGTCTCATCGTCAACGCAGCACACGACCTTGGTTTGGAGGCCTGTGGGTGTATTGGTCTATGCGTCGTGTTGTAGAGTGCACTTCTGTAGTTTCATTCGAGCAAGCTGGCAGCATCCAAAAAGGAGAACGCTAGTGTCAGTGCAGGTTGGCGCCGACGTCCCCCTCACCTTGAAGCAGCAGCACGCGCTAAACCTCCTGCCGAAGCCAACGCGCAGTCCCACTGACAATGCGGCGCAGGCCAGACGAGGGCCGCCGCGACTCCACCTCAAAGCTTTTTTGGCTGTAGATCCTGTGGAAAATGGCCCCAATGCCATGCTCTGCCTTCTGTTCGTGGGCCAGCCGCGGAACAATCCCCAGGTCCGACAGCGCGTGCAGTGGTTGTTGAGCTGCGGCTTCGATCACCTTGGCACTGAGTTGGGCAGCACGGAGTTCACACGAGGATTCGGGTTGAGTGCTTGGCTTTGAAGGAAAGGTTGGGAGATGTTGATTGACTGTGGCATCCCACCATGTTAGGCTCAGCGTTTGCACGCTTTGGGGATCCTTGGGGTAGCGCCTTGGGGCATTTGTAATGTTGTAAGTGGTGAAGGTGAAGTGATAAAGTTGTACAGACGCAAAGTGTGCTGGAGGTCCGGCAAAGTGAGTTTTCCTTTGTGCAGCAGGACTGGATGCCCGTGAGCTGACGCACCTGCTGAATGAAACGCAGGACCATGCCCTTCATGTCATTGCGTTACACTGAGTCTAAACCCGTGGCCTCCGGGAGTCATCCGGGGGTCCTCCGGTGTCACTGCGGATCACCGCAAGGAGGCTTTGGGTCCACGGAAGTTGCTGGTCAAGAACCACTGCTCCACGAAACAGCATGCAGAGGGCTTCAGAGACCCCAGGCAGCTGTCATGAGTTGCTACGAGGGCCGGTGTGCACGAGCGTACGCAGTGCAAGTGCCGGAGGCCTGGGAAGCAAGACGAGCCGCTGAATTTCAACTATCGCCCTGGGCTCAGCCAAGAGTCCACAAGAGTCCAAAAGAGGCCGATTGTGTTGCTTTGCCAGAGTGTTGAGCCGAACTCCCAGTCAACTATTTCGCGGACCCCAAGATCGCCGCTGGGCTGCGACACTCATCCGACGGGGTCTCCCCAATGGATGCCACGAGAGCAGGGGGACAAGGGGAAGTGGTCTTCTTCACCCGGGCTTTTGGGAATTCACCCTTTAAAAGGCTCCTCTCTGTAGCCAAGCCGAGGTGAGCATGCCGCACACGGTGCAAGCGTACTCCCTGACGGACCCAGCTCCGACGTATGGGAACGCAAACTTCTCAGACTTGCGAGCCTTCAGAGGCATTCAGGATCAAAAAAGCATGCCCAAAAGGGTGCCCGAATGAAGAGAGCGAGAGGGCACTCTATTCTGCGGTGAACACCGTGCCTCGCTCTCGATGCATCTCGCCACGTACCTGAATATCTTGCCTTCAAAAGCACGTGGCCTGTGCACTCGGGTTGAAAGCCTGTGGATTGAGGGTAAGGGGAAGGCAAGGGCGGGAAGGGCCCAGGAAGGGGTGCGAAATTTCTCGCAGACATCCTCTCTCAGACTTTGAGAGGACTGAGAGGCCCCCCCGCCTCCACCCCCCCCCCCCTCTTCCCGCTTTTGAGTTGCGAGAGCATGAGAATCCCAGGAGAGTGGACCGGCTTCTTGCTGCAGCAGGGCCGGCCGGTGGTCTTCTACCCTGCGGCTTTGGGGCAAAAAGCACTACCCATGCACACCCCATCTCTCACCCCATCTGTCTCGGCGTCTGTGTGGGGCTTCTTAGGTCACGTGACTCCCTCTCTCTCTCCTCTTGTCCTTCTCTCCTCAAGGAAACCGCGTACTGGGTCAACTACGACATCTCCGTGCCACTGTTTCTAGCGCCAACCTACGCATCCGACCGCTTGGAGGACGGCGCAAGTTCGGAGGAATGCCAGGGACCCCACAGACCTTACAGTTTCCTTACAGATCTCCGGATTTAGCAGGACGCAGACACATTGGATGCGATGCCGGCTGCAGTGCCACGGTCAGAGACATTGAAGCCTTCCCAGAATCCGCGGCTTTCAAGCCTCAACAGAGATCTTTGCAAGCCGGGGGTTTGTTGCTAGATTTGATAGGGTTGACGTGGCCGGGTGCCGATAGTGCGCAGAGCTCAGGCGCCTATGCTTGGCCAGCTGAACTTTGAAAGCGGCTGGCAGTGGGGCTACTGGCTCGCCGCTTTGCCTGAGACTCCTAGGATTGTTCTCACAGACCCGACGTCTGATCAGTTCGTTGCTGTTGTGCTACTCGCTGCTATTCTCGTGCTTTCGCTCTTTCGTTGAGTTCGCTTTCAGAGGCGAACTCGGCACAAGCCCTGGTGGCTTGGCAAAGGCCACAAGGCCTCGGAGGGGCCTTCAACCGCCTCTTCCGTTTCCTGCCCACCTCCACGCCAGGGCCTCAATGTGTGAATCTGGGGAAGAAAGTTGTTCCAAGCTGTTCCTAATATTCGAGTACACAACGTCATGGGGGCCCTCGATTTTCGACTGTTTCTTGCTTCATGACTTCAGTTAGGACGGTTCCGACGGTTCCTAACAAGCTAAAGCTGCCTGTGCAGAATCTTCAAAGGAAAAACTACAGAAGGGCCTCTGAAAAGAATGGAGGCCCAAACCTCGCCATTCACCCATGTAGGACGCTGACAATACCCGCCCTCTGAAAAAAGTCAACAAACAAATCGTGTTTTTTTTGCCGCCCCCCAACCCGCTCCTCCAGCTTCCTCCCACCAGGCACCCTCCCCCCACATCCTGGCCAGGCGGGCCTGTGCCCTTTACCACCCTTGTACAAAATTCAGACTATGGGCTACATTGAAATGCCTATATATATATATATATACAGGTGTATATATATATATATAGAGGGGCCATGAGGGAACGCTCCAAAAAATGTAGTTGACAGACCTAAAGGGAAGAGATGTGGAGAAGCCCGTAACATGAAGCACCCGCTCTACCCATAGATGTTTTTTTGGTGCTACGGAAGTGTGGAATTTTGGAAGTGGCATGGTGGGCTCCAACATTGGAGGTGTGAATGTGGTGCTTTAAAGGTCGTATGTTGGCCCCACATTAAGAATACTAACGGCACCAATGCTGCGAATAATGCTACGAATACCTATCGAAATACTAGTGAGTGAGTGAGTGAGTGAGGAGCGACTGCCAACTGGGTGGGTAGTTGGATTACGGGTCCTAGATTGCCGCGAGGTTTTCGGCATTTTCGGCAATCTATGGCCTGTTTCCGGCTTTGGGGGGGGGGGGGGAGGGGGGATAAGAACGTCATTCATATTGCTTCCATGCACAAAACTCGGGTATTTGCTGCGTTTTCGCTTCTTTGTACAACACACTGCGCAAGGATGTGGAACAAGACACGTTGTCACAAGCGTCCATGCCAATTTCGACGATGCCCAAGACACTGGTATTTACCGCGATTTTGCCTCGTTGTACGACATACCGCGCAACAGTGCGGAGCAGGACACGTTGTCACAAGCGTCCATGCCAATTGCGACGATGCCCAAAACACTGGTATTTTCCACGTTTTCGCCTCGTTGTACAACATACTGCGCAAGGATGTGGAAGAAGAAAAGCTGTCACAAGCGTCCATGCCTTTGGCTGAAGTACGATCTCATTTAACACCAAAGCCCCCAATTCAGTAAACATCGAAGTAGTTTTTTTGCTGTTTTTTGGGCCTCCTGTTTTAGGAATCCTCCAGAAACCCAGGTAAAACGTAGGTTTTCGCACACCCAAACACCACGGCAATCTAGGACCCGTGATCCGGGTAGTTGGTAACTATGCCGTAGGCGCTATCCCTCCTGCCTTCTCAAGGGGCTCCGATACGTCATTGCCCCCTCCGGTTGGAGTTCAGGCTGGCCGCGCCCCCCGGTTCCGAAAACGTCAACACCCGAGGCAAAAAAGGGAAAACGGGGGGGGCTCCTCGGACTCCATTCACTTCACAACAGATGTCAAAAGCAGGGGCCGCCGACCGACCATGGCTAACAGTCAGCCATCCCCCGCACCAGGCACCTCATGCCAGTATGCCCTCAGAGTGGAAAGGGCAATGCCTGGAACTGTTGGCACCGCCCCCCGAATGAGGGGTCCTATCAAAATACTAAAACCAATGATGCGAGCACTAGCACTACCAGTACTAGTCTTGCTAAAACTACTACTGACAAACTACGAACGGGTTGGGAGTACCAAGGAAGTACAACTTTGAGATAGAGAAATCTCCAATCCCTAGCCCCCGGAATTCCAGAAATAACAACCTTTGTTCACAGTATTCGCGTTTGTGCTGGCCCCTCATCTAATGTTGACCTAGTAATAATAACCCCCCCCCCCCCCCATCAATCAAACCCCTCCAAATAGAGTAGGGGCCCCTTTGAATACGGATTCCTTTCTTGGAGCCCCCCTTCAATCAAACCCCCCCAAAAAAACAACAAGCCCCGACTGGCGTACTTTATTTCAAGGGCTTTATTATTGCGGCCGGGACACCTGACGTACTTTAATATTAGGGGCTTTATTAATACTACGTTAACATTAGGTAGTCTCGTGCAGTCCCGTATACAGGCAGTCACCGAGATAGATAGGTAGATGTGCTCATATAGCGTATGCTTAAATCTTCAACTAAATATTTGTTTGCGTTGTCATAGGACAAAAGCCCTACGAAATAGTGGAATCTTAGGATATGGGATGCCGTTCCCAGAGTATGACCCTGGGCCCCATACAGTATACAGCTTGGAATCTTGCAACACGGAATGCCGGGCCTCAGAACTTGATATTGTGGAATGTGGCATAACACCACCCAAAGTGCATAGGCTGTGGAATATAGATAAATGGGTCCGAAAACTTCTGGAAATTTGAAGGTGGGGCTGGACCCCCCAATCTATGAGCACAGGAGTGTAGGAATTGAGATGTGGGATGCTAGGCCCAAAACGTTTGGGAATTCATAAGGAGAAATTGAATTCATAAGGAGAAATTTCTAGCGATACTAGTAAGACTAAGTTTTTCAACGACACCATCGCTACGAAGAATGCCAACACTGCTAATCATAAGACTAGCATTAACCATGTGAGCACTAGCACTACTAATCTTGCAAATGCCCCCAAAAAGCACGAACAATAAGAGTAAAACTACAAACGCATACTCTATACATATATGCATATAGCATGCTTTGTAATCTTATCTGCTCGCCGCCACCTTTTCGTGTTGGTGCTCATGGAAACTAAACATAGCATTCGTAGTCCTCAACCCATAAGATATTTAACTGTTGGTATACAGACTTGTATGGAAAGCGTTGATTACACAGAATGGCAAACTAATACCCCGCAACACACAAACCAGAGGTCTAGATTCACGAAAAAGTATTCTAAGCTATCATCTAACCACGTGGCATGCGTTCTGAGATTTGTGCAGACGAGTACTATATGTGTCAATATATTTAATGATTTACATAAGATGCAAGAATGGGTGTGCAGATGTGTCGAGGAGACAGTAAGGGTATATATGTAGAGCTAGGGGCTGGGGCAGAGAGCAGAAACAAATTTCGGAGAAAAAAAAAACTCCCCTCCCCCCGATGTGTTTTTTTGGGAGCCCCCCCCCCCCCCCCCCCCCCCCCCCCCCTCCCTCTCTGCCTCTAATGGTTCTTGTATGGCCCTGGCCAGGCCAAACCCCCCCCCCCCCCCCGGGGCCATACAAAAAGTATCAGAGGCAGAGGGGGGGGGGGTGGGGGGGGGCTCCCAAAAAAAGAAAGAAACAAAAATTAGGGGGGAGGGGAGTTTTTTTTGGGGTTATTTTTTTTTCGACATTTGTTTCTGCTCTCTGCCCCAGCCCCTAGCTCTACATATATACCCTTACTATCTCCTCGACTCATCTGCACACCTATTCCTTCCTCTTATGTAAATCATTAAATATATTGTATATTGCTAGGTATGTTTATCTGCATAAATAGACACAGAAAATACTCGTCTGCACATCTCGTAATATATACATATAGATACATACACATAGGAAAATATACAAAAATTGAATGTCTCAAAACGCAGGCCCCCATGACGTGGTTTTCTGTATTATTAAGGCTGAGAGATGCCGAAAACGCTTTGCAGGCGAGACGCCCTCACGGAGCTCCTCGTGGACTTCGCTGCAGCGCAGCAGCAACTGCTGATCGAGGCGGGAATTTGTTCGTGTGTTTTTTTCTTCTGTAGGCTTCTCAGTGGGAAAAGCGAGAGTGCGAATGTGCCTTCTGCCCAGGGCCGGAGGGCGGACGGCCGCCGCCTCACGGGAGAGATGAGAGGAGATATCGTTTGGGAGAGAGTTTGGGAGTGCGAGAGCGGCTTCTTTGACAAGAGAGAGAGAGAGAGAGAGAGAGAGAGAGAGAGGGAGGGAGGGAGAAGGGATTCAGTCGGGGGCTTCTCTGCTCGGCGAGGCACAAGAACCACACCCGCGCCGGGCGCAGGGCCGGGATCGGAGCCTCGCCTGAGAATGCGACAGCATTGCGAGCCCGAGTCCGCGTGAGAGAACGGCTGAGAAATGTTGAGAGTACGTGCGAGAATCCGAGAATCCCTCTCACCCCTCTCTCTCCCTGTCAGTCTTGTCTGTGCCATCCTGAGAGGCCACGGGCATTGCCTACCTTCAAGGCGACGCGCACACACAGCGCACGGCATTTTTTAGCATTTAGTATCGAGTGTATACTTTTAGTATCTACCGAGTGCAAACGGCCGTGGCAGGCTCGGAGGGTCTAAGCGACCTTGCTTCACTGGTGGCGCGCTACTTGGGCGAGGCGCTCCCCAAACAGGGAGATGGGCAAGCAAGTCCCAGTGGCCAAACTTAAGCCGAAGAAGGACGAACAGACCATCAAAGGAAATGCGCAAGCGCATACCTGTCGCGAGCCTTTGAGTTAAGAGCAGATTGGTTGGTCCTGTCACGAACGAGGAGAAGGAAAGCGGGCACAAAGAGACAGTTAAGAGATGCGAAGAGAAGAGTCATGAGAGCGTGGTCTGTGTGAGGGCGCTCCCCAACCCGACCGGCTGCACTTCATGGAGCTCTGGCGCGAGGCTTGGGATTATGCTTGGGATTCGGTAGTTCGCTGGCGCAATGTGTGGGTGGGACGAAAAATCGATAGCAGGGGAAAGGGGACTTGACTCGCGAAAGTCTTGCAGACGCCGCCTGCGAGCCTGCGGCTGCTGCGGCTGCTGGGTGAGGCCGGGAGGTGCAAGGCACCAGATTGTAAAAGAGCGCTTGCCCTCGTGCGCCTTGTGCTCCTGCGCCTCAGGGGGGCAGCGCGGAGGCCTTCGATGGCGAGGGGTTGCGCCAGTCACGGCGGGCTTGGTTCCAGGCACCTGAGGGCTTTTGATGCTTCTGAGGGTGCCTGTGAGTCTGACGCTTGAAGTTTGATCCTTTCTTCCGAGCCTCCAGCTTGTCCAAGGAGCAGCTCTGGCCGCTGCTCCGTGAAACCAATGCCACCTTCCATGCTCTGGCCGCACGCTTTGTGGCGCTCCCTGCAATGCAGTCGCCCAGCCACCGCGAGGTGGAAGTGTCAAGAATGCTGGGCTCTCACATTAACATGCCCCCACCACGAATCTCTTGAAGGGAGCTTGTAATGGAAGGTGGTGCAGGACTTGGCAGATTCGGCGCAGCTGCTGGCTTTGCGGTGCTCGCAAGTGTCACCAGTGCATGCTTTTGCGTGAAGGGCTTCCCATGCTTGCGGCGAAACGACGCATGCCGATCACGGCCGCTGCCTGCCAGGCTAGCGCTCTACGAATACGCAGCTCCTGGGCAAGAAAGCAGAACAATCATGACGAGCCTGGCATATATTGCTATAGAAGAGCACTGACGGAGCGTTCATTGGCGCGTTTGTTTTTGCAGCTTTTTGAGGCGTTCTGCTCGCCGGGTGAGTGTCGCAGTCGCCTCGCGGCCGGTCGCGCTGCGGTGCGGGCTGCCCAGGCCCGGGACAGAGGCTGCAGAGAGCGCAGAGAGCGCAGAGGTCCTAAGCAGAGGTCAAGGACCTTCTGTCTCTTCTGTCCCTCTCCGAGCCTCCGGCTGCGCAGCCGAGGCCGTGGTCTCTGCCAGGGCAGCCCACCTTGGCCTCGAGGTGCTGGGTGGTGATGCCAAGCGTCTGGTTCTGGACGGCCCATGTGTGTCGCTTTGTGTGAGTGTGGGGTCTCTCTGGAAGTTTCACTGCAAGTCTCTGGAAGTCCCCAAGACCCCAAGAAAGGGCTTTTGGAGAGAATTGTCTGCCATCATCGAGGGATGAGCGCTTGGGGGGGTTGGAGCTTTTTCGGGCTGCGTATGAGTACGATGAAGGAACTTGGGTCATGAGAGGAATGGTCGCGGCCCATCCCGACGGCCTACGCCTACGGTTACCTCTGGGCGGCCCAGACGCTCTTCTACTGGAGGAGGGATCAAGCCATTGCCCCGCGGCCGATTCGAAGATTCGAAGGTGTTTGAGTTCTCCTTGTCCTTGTTTGTTATGTCAAACATTGCTTGCTTTGTTGAAGTGACAAATGCTCAGCGTGGTTGGTGGGAATGTGTGTGTACCTTTGTGGCCATTTTGGCATCAAGGATCACACCCGAAGTTTTACTAGGGTGGTCCAGCAACAGGTGGGTGCGGCGTGTAGGGACCCGGTGGTCGTTCCTGGACAACTCGAGTTGGATTCCTCTTTTGAGGGCCTCCTTGAGGTGTTCTGGGAGCCCCGGACCCTGGACGTTGCACTCTTAGCTGTGGGCTCTTACTTGTGGGCCTTGAGCATCTGCTGTGGTCGGCGATCCGTCAGGACAGCCCCAGAGCAGGCTCAGCAACCCCACTTGGAAAGGCGCCCTACGTAGAACCCCGTCCTTGAGAGTGATGGACCCCACGGCTGAAGAGCTACAGGCCATCACGAACCTGGCGGGTGTCTACGCATGGGCTGGAGTTACGGGCGGTCTAGAGGCCTCCTTAAAAGATGCCCTTGGAGACCCAGTTAGGGTGAGAGAGGTGGCCTTGATCCCGAGACCTGCCTGGGATACGGCGGTCACAGGATTGAAGGTCAGGGGCCCACCTGCTGCAGATGGCACGCCAGGCCCTCTTCGCGACCTCACCTTGGTGGAAGCAGCAAGGGTTGAGTCCACGCGTCGGGTGGCCCTTCTCCTCATGGGGCAGCAGCCCGACTCACCAGGAACTGCTGGGCCACCTGTGGTTGTCCCGGCCCCGGGCCCTGGGGCAGCAACCGCGGCAGCCCTAGTCGGAGCTAGGAAGCTCAAGCTCTCGGCAGTCCTGGACCCCACCCTGGATGCAGAGGTTTCCCCGTTGGCCAACACGGAGGTCCAGAAGCTGTACGCTGATTACAAGGCCAAGTATGGGGATTTTCCTTCGCCGGAGGCTGATCCCTCTGCCGACCAGCTTGCCTCCATCAAGCAGGTGGTGGCTTCGGGATCAGCCCCCTACGCGGACTTCAGCCTCTTCGGACCTCATGGACTGAGGCTGCTGAGGAAACAAACGTTCACATCGTACCAGCTAAATGCGGCGACGGGCGAGTGGACGAAGAGAGAGCAACCTGGCCCTGCGTCCTACCACAACTGGATGGAGGCTTGGAAGGTGCTCCGAACTTCGCTCCTCCTGCTCGAAGTTGCAGATGCTGAACGGTTGGACGCCTATGCCGAACACGTCCGCAGCTTCGTCACACAGTTCGGTGACAGTGCATGGTGGCTGGTGTATCGGGCTGAAAACAGGCTAAGGTGCGAGCATATGGAACGCCTCCGCCGCATCCTCCACGACAAGCCAGAGTACGGGTACACCCAGGCCAGGCCGTGGAATGCGGCGTTTGCTGCGGCTGTGAGGGACTCAGAGTTCTGGACACGTGAGCTGGTCACTCCTGCCACGCTTTGGCTTTCGCAGCAGAGTTCAGGCCTGGGCTCAGGAGGGGGCACTAAAAGGCCACAGCAGGACGGTGGTGACGACGGCCCTCTTCGCAAAAAGCAGAAGACCAAGAAGAAGAAGTACGAGGGGGAGGATCTCAGCGAGAAGAAGGGTAACGTCTATGTCCTCAACAGGCGTGGGGCCCGGATCTGCGACGGGTACAACCGGGGCAGGTGTGGCAACAAGAAGCCTCAGGGTGTCTGCAAGGACAAGTGCAGTCACCAGTGCAATCTCTGCTTGGGGCCACACCAAGCTCTGGAGTGCCCAAAAGCCTGAACCGGGGACCCGCCTCACACTGAGTTGGCCATGGGCGCCGCAACAAAGGCGAGCGTAGCTGCTAAGCCAAACGTGGACCCCAACCAGGAGCTCATCGACAGGACTGCTCAGGCAAAGGCGCTGCCGGCCTCCCGTCCCGAAGTCCCTGCTGAGGTCAAGCCACCAACTCCGCCCCGGCCGAAGAAGAGGAAGCAAGTGCTGCCAGAGCCGACCACATCTACCTCTTCGCCAAAGCCGGGGCCCAAGCCGACGGTTCTTGGACCAGCTGGTCCGGCCGAGGCTGCCAGGCTTAGGCGAAGTTTGGTTCACGTGCCGCCCTTGGGCCACACACTGCCGAGTTACCCCGTTCTGGTAAAGGGTCCTAGGGCATATGGGACATGGGTGGCAAAGCCGGCGACAAACAATGTGCCGAAGCCTTGGGCGCTGGTTCTCTTCCCGGGCCAGACCAGAAAGGGCGACCTCCCGAACTGGCTGGCCCACTACGGCTTCATGGTTTGCATTGTAGACCTCAAGGCCGAGAAGGGAACGGATGTGATCGATGAGGCCATCTTCGGCTTCATCGAGAAAGACGTCGTCGCTGGCAGCTTTGAGGTCATCTGGTGCTCGACGCCCGCCAAGGCGCCAGACAAAGAAGCCAAGGTCCTGACCGAAAGGACCCACGACGTCCTCGCAGCCGCTTGGGATCAACACCGCACCTGGGGACTTGAGAACCCTGCGGCCGACGGTGACAACCCGTCCTTGTGGGAAGCCCCGTTGATAAGGCGGCTGGCTCAGCTCGACAGAGTGGTCACGGTAAACTTCGATCGCTGTCGACTGGGCCACGCTACTCGGGGGCCAACTCAACTTCTGGTCGCGGACCACGTGAACTTTCTGGACCTCCATGGCTTGACTTGCAACCATTCAGTCAACGCCCACAAGGAGAAAGCGTCCCCAACCAAGCAGCGAGGTGAGTACACACCTCACCTCTCACAGGTCGTGGCCAATGCGCTTTACCAAGGATACCGGCTCCAATCCCTGGAAAAGGAAGATCTGTGAGGATGGGACCCGGCTGCTGAGTTCGCGGCCCTTCCCGCCTGCGATGAAAGTAACAGGCGGGAGGCTGAGAACAAGCGAGCCTTGGGGGGCATGAGGAATCCTCGCCTCTCATTGCGAAGGCTCCCGAAGTCCAGGCGACTTGGGAGGGTTGTGCATAAAATCCTCCTACAAAGCCTTCAGCAATGGCCAGAGCTTGTGGAGCCAGCCCGAGCCATCCTACAAGGAAGGGAGCCCAAGGACTACCCTGTCGATCTCCTCGAAAAGACAAGGTCGGCCGTCCTTACAGCGCTCGGGGCCACAGACAGTGTCAGGCATCGAACCCGCACGGCGCCTGCCAACACACCCATTCAGGCCTCAGTCATAGAAGCCTGGGGCCACGCAAGCGACGACCCAGACTCCACTACGCTCGCAAGCTGGCTTGACCATGGTGCCCCGCTGGGGATCAGCGAACCCATTGGCACTACCGGGGTTTTCCCGGCAACCGAGGCCAAAGGTCTGGTTCCGCATAGTCAAGTGGATCGTCGGGCCCTGGAAGGATGGAGCAACTACGCCTCGGCCGAGGAGGAGGCGGAAGTGCTTGACGAACTCATCCAGGACTATGTCGCCAGGGGCTTCTGCCATCGGGTGAGCTCGTATAAGGCCGCTTCCAAGCAGTTGGGTGACGAACCTGTCCTTAACAAGCTTGGCGTCCTCGTCAAGAACAAGCGGGACGCGCAAGGCCGGGAAGTGAAGAAGGCCAGGGTGATATGGGACTTGAAGGAGTCAAACGTCAACAAGGCCTGCAACCAGGGGGAGCGGATCATCTTACCACGTCTACTCGACGTCGTGGCCTCGCTCCTGGCAGCTTATAAGCGCGGCCGCAGTCCCTACCTGGCCGGCGTCGACATACGGGACGCCTTCATGAACATACCAGCAGGCAAGGACAGGAAGTTCACCGTGGCAGCGGTGCCGAGAAGGCGAAACAAGAGAGCCGGCCACGACCTCATCGTCTTCAACACCCTCGTCTTCGGCTCAGCTTCCTCGCCAACAATATGGGGCCGGATGGCAGCTTGGCTTGGTCGCACCACAGCCGCTGTGTCCTTGGCCGATCCCCAGGTCTATGTAGACGACCCGGTGTATACCTTGGAGGGCCCCGACCTCGAGACCGCCGCCGCGGACTTGGCCGTAGTTCTCCTATGGACCGCCGTCGCTGGCTTCCCCGTCAAGCTCTCAAAAGCCACCGGGGGCAAGCGCATCGAGTGGGTCGGCGCAAGCATATCCTGCAGGGACGAGGAGAAGGCCGTCGTGGTGACCATACCCAAGGCCAAGGTCGCGCAACTCCTGGCGGAGACCGAGAAGCACTTAGGTAGGGCCGTGATTGGAGCTAAGGAACTTCGATCATACGCCGGGGCACTCTCATTTGTGGCTGGTCTGGTGCCACACCTTCGGCCGTTCCTGGCGACGTTCTGGGCAGCCCTTTCGAAGCATGATATCACGAGTGATGGTTCACCTTACACTCGAACCAGAAAGTTGATTCATGTTAGAAGGATCAGCCCGGCACTTCGTTGGGTAAAGGCGTTGCTGTCTGGCACCGAGACACTCGAGAGGATCTTCTACGCCAACCCGCCGGCCACTGACTTGGAGCTGGTGACAGATGCCTCGCCATGGGGCATCGGTGGAGTGTGCCGACGAAATGGAGAGCCGCTGGCATACTTCCACAGCCATCTCCCGGACGACATCCTCGCCAAATTTTCAGCGGAAAGGGGGGTGTCAAGCTACAACACCCTATGGGAAGGCCTCGCCCTTTTGGTAGCTTTCAGACTGTGGTTACCGGCACTCACCCACGGCTCGGTGTTTCGGGCGAAGTCGGACAACCTAGGCTTCCTGATGGCATTGTCCAAGGGAAGCGCTAAGTCACCGGCCCTGAATGTGCTGGCGCGGGAGTTTGCTTTTGACCAGGCCACCCGATGCTACCAAATAAGGGGGCTGGTCCACATCGCGGGTGTGTCCAATGTACAGGCGGACGCACTCTCGAGGTTGAGCGCTCCGGAACGAAAGCCATTCCCGTCGGAGCTGCTAGCCACCCCTCGCTGTGAGGTGAAGCTGGGCGCCGACTTCTGGAAGGTGGTCTGAAAAGACACGCTCCCATTAGTTTGTGCGCACATGCGCCGTTGCTGTCATGCGCACACTTCGCTCTTTCACTTCTCTCACTCTCTCACTCTCACTCGTCGAGCAGTTCTATGTACTTGCCATGTCTGCAGGCTCAAAGTTGCGATGCCCAGACCAAAGAGGAGGCTTGGGCAAGCGTTCTGGCCTAGTGCTAGTGGTAACCCCCCCGTGCCTCCGCCGAACCCCAGGCGAGCCGGCGTCCTACACGAAGGTCCTGCTCTCGGGCGGCCTGTGGAAGATGTCAGGCAGCCGGACGGGTCAGGGGCAGGGAGCGTAGTCATAGAAGAAGAGAGAAAGAGACAACGGAACAGGCGGGGGGAACCGGTTCCATACTGTAGGGGTAGCTCTGCAAAGCTTTTTGAAGCGGCAAGCCACCCCGAGCAGTGTAAGGAACTTCTCCTAGCCGATTCCAGGTCGGTTACATCCGTAGGCCCGGTAGAGTCAAGGCTCAAACTTTGGTGCGATGTTTCAAAGCGAGCCAGACTCGAACCATTTCGGCTCACGCCTGATGGCATATATTCCGTTATGGGCGCCTTTAAAGCCGCCGGGTACCGGTCTGCAATGCAGTATCTGGAGCTTGCGAAGCAGGAACACATCCATCGGGGGCACGCCTGGAGCGAACAGCTGGCGCTCGCGTATCGAGTGTGTTCCCGGTCGTGCAAGCGCGCCCTGGGGCCGTCCAAACAGGCCTCGGCGCTTCCAATGGACAAAGTCCCGAGCGTTACTAGGGACGTGGCTATGGTCACCAACGGTCCCCGCGACCCAGGGACAGCCACCATTGTAGCATCGTGGTGGCTCCTTCGCGAAATCGAGGCCTCACATGCCCGAATCCAGCATCTTACTTTCGACCATGAGTCCAAGACGGTAGCCTGGCTCTTGCCTTCGTCTAAAACAGACGTCGCGGCTTTGGGGGCGACTCGAAAGCACGCCTGTTCCTGTGAAGTGCTGAGTCCCCGGCTCTGCCCTTACCATTCCGTTCTTCGTTTGGTGGGCAGCCGCGGTCCCTTGGAGCCCGTTTTCGTTGACATCAACGGGGCGCCGCCCTCGAAGGCGGGCTGGGCTGACACCTTTCAGGCCATCGCGCGCGCTCTTGGCGTCCCCGTTTGCTTGGCCAATGGCGCCCGAGCCTTCACCGGTCATTCGGCACGTGCCACGGGGGCACAGTACTTGGCCGCTCGAGGGGTCGAGCTTTGGAGAATCCAAATTTTCGGGCGGTGGGACTCAGATGTCATCCTCAGATACGTCAGAGAAGCTCCACTGTCGCAGCTGTCAGAGCTGGCAATCGAAGCGGGCCACAAGGACTCACTTGCCAGAGCACGTCGTGAGCTGGAGGCACTTCTCCGGAAGGCTAGACCTTCCTTAGCTATCCCGGATGCCGACTGGTGCGATGAGCTGATTGGAACAGAAGCGCCGCCGCCGCCATCTGTGCCCCATGACAGCTCCGAAAGGCTCATTTTGAATCTCTCACCTGGAGGAAAGATACATCGGTGCCGAACCGACCTCTCGGTTCCCAGTAATGCTTTGCACCCAAGGCACTGGAAGGCCTACTGTTCATGGCCTTTCGCCAGGGACCATACCCTTTTTCGCTGGGTTAGCAATGATTGCGAGGGCAGGAGGTGCAAGAGATGTTTTCCCTCGGCGCGTCGGACAAACTCGTCTGCGAGTTCCGCGTCGGGGTCTTCAGAGTCATCGTACTCGTCGTCCTCGGAGAGTTCTTGAGTTTGCGCCCTGACCGCCACAGCAGGATGGGAGTCGTCTCTGGTCAGTAGCCGCAAGGTCAGGTGGGTGTGATCCCGGCCCTCTTGAGTTTTCGGATCATCTCCGATCCGATTAGCAAGAAGAGCGACCTTACGACCAACTGATTGAAAACAAGAACAGAGAGCGACAGCACTGCTTGCTTTAATGGCGGTTGCTTGGGGAGCGGTAAAGCAATTGTCATGTCAAACATTGCTTGCTTTGTTGAAGTGACAAATGCTCAGCGTGGTTGGTGGGAATGTGTGTGTACCTTTGTGGCCATTTTGGCATCAAGGATCACACCCGAAGTTTTACCCACCCACCCGCTCCCTGGGTGTGATCCCGGCCCTCTTGAGTTTTCGGATCATCTCCGATCCGATTAGCAAGAAGAGCGACCTTACGACCAACTGATTGAAAACAAGAACAGAGAGCGACAGCACTGCTTGCTTTAATGGCGGTTGCTTGGGGAGCGGTAAAGCAATTGTCGTCAAGTGAGGTGGAGTCCGAAATCGCGGACCCTTGCTTTGGAGCCATCAACGACCCGGTGGAGCTGGGCCTTTCTGGGGGTGGGGGACCCTGGGCCAGGTGGGCGCCACTCGGCCACAAGCAATTTTCCTCTTTGCCCCATGGTTGGCCCTTGGCCCTGGGCAGACGTGCGGCAGAATCCTCTGAGTACGCAACGAGGCAATCTGTGGCGCAAAACGTGCTGTCCAACCGGCTGTGGCATGCTGAGCTGTCGTCGTGCTTGGGACCCCGCGAAGAACCTACGATGCCCTCCCTAGGCCGGGCCTCATCCATTCCAGAAATTTCTGTGCCATTCTGTTCCTGCCCCATGTGCTCTTCTCCTTGCAGGATCCGATCACTACGAGGAGCCCGTCGTTCTCTGAGGCCTTTCATGAGGCCTAATGGGGCCTAACGAGGCCTAACGAGGCTTAATGAGGCCTAATGAGGCCTAATGAGGCCTAATGAGGCCTAATGAGGCCTAATGGGGCCTGCCACCGCCCACAAACTTACTTCGTTCCTTTTCAAGGTCAAAAGCCATGCCATGCAGTGCCTGGCCTAAGCCAAGTTGCATGCTCTTCTCGCAGATCCTTTGAAGTTCACGGTCTGCCTTGTAATTACAGTGCAAGGGCACTTGCAGAGGGCTGAGAAACACCCGTTTTTATGGGAAGCTGACTGGGCATGTCTTGGACTCAGCCCTCTGCACTTCTCTTCCTAGCGGCCTGCGCTCGTCACAGACGGCGCGTTGCAAGGCAGTCGGGCGGCATCTCCCTGCAAACGGGGTGTGTGCCACTTGCGTCCGAGGGTTCCAGGCTCGAGTTGCCAACAGAACGCACAGCTTTCTCGGGGCCCAAAGGGACGCTCCGGGCGCTCTTCTTGACAAGGGCACCACGTGGTTACGCTTTTGATGCCAGAACCTTCTGAGGCTCCCACGCTGCACTTCCAAGGCTGCCAGGCTGTGGCTTCCAATCCATGTTCCCATCCTCGTCCTCACCGTTCCCCACCCCCAACTAGGATGCCAGCTCAGCTGCTCTGGAAAACATGCGGGGATCGCTTGGGGAACTCCTGTTAAGCCATGTTGCCTTCAGCAATACATGACGATGCCAGCCCTAGCTGATCATGTTCTGCGCGCAGTTTCCATTACTTACGGGCCCAAGGAATCGTGGTAGGGTGTGTTGCTTCATGCGGTGCGATGCTGTATTCTACCAATGAATCGCATTCATGGCCAGGTCATGGTTGCCAGGTTACAAGCCGTCTGTGTAACTTGGTGTGGAGTAGTGCAGTCACGCCTACGCATTGCCACGGCCTGATGACGCAGCCGTTAGATCTCGCCCGAATCACCCTCTACAAGAACAACTTGGCATTTTGTGTCAGGGAGGGCAAGCTGGACAGCCGCATGGCTGCATTCCCAAGTCGCTTCCGGCTTCGGTTCCGGTTGGTGTGTTGCCCTAAAGCTTCAGGCCTCGTAGCTTCGTTGCTTTGAACTTTCGAACCTTGCCTTTCCATCACAACTGGCCTCAAACTGCCTTAAATTCAAACCAGTGAGACCACAACTTTGCCTGGACAGACGCTCTTCGCCGTTGGCTGTACCTTAATGCTTAAGAAATGTCTAGCCTTCTCGTGATCTCGCTTTAGCAACGTGTCCTTTCCTGGTGTGGCACCAAGATGCCATGGAGCGCAGAGAGAACCGAAAGCTCGTAGTGAAGAGTGTTTGGCCGAGCCTGCATAGGCGTGTTGTTGTTTCCAGAAGGCAAGCTGAAGGATGAGTGGCAAGCACCGAGGACCTAGGTGATGGTGTCTGTGGTATCTGTGATCTGCTCTCAGCAGCCCATATGTATCCAAGAGTCATCCTCTGCTTGGCACCGTTTCTTGCTGGTACTAGGTCCCACCGCAATCTCTTCCGATGGTGTGGAATTCGCCCCTGACTTCGGGCAGCGGCCTACTCCCACTGGTCGCCTCTTTGTTTGCTTTCCAGGATTCTGATCTCTTCGCGCTCCTCTGCCTGCGCCGGGGGGGGGGGGGATGCCCGTCCGTTGGTTGCTGCTACTGAACGGGGGGTAGTCAGTCAGTCAGTCCTGCCAGGGCAGCCCTCTCCTTTCGCCTTTTGAGCCCTTTTCGGTAGCAACCCGAGAAAAAAGAGCTTTGCTTGCGTGTCGCCTTCAGTGAGAATAGCCCTTCCTCGTTCTATTTTGCTTAACGTTTGCAATGATTCAGTCCGAGGTGGCGCGGATTTCGAGCTGCGGGTGCCCGAGGCGCGGCGGAAGCTGGTGGTGAACACGCTCTCGGCCTCAGCGCCGGGCGGTGCCGCCATCATCTTCGGCAAGGCCAATCAGGCAAGGCCCCCGGCCATGTGAAGAAAACAACACCCGCCCTTTTCCTCCTTAATTGTTCAACTTCTTCTTGTCTGCCATATATATATATATATATGTATGTGTACATTGCATGCGCATATATATATATATATATATATGCATATATACATATATACATATATAGACATACGCATGTCTGTCTGTCTGTCTGTCTGTTCTGTATGTATGCATGCATGGTCTGTATGTCTGTACGTCTCTCGGTATGTACGTATGCGTGTGCATCTCTATGAATGTCTGTAAGTCGCTATGTGTGCTGCATGTATGCATGTGTGATGGGGTAGTGTAGTGCAATGATCGATTGATGGATTCAGTGCAGAGTAGGGTCGTGCAGCGTACGGGAAGATTCATGCTGATATAGCCATTATGTGTGTATATACATATTAACTTGAAACTTCATGCACATGTAAGGACATGCTAGGAAGCAATGAAGTGTCATGCCATGTCATGATTCATTGATGCCATGACATGTAGTGCCACGAGTTCAGATGTGATGACTTGCAATGTAATGTCACACAATCTTTTGTGCTGTCCTGCAAACGTAATTGTGTGTAATGTGACGTACAAAGAGATGCTGCCAGACCTAGGCAGTTGGACCCTTGCTGTCGGGGACCGCTTATCCTTTCAACCACAGCTCCATGGCGAGTTTTCTGGAGTCCTGCCGTGGAGTGCAGCTCACGGTAAGTTTGGGCGACCGGAAGACCGTAACCGGCAAGATGCTCATGGTGGAGCGAGCGCGGCGGGCCATCGAGGGCTGCAAGGAGTCGGAGGAGTACGCCTCAACTGTGCATCTCTTTGAGGAGCAATGGGGCATCATTCACAAGGTCTCATTCGAGGACATAGCCCAAGTCTCTCTAGTGGACGCGAACATGCAGGAGGAGCTTAGCAAGTCCTTAACTGCTGCTTTGGCCAACCAGATGCCCAAGCCGCCGCCACCACCGAAAGACAGCCGTGAGGCGATCTCCATCCGTGCGCACGGTGAGTCTCCAGGCGAGGGACTTTGTCGGGTCTCTTATGTGGAAGCTCGGCTTGTGGCCAACATGTTTCACAACTTGCCGTAGACAATCCCCAAACTGCACTTAAGTGAGTCTAAGGACCGCTGCGAGGAGTGGAAGTGCATGTATCGGCTGGACCTGCCGAGGGAGGAAGCCGACGCTGTCCTGGTCAGTGCGGACATGGATGTCGAGCCTGTGGTGACACTGCACACCTTCGGCCACGTGAGGAACAGCACGGATGACCATTGGGTTGATGTGGTCGCTCTGCAGCATGGCTCTGCCAAGCAGCGGGGGCGTGGGGGTCGGGGAGGGGGTAATGTTCTCTTTCCAGTGACGCTTGCGGAGAAAGGAACTCGATCTGGTCGCCAACGAGCTCTCGATCTTGGCGCTTGGCGCGGAGCCTGACAGAATCTCAAACGGACAACTATTGAGATCCTGCACGTTATGACTCGGAAACTCTTTGGGGACAGCCCGAAGTGATTGAATGGGCAAGAAGGGCAAAGCAAGGGATTTGTTTTTAGAATGTTTGGAGCTCCGAGCTGAGGACAGGAGCTGGCCAAGATCTTCAGCGAGTCGCGGTCAAGTGGCGGAGGGATGCAGATCTTCATTAAGACCCTGACGGGCAAGACTGTGACCCTCGAGGTGTACCCGAATGTCAGAATGCACAGGGTTGTTGTAGCATCTTGACCCAGTCTAAGGGGTTGCAGCATGAAGCTTGCATTCCAGGTGGGCTGCGGTGACACGATTCAGATGGTCAAGAGCAAGATACAGGACAAGTGCTTGGGTGTGAGACCAGCTGCTGCTAGTGAAAACACGCCAGGTCCTGTGCACAGTTCCCCCCTTTTGTTTGTTTTCGAAACGTGCGTGGGTAGCAGCGGAGGATAAGGAGGGCATCCCCCCGGACCAGCAGCGCTTGATCTTTGCAGGGAAGCAGCTGGAGGATAACTTCAAGCTGGCAGACTACAACATCCAGAAGGAGCGCCAACAAGCAGCTCAAACATCGCATTTTTCTTTCCATTGACTTAAACCATCTCGAAGAAAGCATGGCGCACGGCTAGCAGTGGGCAAAATTCCCGCACCAGAATAGACTGACTGACTCCGCACCATTGGAGAAGCACAAGAGGCCATGTCTGGTACAGCCATCTGTGAGTTTTGCGTTTTCCGAAAGGAGTCCACGTTGCACCTCGTCCTGCGCCTGAGGGGTGATCCTGGCACCCAGAAGGCCGACAAAGAGGATGCCTTCGAATCCTTGGAGGGCTTGGCCACCAAGGGCCTCGCCGAGCACGTCCTTTACCACGTTGCAGACAAGGCGCAGACTGTTACATTGCCACATTGCTGTATTTCTTTATGCAGTGCTAAGGAATAGCGACTCCGCAGTGCAGTGATCACAGCAAGTTACATATGCAGCGCACCTGAAAGTTGTAAACCGAAGCTGCAGGTGACCATTCACTCCAAGGAGACGGCAATCGTTCCAATCTTTCAGCACGGCGTCAAGGGCGACCGCGTCCTCGTCTATGATCCCAAGGAGTCCGAGCCCCAAAGTGGAGAGGATAAGGCAGAAGTGTCTGTATGCAATATTGCAGTCTGTAGTTGGAATGTCAGTATATAGTCTGTACAGGTGTAATTAACGAAGATTTTCATGGTCCCAGTGCAGGTCTTTCTTGAACGGCTTGTGCTAATTCAGGTCCGAGGTCTGCGTGAAGCGCGCAGTGCATGTGGTGAACACGTCGGGCCACGTGCTCGCCAACGGCAGTGTCAATGTGTTGGATGGCGGCCGCTTCGTTGCCCAGTGCCAGTTCGCCCCAATGATCCCCGGCGACGACCAACTCTTCGAGCTTGGGGAGGACACGCAAAAAGTCTCGTTGTTTGTTTTTTTGCGTTGCTTGCGGCTGCTTTGACTCATTGACTCATTGACTGTTGGCACGCACTGGAGGACACGACGCTCTCCGTGACTCGTATGAAGCCTGAGGAGCTGCAGGAGGACCGCGTGGTGCGCGCCCGGCTCGAGAAGGACGAGAATGCGCAGCTGTCGAAGGTCGTCCTGGAGCACCGCAACCGTGTGACCACTCGCTACAGCATCAAGAACAACGGGAGCCGCAGCGCCCCCAGCCTCTACATCGAGCACACGGCGCGCACGGACTGCGGGGGCTTCTCGATCACCTCCACGGAGCACGTGGTAAAGCAGACCACCGGCTGGGCCCGCTCCTCAGAGTTTGAGGAACATGGCAAGTCATGGCAGAGTCACGGGAAGATCATGTGCAGAACGTGCAGAGAAGAGTGGGGGAAAGGAATTCGGAAGGGAAGTCACGGAAGTGAACTGTGGACGAGGGATGACGAGGGCCGACGGGGCCAAGACATGCATTTCGTCATACGTCGACTGCTGCCACTCCTCGCTTTGATCAGTCGAGGCCCGGTACTGCCTCTCCGTGAACCCCGAGGCTGAGCTCACCTTGGAGGCCACAAGACAGAAGACAACGGAAAGCACAGAAGAACATGAGAGACGGAAAGACGGAGCAGTCCAAGAAGAGGAGAACAAACCAAGAGAGCAAAAGGAGCGGAGCAAAAACATGTACTGTTCTGAAGGTGGCCGAAGAGGCCAAGTACGAGGAGAGCATTCCCGTGAATGCGCAAAGCATCTCCAAGTGCCTGGGCCGCAACCACTGGAAGATGCTGGAACAGAACATCCTCATGCCGACACATCTCCATGTGCTCTCGAGTGTTGAATCGAGGTTCCTCACCGGGCGCGCCCGGAACCTCCATGACGACGGTGTCCTCAGCAGGGAATGCTTGCGAGAATTGAAGCAGAGCCTGGGACAGCTCCGCTTGGCCTCCATGCTTCAGGCGCCCGCTAGACGCTGTCTTGCTCATGTTTCTAACTCTCGACAGTGGCAACAAGAGTCTGGCGTCACGCACAAGATTCCTATTTTCTTGAGACTGTATTCTATAAGGGCTGTCAGGTGAAGGCTTTCTTGGCGAGACAAGAATGAAGCTGGGCGCAAAAAACGTCGAATCCAAAAAGAAGCAGTGCTAAGAGCCTTAAGAGCTAACCATTCGAGAGAGAGGGGAAACACAAAGAGAGAGAGAGAGAGAGAGAGAGCCCCGGACCACATGACACTTTGGACTGGCGCGCCCCTCGGGGCAGCTCCTCCTACGGGGGGGGGCTAAGCGTGCGGAGAGAGAGAGAGAGAGAGAGAGAGAGAGAGAGAGAGAGAGAGCAACGGCCCGGGGCTAGCAGAGCCACACAGGTACAGGCGCAGGAGTGGAAAGGGGGGAAGGAGCAGGTGCAGTGCAGGTGCTGGCATGTAGGTATAGTGGGGGCATGAGGGGGCCAACGATTCCGTGCTCTTTCTCCTCCACCCCGACCAGAGGCCCCCCGAATACCGGGGCGGGCGAGAACGCCCGGGGGCTTGCCCCCAGGCCCCCAAAGAAACAAAGAAAGAGAGAGAGCAAGTTAGCCTTGAGTCTTGTTTGGTGGGGGATAAGTGGCGCGTCAGCCCTGAGAGCACAACGGGCTTGGCGATAAGGGGCAGTACCTGCGGTAGTCTCACAGCCAAAGGGTCCGAAAGCCTCTGTAGCCGGACGCCACAAGCAGAGCAACTCGCGGGGGCCTAGGACCTAGTCTGGGGGGGAACTAAGGCTTCGGGGGAAGGGGGAATGCGACATCGAGTTGCTCCTGCGTCCGGGATCCTATGGAGGCCTCACCGAGACAGGACGGATTGGGCGCGCCCAGCGCGCGGGGGGCACCCGGGTCTCTTCAGCCCCGTAGAAGAAGAAGCAGAAGAAGCAGAAGAATGATAAGAACAAGAAGAAGAGGAAGAGGAAGAGGAAGAAGAAGAAGAACAAGGAGAAGAAGCAGAAGAAGAGAGAGTCAAGGAGGGGTTCTGAAGTCTTTTCGGCGGCATCCTTCCAGGTGCTTTTGCAACCGCGGCAAATCTCTGAGGAGCAGTTCCTGAGCTGGGAGCAGCGGGATGTCCCTTGGGCGCTGGACGACCCTTAGCTGCCCCAACTTCTGCAAACTCGAGCTCCTCTTGCATATTCCTGGACCTCTGCCAAATGGAAAAGGCATCACCAGCTGAGGAGCCGTGTGAGGATCCGGACGGCTTTGCCACAGAAGTCCGCGAAATCCTGCCCCTTGGCAGTACGGGCTCTCGATGACTCCCTCATCAAAAATCCAGTAATTCATGTTCAGCTGCACGCCTCTGAGGGCGCAGACGCAGGAGCTCCAGCGCCAGGATGCGGAGATCCAAGAGATCCAGCGAAAGCAGAGCTTGGACCAGAGCCGCGTCAAGAAAATTTTCGAGAACCAGACGCGGCTCCGGGAGAACATCAAGTCCATGGAGCATGTAAGGACGGGAACACTCCTAGAACGATACATGAATGACATGGACAAGGAGGAGAACGACCTCATTGCCACTCGACGGAGGATGGAGGAATCTGAGGAATCTGTGGCCAAGATGACGCATGACGCCTCAAGGCTTGTGCTTCAGATCACCATGAAGACCAAGCAGCTACAAAAGAAAGCCAAGTGTCGAATTCGATGAAGTGAAGTGCTGCAGTGCTCTTCGCCCTCGTTCATGGCTTTCCACCGGTCTTCTTTCGTGTTCTCGCGGACATGTACAGTGTGAGAATGCAGGGGCCAAAAAGCAAGGAGCAAAGCATGTCAGAAGCTTCTTCGGGCCCCATCAGGCCAGGTTTTCCCGAAGCTTTAGAAGCTACTGGACATCCCTGGATATCCCTCACTCTTCGGCCCGGCCCTGAGCCCCAGCGTAGGAGGCAAGCTCGCCCTTTGCATGAACTGGCATGCTGCAACCATCTGTAACCCTTGAATCCCTTGAAAAGAGCGCTAATATCGATTTGTTGCAGACCCTTTGGCTCAAATGGCGTCCGACACGCAAGGAAGCGAACAGGATCAGGCACATCTTGGAATTCGGATTGGATATGATTGGATCAATCCGCAGCGTTTCGTGTCATAAGGTCATGAATTTGCCTTACACATGTTCAATTGTTGATGCCCGCGATCTCAGGCGCTGAAGCGCTATGTGGCAAAGGTGCAGGAGCACCGTGAATTCGAGTCGCGCGTCAAGAAGCTCCGAGACACAGTGAAGAAGAACAGTGTGGACTACGACAAGTCCGAGGTGCTCATCGCACACACACGACCCATGCGCGCTCACATAAACATGAATGTGTCGAGTTGCAGCATGTGTACAAAATGCAAGGACCACTTGAAAGCATTGCAGAGCGTCGGGCAGATCATTGGCGAGGTTGGAGTGGATGTGCTGGTCTTGATCGGCAAGTTGCTAGTAACTGCTAGTCTTCTGGACAGGTGCTCCGTCAGTTGGATGCCGAACGCTTCATCGTGAAAGCCTCCAGCGGCCCGCGCTATGTTGTCACGTGCAAGGCTGGCTTCAAGCAACTTCCATCACCGCTGGAGAACCCATCTCAACCCAGTGGCAAAGCTGTCAGGTCAAGCTGGACAAGACCAAGCTCGTTTCAGGCCGCTGGACAAAACGAGTGGATGCTTTTCTGTTGCGCAATGGTTTCTGACATTTGAGGAAGCCGCGTCTCCTTGGACATGACTACGCTGACCATCATGCGCTTGCTTCCAAGAGAAGTCGATCCGATGGTCTTCAGCATGTTGCATGAGGCCAGGATTCTTTGACCCACGTCCGTTGTGATTGAAGAACACACACACACACACTCTCTCTCTGCGTGTTTCTCCGAGTATGAGAGATCAGAGAGAGTGCGTGCTTTGCTTTGGCTTAGGACCCGGGGCGAATCTCCTACAGTGATGTGGGCGGCCTCACTGAGCAGATCAGGCAAGTTCCGAGCTCAAACTCAGAGAAGCAACTAAGCGCAAGTAAGCAATGAAGGCCTGCAACCGACTTGCGCCTACTTTCTGGCGTTGAGTGTAGCGGCTCCTATCTTTTGCACATGCCAGGCAGATGCGAGAGGCCCCTGAGCTGCCAAATGAAGAAATCCTCGTTGAACCATCGTTGCCGGGATTGTGCTGTTACTTTGCAGATGCGGACATTGCGGACACACTTTCACCGTTAGTCTGGGTCTGTTACAGTCAAAAGCTGTCAGGCGCAGCCTTTTTGAACGAAGAGTGTTAATGGCATCGTTGAAAGCATCGTTGAATTTTCCTGAATCCTCTTGTCAGACTCTTAGACTTAGTTTCGGTGAAATACCCTCAAATTTGCTTCGAATCGCCGTTAGAAGGTTCGACAGGTGCCTCGGACCAATGGAAAGCTTCGAGCTGCAACATAAGTAATTGCACAACGCCAGGCATCGGTGACCTTTTCATAAGGAGCTGCTAAGACAAGATGTCAATGAGAGGCCGCTGTGGCAAACGAAGCAAGGGCTGAACCTTCTTTGGGCTGACTTTGTGAATTTATCAAGAGAGGCTCGGGCTGAAATGGGAAGATAACTATTCACACGTGCAGGGGCAAGCGTAAAGTAGCCAAGTAGCCTAGCTGATTGAAGGATCGGGGCCTTGCAGCCTCGTGCCTCTGTGGCAAGTAACAAGGAATGTAGCGCTTTGTCAGGCAAATCGAAAGACACCTGAACAGGATGAAGATTGCCTTGACAAGATGCAGTGATCTTTTTGTAACTCCAGGTCATCGAGCTGCCGCTGACCAATCCAGAGCTCTTCAAGCGGGTGCCCAGCTCGCACTTAGATCTTGGATCTCAGAACGTTTTTGCGCTCTCGAGTATTTGTGATCACCCACGAGGATGAATCCTGTAGATGCTAGCTTGTGGTCGCTTGCCACGGGCAGTATGCTTCACATGTACGGCTATCAAGAACAAACAAACTGATGCATGCCGTTGCATGCCTGGAAGTCCCCCACCTCCCCCCCATACTGGTAAAACGAAAAGGGGGACCTCTGCAAAATCGGCTTGTTTGTTCGAGCAAGTATCTTAAGTATCTTTCGGCAGTGTACCAGACGGCGGCCCCGGCACGTCGACACATGCTTGCCACCATTGATTCTTGCCTGCTGCCGAAGGTGGGCATCAAGTCTCCGAAAGGCGTGCTGCTTTATGGCCCGCCGGGAACCGGAAAGACGCTCCTGGCACGGGCTATGGCGCACAACATGACGGCCAGTTTCATCAAGGCCACGCTTCGGCCTCGCCTGCTGCCCGTTTCACTTTCAAGTCAGTCTCAAGCCTTCAAGCCTTCAAGCCCGAGCTCACCCCCTTACGCCCTCTTTCCAAGAGCAGCATGCACGCAGCATGCGCGCAGCATGCGCGCAGCATGCGCGCAGCATGCGCGCAGCATGCGCGCAGCATGCACGCAGCATGCGTGCAGCATGCGCAGCGCTGCCAGCGTTGCGCCAGGTGGTAGCGTCCGCCATTGTGGACAAGTACATTGGAGAGTCGGCCCGCATTATTCGTGAGATGTTCGGGTATGCGAAGGAGCATCAGCCCTGTATCATCTTCATGGATGAGAGCCCTGGCTGCAGTGCTGGGACGCTGGGCCTTCCTCGCGCAACAAAGCAGTTTGGCTACCCAAACAAGGCACAAACTCCGCTCAGCCTTTGAGCCAAGGATCGATGCCATCGGCGGAAAACGCTTCTCTCAAGGCACTTCAGCCGACAGAGAGATTCAGCGGACTTTGATGGAGCCGGCCTCAATCTTCAGACCTTTTTAAGTCAAAGCCGCTAACTTTCTCGAGCTCGAGCATGCGTACTGAACAGCTGCGTTTGCCTCGTGCCTGTGGGCTGAAGACCGCTTCAGCAACTGCAATGCCAGCTGGTGGTGGACTTGCGAACTTTGGTCTCATGATTACGATCTGAGGAGTTGCTAAATCAGTTGGACGGCTTCGACGATCTGGGCCGTGTGAAGATCATCATGGCCCGTGGCCGAGGGCGACAACTCTACTCTGGCATCCTATTCAGTTTATTCAGTTGCGATATCTTGTTGAAGTCCACGTACGCTCAAGTCCACTCAGGTCCACTTGCAAGGCTTTGCTGGTGTGCTTTTATGACAGCACTGCACTGAGGCCACGAATCGGCCCGATACCTTAGACCCGGCTTTGCTTCGGCCAGGGCGGTTGGATCGCAAGGCCGGTGGCCAGCATGACCCCTCATAAGACATGTACAAGAGACTTGTTGCAACTCCTTGTGTGTCGGAAATCCTATATTTATCTTTGCCAAGCCGGTTTATATGGTTTGGAGCGATTAGGCCCTCGATACGTTGAAGCTAGAGAAGGATCACTTGACAAATGCAAGTTTCTGTTTGTCTCGTCCCTAAATGCCGGAGAAATTCAGAAATGCTGCTCCCGGGCACCTGAGCCCTGAGCCAAAAGCCTTGAAAAAGCCAGAGCTCATGTTTCGCAGATCGAGATTCCACTGCCAAACGAGCAGGCCAGGATCGAGGCCTGGGCTCGATGCGAAAGCTTTTTCTTCTCTTTTTTGGCGGCTCTCTTTACTGCATTGCTACTGCTGGGAGGTGCTAAAGATCCATGCCAATCCAATCACCAAGCACGGGGACATCGACTACGAAGCCATTTGCAAGCTGACGGACAACTTCAACAATGCGGACATGCGCAACATCTGCACCGAGGTTTCGGCTCCCGAAAGACAGTACTCTTCTTGAACGGGGCCCGGGTGCTTGCGGCTGTTCAGGCTGGAATGTTTGCCATCCGCGCTGAAAGGGACTACGTTGTGGAGGAAGACTTCATGAAGGCAGCTCTTCCCGAGAGTCTCCCGAGAGTCTCCCGAGAGTCTCCCGAGAGTGCAGCGTGGTGAGCCCGAGCAGAGCGCTCGAGCTCATTGCAGTTCAGGCCGCGAGAAAGATCGCCTGACCCTGAGAGTCTTAAGCTTGTGGCCTTTTTTTTGCATGTCATCCCAATGTTTTCACTTCATTGGAGGCAGACAACAAGAAGCTCGAAGGCAAGCTCGACTATGAGAAGGTCTAGCCGGCGGGCACTGGGCAGTGAATAGGCACCCGGTATCGGTATCGCGCCAAGACCAGTGGCAGCCAGAGCGCACACTTGGACATAGCTTCCTGAGCTCGTGCGCAAACAGAGAGAAAGGATCCGCGAGTTCAGGAGGAGAAGGGTAGTTGAGGATTGGCCATTGTACATTGCAGCTGTGCGTTGGAGGTTGTTTTAGGATCTTGCATTTCAAGCAGCATGAGAGAGCTGCAGGCGCATGCGGTCCAGTCCAGGGCAGCAGAATCATGTTCCGTAGTGACTTTCGGGCTGGCAGGGAAGTGTCGAAAAGCATGATGGGTGTACTGTAAGAGACCGCACGCAAAGCACGCGTGCTGGAGGTCTCTCTTCAGGACGTGGGCCCCGAAGGCGTCACAGCCACCAAGTACCGCACCAAAATATGAAAAAAGTGGGTACATTATGAGGGGAGTACTTGTAAAACGCGAGCAGAATGCAACGGCACTGTGTGTGCTTGAATGGCAACTACTGGTAGCTCATTTGGCAAGAGATGGCGGCGATGTGGTCTTGGAGCACGGAGGCCGGTTGAGGGTCTTTGCGCCGTCGGACTTGGTGTTCAGAGCTTGAGGTTCAGAGTGTTGCGGGTTTCAGGGTTGAGGATTCAGGGTGTGGAGTGTGATCCTGTCCACCAATCAATATTTCCAGCGTTCCGTTGCTTGGATTGATCCGCCCATCGTGTCATCTGAGATATCTGGTACGAAAGGGACAGCATGCAGGTGCCGGCATGCTGCCAGGATTGATCTGGGTGTGAGGCCCAAGTCTTGAAGGTCAACAGTCGTGGGCACCAGTGCAGGATGCCATAGGAAGGCACTTGAATCCCGCGCATTCGTTCTGCAAGCTGTTGCAGCGCGGCACCGTCCGTACCCATGCACTTGATTGCTTAGGTTAGCATTTCGCTATTCAGCACACATCTAGCTGGCTAAGAGTGCCCCATTCTTAAGCCAGTCATATAGCCAGGACGAGCAGTTTGGTGTTTCCTTTGCTTAGAGCGGCAAGGGGAGGTTCTGAGTCCAATGAGATTCAAGAGCCATTCTTGTTCTTGCCATTCTTTTTCAGCCCATGTCCCCAGGTCTGTTGTCGCCGTAGCTTGCGTTGTTCCCGGCTTGCCCCTCAAGAACATGTATGAACTTTCCCGGAAGCATCTCCGTTGATTCCTGGCATGCCGACGAGGAAGCCCGCGAGCACGTCCCTCATCCACTATTGTCGTGCTCTAGGACTCTGCGCGTCGACACATTGAGTCTTCAATGCTTTCAATACTCGGGGGCAGCTCCTTGCAGCTTGCCCAGTTATGGACATCATGGCCATTAGACATCATTAATTAGACATCATTAGACATCACGAAACTGTTGGTTGAAGTTGCTGCGCTCCCACAGCGAGGACGCCGTTCTGGAATCAGTTCCGCTCCGAGTTGACCGCCTGCACGCTGCCGCGACGAGGAGGCACAGGCTCTGGAGATGGTGAAGTTTTCCGAAAGCAATGGTTGCCTTGCAGCGAGGTCGATACACGGACTTTTTTTGTGAGTTTGTCCCAAGGGACAGTTGATGGCCGAAAGAGATTGCGCATTGATTCAGGCAGGGTTCACTTCGCAAGTGCTGCCCGATACCGAGCCATACTCGCAATGAAAAGGGCTGTCCAGAACCTCGGACACATTCTAGCTCACTCTGAGGCCAAGGCGTTCGGCCAAGCCCTGTACTTCACCCGTGCTTTCCTTCCGCAAGTCACCCGACTCTTCCAGCAGCAGGCCCCTAGAACAACGACCGAACATGGCTTTGGGGGGGTTGCATTGCAGTGCCAGTGGAGTGTCGCAGGCGGTCTTCTTTGTGGATACCTCGGTACTGGTGAATGCTCAGTGCTGCAGCCGAATGCGTGCATGTCCATCTTGACTTCAGAGGCTCAGCCGGATGTGCCGAGGTCCTCTGCGAGCGTTATGAGGAGGTTGCAGCTCGCAGAACTGATTGGGCGCGCCTTGGTATGCCTTGGGGGCATTTGAGAGCGCTTTGGGTACGTACTCTGCGCCTCGCAGGCATGCTATTGGGTTGGGGGTGCCGGTGCCAGTAATCATGCGTTTCAAGGGGATGGACTTACTTTAGGATTCTGGTTCCCAGCAGGGTTCCCTGCGTCAATCAATGATGTGGGTGCCGAGGAGCTTTGCACCGATTTCGAATTTCGAGCAGGAAGTGCCCCCCCCCCCCCCCCCCCCCCCCCCCCAAAGCTCTGCAAAGCTGCACACTTCCAAAGACGAGAGCAGGCGGAAGCTGCACAGGTACAGCGCATGATTTCAATGCCCCATGCAGAAGCTCCACCTTGTTTGTTTGGCTGGACGGCTGCTTTGCTTTGTGAGCTACGTGTGGAGCAGGCGCCTGGTCTCAATACGAGTGTGTGTGTGTGTGCCCATGTTTTGCCACAATTTTTTTGGCCTACCTTTGTACTCCCTTCAGGCGGTGCTGTCGGGTGCCTGGCCTGAGCTTGATGCCGAGCTTGAAGAGCTGCTTGCGTCGGAGGGCTCAGAGGTGTCGTGACCGCACTTAGACCCTTTGCGGAAACAGGAGGTCCTCGGAGGTCCTCGGAGGTCCTCGGAGGTCCTCGGAGGTCATGGCCTTCGTGTCGCCAGGACCTGGAGCTGGAGGAGGAGAAGCGCCAGGCGATTCTGTTGCAGCTGACTTCTGCATGCTGGGACTGGACAGGGACAGAGGGAGCGGTGTGCAGAGACGGGGGTGAACACGGGAGAACTATGGGGGGGGAGGTCTTACTGGCGTTGCTGGCACGCGATGCAGCCGCCGTCGCCAGACTCACGACACGCGGCCGCTGGGCTCTGCGTGGGCTGCTGCGCGGTGGGTTCCTTTGGCTCTTTCATGCTTGCCAAGGAGCCTGGAAGGGGAGGGAGTAAAACCCAAGCCACCAAACAAGTGTGAGTCTTGAAGGTGCAGAAGCGTGAAGAGACGCGTAGCCGAAGCTCCACAATCAAGCACACGCCGGTCACTACAGTACTGCAATATCCTGTAGCCACAGAGCCAATCGTTTTTTTTTGGTAGGGATCGTTAAACGGACTCTGGAGAGAAAAGGCATCGGGCCCTGAGCCTCCTCGAGTCTTCCGGCTGGTGCAGCCTGGAGGATGTCCTGGAGGCCATGCAGCGCTCGCATCGCTCTCTGACTTTCTTCATCCCCTTTCGCGCTGACCTGCTTTGTTTTATTATTATATTATTTTTTTTTTTTGGGGGGGGGGGGGGGGGGGTGCCCTCTCATTTTGTAGTTTCAGTTTAAGGAGTGAGTGTGGCGCCTTTTCTCTCCGCAGTTAGTGGCATATTTGGCATCTATAGCAGATGTTTTGAGTCCTGTGGATGTTTTCTCAAGGCGCTGCCGGATGGCGAGCTGGGGCCTGTATTGGACAGCCACGCCGTCGCAAGAGCGCAGAGCTTTCTGAACCAGGCACGTCCTGTTGTGCATCCTGGCATGGCATCCGGCATCTTGGCGAAGCCCATCCTACGGTCAGGTCCTGACCATGATGCCGCGTGGCGATGTTCAAGGTGCGGAAGGCGGGAAGCCCGGAGAGTCAACCGCTTTCGTCACAGGGCGCAGATCCCAATTCCGGGTGTGGGCCACCAGCACCCACGCAACCTTGCTCCTGGAACCGCTCAGCATTTGGACAAACCTTTTGGAGCTGGGGCATTTGGCACCTCGACTGCACCGTCCAACAGAGCACACGTGGCTGTTCCCATGTGCTCTCATTTAATCCCACGTCCATTGTTCGGTGTTGCCCCATCAGGAAGCCACGCTTTGTGTCAATGGTTGTGTCGACACCCATCTTCATGGTGTGACCTGCGTGGATGGTGGGCTGGTGAACCAGCTCCTGCAAAGGCATTTGTCAACTGTGGAGGATGAGCAGAGTATGAGCAGAGCAATTCTCTGATTTTCCTACGTCGCCTAGCAGCTGACCTAGCATCAATCCAGTCTCGCAAGGACTCTCTTGGGCGCTTCCCCTTGGTCCCAAGCCTCGAGCACTTCCGCCGCGACTTCGACGACATGTTGGTTGCAGCTACCCATTCCGAGCTTCACCGAGCGGATGTGCTGCTCGGAACATGTGGTCTCGCCTTGCCAACGGCCTCTTAAGCCTGCTCTGAGAGAGCGGGCTTCTCAGATTCGCACTGCTGGTTTAAGGCTTCTGTGTGGCGAGCCCGCGTTCATCTGTGCGCTCCTCGCAGAGTTGAACAAGACTGCGGCTCAGCAAAGCATAAAGTCGCAACAGCCCAGACAAGCCCACTGCATCTTCGGCGCCGATTGAACGGTTCTCTGGTGGTTCATCATCTTCGCACTGCTCAGGTGGTAGGATATGTTGGCAACCCGCTGGGTGCTTACTTGACTGCAGATGACCAAAAGAAGTGCTGGGCTGAGCTGAGCTTGGTTGAGATGCCTGTAGCAGTATTCTTTACCCTACAACTGCACGACTCACTACTTCAGCTGATCGCAGTTGCCGAACGTGCGAAGCTGCCTAGGTTCTACAGCTTCGTGGCACAAGTACCGCAATTCACTTCGTCCAAAGGCGCTTCGCTCCATTTGGCTTCTTGGCGCTTGGGGGGGGGGGGTCTGTGACATGTGACGTGACACATCATGACACATCATGACACATCATGCCACATCATGACACATCATGGCACATCATGACACATCATGACGCAGGGCAAAGCACAGCGGTAAGGAGCCACGTCGTGTGCTCGCTTTGTCAGGTCTTTATGGCGCCTCCCATAGCAGCTCAGGGCTACTGGCAGACGGGAGTGCGAATGCCAGTCGTGAGGTCGGGCTTGAGACTCTGAGAGTGGAGCTACGTGAGTTGCCCAGTGCTCTGTTCGAGGCCAGTGGCGCGGTACGCTTCGGTCGCTGGCCCTTCAGCTCCTTCGCAGCCCGCACCCAGCCAGGACGTGCTCATCACCAAGCAGGTGCCCTCGCGCCGAGCAAGAAGAGCACACACTCACACACTCGGACCATCTTCTGAAACATCTCAGAAGTCTCAGCCTTCAAGGTCTTCACGTTCTGGGACTTCCAGTGCCTGCTCAACTCAGCCCCTTCGGCTGTGCGACAGGTATTTTATTTAACGAGGATGAGTTGACAGGGCACGAAGAGGTAGATGCGCTCAAATGAGCCCTCAACCCTGAGCATCCTGAACCAGACCTACAGACCTGCTTGAATCAAGTCACATGGTACCAGAATACCAGATTGAGGCATTATCTCATAGATACGTCGCGCGAAGAGACCGCGAAAGTTCCGCGAAAGGACATCAACCCGAAGAAACCAAATCCGGATGAATGCATTTGGAAACCTGAGCTGCCTCGAAAGTCCTGGAGGCCTTTGTGTCAACCTCTGCTGTAAGTTCACGACGGCTCAAGATTCAAAACTGGGGGAGAGAAGTTCTCAGTTTCGCGATCGATTCATCGGGTTTTCGTGTTCACTTTGCTCACACGAGGCTTTGTCATCTTGGGGAATGCCGCCGAAGTGGAGCTTCCGCTACATGACGCACTTGAAGGTCGGGCGCGTGTTGGGCGCTGCTGCAGTTCGGCATTGCTCAGCTGGCCCAGTAGGTCCAGTAGGTCCCACTGTGGAATGCTGGCAGGACCGATCTTGGCGAGCATGGGCATCGTACCGTGCGGCAGTCGTCCTGCCCTATGACCCACAGACGCTGGCAACTTGCCTACATTGCCTTCGTTGCCTACATATTGCCTATATTCCATGGCAGCCCACATTGGCACAGGCGGAAAATTGAGGTCTTCTACGAGCTATACAGCATGGCGGTCCCCCTTCTGGTGCCGGAATCAAAATCTTCCGAGCCATTTCGCTGTGGCCAGTTGCTGGCCTCTGTTGCCCCTGTATTCCGCGTTCTTGTGAGGTGCCCAGCAAGGCACTGCTGCCGCTTTTCTTCGCGCGGAGTTACGGCCAGGATGCCAGCGTGGCGATCCAGAGACAAGGCCAGGGCATCCGCCACTGAAAAAATGCAGGAAGGAGCTTTCAGAGGCTTCAGTTGTAACGACTGACGGAGAGACGACGACTCCTCTGAGTCGGAGGCTGGCGCTTGCGGCGCAGTGGCTCCGCCTGGGGAAGGTGGCACGAGGAGGCACGAGTTGTGGCATCTCACGGCAGGTAAAGCACTGGCATCCATGCTCCGCCCCCACCCCTCTTCATCTGCAGGCAACGTACAACGAGCTTCGCTGGTGGGCGCTCCTCAGCGATATTGCTCAGCTTCCCCACTTGCTGGCCCCATCCTCAAAGCCGCATGCTGCAGATATCTGCAGATTGTTAGCAGAAGAACGCATGTGCTTTCGTTTATCGGGAGATCGGAGTCTATCCGACAGATCTTCCTGCGACCTTCGAGGCCTGGTCCTCCTTGGCCGAGCTGCTGGCCCTGCTCACCAGCCCTGCTTCGGGGCGCACTTTGGCCGACACCTCCAAGGCCATGGCGGAGGCACGAAAGCCGCTGCTCTGGTCGGGATCAGCGAGCAACGTCTTGGGAGGAGAGGCTTTGAACCATTCAATAGAATTCACTGCAGAGGTCACAAAGCAGAACTGCTGGAGGTCGATGTCGTTCTGGAAGGCAGGGCTTAAGAGCGTCGAAAATTGTCCTCCCGCATGTCTTGTCTCACATGCTCGCATCATGTGTCCGATGCATTCACAACCCACGGCCGCTGACATGGCACACCATGGAGCTGCCTCGGCAGCCGGGCGTGTGCACCCGCAGACGAGGGAAAGCCAAGTCTAGTGTCATTCCGTGCAGCACCAGGCATGTCACGTCAGGAGGCGGGAGTCGGGAGGGCTTGGAGGGGATGCTGTCGCGGTCCCACAAAGGCTCCTAGAGGGGTCCGAGGGCCGGGGTCCCGGGGTCCTAGGGGCGGTCCCAAGTTTCAAGCCCTCCGTGATGTCGTGATGGATGACGCATGAATTGATGTCGCGATGGATTTCGTGGTGATCTTAGTAATTGTATTATGTTTCTGGTGCCCGTGCGGAAAGTCAGGCTATACCTGGAACTGTCTGCGGCTGACTAAAGCTGACTGAGGCTCCAGTGTCAAGAGGCTCGGCGAGGCTGTTCACAGATGCCTTAGGGGGAGGGCTGTGTGTGTGCCTTGGGGTGTGGCATCGCGTTGCGGCTCCTCCAAGCGGTTCGGGCAAATCACGGGGGGTGGGGGGGGGGGGGTTGGGGGGGGGAGAGCTGGAGGGAATCCTGGTCTGCTTGTTCTAGCCGCCTCTCGCCAGTCGCTGTGACCCGTCGAAATCTGAAGCACTTTTCGGAAGGGCTGGCATGGGTTTGATTGGGGGATCTGGGTGCAGAGCCGAGGAAGCTTCCCCGATGTCAGGCGACCTTGGCAGAGAACCTGTTCGCTGGAGCAAGTTGACTCGCTGTTCAAGACACTCTCCATTGTCCCCACAAGGCACGAACGCCAGCAGTGTCTGGGGAGTTTTGGTCGAAAGGAACGACTTGCAACGCTTCAGCACCGGCTCGCAGGCGCACGTGCACTCGCCGAAGTCGATCGTGATCATTGCGGCTTCTTCGAGCTTCGATGGAGGCAGCATTCGCTTACACCCTGCTGAGTTGCGTAGCTCCATGCGGGTTCTTACTGCTCTAGTTCCTTCAGGCCAAGCCCGGTGGATCAGCTTTTCAAGGACGCGCACGAGCAGAATTGAGCATCAACGTTGAGTTAGCGTTGGCACCTCAACGGTCAAAGGGACGCGGCTTTGCCTCCAGAACCTTTCCTCCTACTTCGTCACATTCTCCCAGGCTGCAACTCTCACACCATGGAGGTCGCGGTCGCACTGCAAGTCCCTCAGCGATCAACGCGGAAAAAGTCACAGGCAGGGACCGGAGCCAAAACCCATGCAGGACAGACGGAGCGGCATGCGAGCGTGGGATCGAACACTTCTCTACCTGCAACCGCAAACGACCACAAATAAAGCGGGAAAATCGAAAAACCTGGTTTTCCGTGAGGTTCCACAGAAAAAAGGGTCTTGCGCCCGTATTTTGCAAGCAGCCACCTGGCGGCCGTAAACAAGCGTAAAATAACCGTAAAAAAGCACAAAATAACCGTAAAAAGGCGTAAAATGACCGTACTTTTTGTGAGCATTTCCAGGTGCGATCGTTTTTTGCTGCTGCCCCAAGAAAACCTAGTTATTTTGGCACGACCGGAAATTAAGCGGTCAAGAGGGTAGCAGGTAATGATCTGAGGTCCTGAAGAGCACTGCAGCTTTGTTTCATTGTGCTACGGGAGATCGTGGATGTGCCATGCTGTGCCCAGATTGCTGCACCGACAAGCTGCTGAGATGTGGGCTGCGGGGTGCTACACACGGCGGCATTTTGCTCAGAATTCTTCAGGCTGGTCCGTAGAGTGCGTATCATATACCGCCTGTCTATGCCGGGCAATCTACGACTTTTTAGATCCAGACTAAGGCGAATCGGCGAGAGGTGAGTCTGGGACCGTTCGTGCAGATGGAGAGGCTTTGCACACCCGCTGAGAAAGGCTCGCGCAAGAATCACACAATGACCGGTCTTTACCATCAAGATGAGCGCATGTCTTGCAGCAAAACTCACATGTCCCACCGCCGCCGCGGCACGTTGTGTTGGGCTCCAATGCTGGGTTTAAAAGTGGCGCAGCCTGGCTTGTAGCCTGTTGTAGCACCGCCACTCTCCTTGCAGGAGCCTTGACTTCCTGTGCCAAGACAACTGCTGTGACAGAAGTAAGAGGAGCGGCAGATCTGAGGTGCCTGCCGGTCCTGCTGCGTCCTTAAAGCAGTCTTGCGAAGGTGCGGTTGCTGGGATTGGGCTGAGTTTCCATGTGCGTGCTCCCACCAAAGGCACTGACCTCGTCTTCAAGACCCGTCATCATGAGTCAGCTGCAGGATCAGAGCGCCGAGATGTTCGCCTCTAGCTACTGCTCCAGAATTCTCCGAGTCCACTGACACAGACTGTGGCAGACCGTTGTCGTGAAGCACCTTCGTCGACTGCCCTTTTGAGGTATTGTGTGTTTCAAAAAAGCATGTCTGCAGGACCTCGTCAAGATTGGCACGACCTTCGACAAGGTATACTGTTCGTACTTGGTGAATTAGAGAACTTGTGGCGGGTCATTTGCCGCTCTTTGCGTCTCTTTTTGGCAGATGCGCCGCAGCAGCAGCAGCAGCAACAGCAGCAACAGGGTGGACTCCCAAGACCTTGTCGAGGATCATTCTCCGCAGGCCTTGGCATCTGTCCTCTTCGTCCTCTTCCTCAGGGTAACTGGAGGATTAGGATGATTAGGGCATTTGTCCTGTACTGAACGGGGCAGCCTTGAAATCGGCTGTGGAGCCTCCATTCCCTCAGTAGAAGCATGTCCCCACTTCTCGGTGAGTTTGCCGTGAGTTGCAGTCTTGCCTGCTTGGCACTTTGGCCTTCTCATGCAGGCGCATCGAAATGGAAATGATGACTGCGCGCAGGGAGGAGCAGGCTCCGCCGATGTTGCGGAAACCGGGGCACCCGACCGCGCGCTCACGGAGACCTTTGAGGCTGGCAGGGTTCCAAACAAGGGGCAGGGCTTCGTCCTCGCAAGCGGACGGCGCTTTGTCGCATGCAATTGGCTAGGTAGTTTTTCTTTGCGTTGCGAATGCGATTGTTGCATTGCACAAGGCTTGCATGGAATTTGATGCCAGAACGCCGCAGAAGAAGCTGCACTCGTACAATTTCGTAGTCGTACATCTCAAAAATCCAGGCCAAAAGAGGGTAGTTTTTGCATCTTTACTTGGTGCTTCAGGAAACCCCGGCTCTCGGCGACGTCAGGACGCACCCGTCAGCACCTGACTCGATCCAGGAGAAGGCCCCCAAGGCGAGCGAGGCGGAGAGAGGCGTCTTCGTGGAGGGCAGTGGTCACCCGTGTCTGACCCGGGGACATCTCCAAGCGGAGGTGGAGGAGACTCGGCAGAAGTTCGTTGAGCTGCTTGGCTTCGGGCCACCTCGGCTTTCCAGAGTGTAGCCCTCTGCAACCGAGGCTTACGACAGTGGACACCACGCCTCGATGGCTATGGATGGCTGCATCCTGTACGGCAAAGTCCATCTGTCTGCTCGTCACTTCCGAACACGCAAGGAAGCTCGGCAAGAGCTGCAAATGTATTTCACAATGGTATGGGTTCCCAAACTACTCGATTGCATCGTTGGCTGCATTACGGTTGAAAGGCAGGCAAGAGAGTTGTGCTGCATGAGCGAGCGTCGCGTAAATGAGCGAAAGCGAGCAAACGGATCCAGACAGGTGCTTTTTCAACCGCAATCTTGAATCGGAAATAACAGCCACTGCCAACGTAACAAGTTAAGTCCTTCCGCGCAGACACGGCATGAAAGGCATTTGGTTCACGGGCTCTTCCTGAAAAGTGCTGAGGCTGAATAGCTGTTGATCGTTACAACGCGATGTCACAAAGCTTCAGCCTTGCAGATTCACCTCGTGGGCGGCCATTTCGCGCGCGCACACACACAAAGACAGGTTTCGTGCGGGTATTCCGGGGAGCCTTATATATCTCAGTACTTATAGTTCCATGACGATTCATGTATTGATCTGGTTCTTCTCGTCTCAGTATTTGTCGAGTGTCTGGGTATGCATGGGTTTAAAAGGGCTGAAGTCTTGTTTGGGGAGGCCTGATTTTACATGGGCTCCTGAAGCCTTCAGTACTCCACACATGATCTCATCTGGCCAGAAGTTTTCCCTGAACTCGCCTTTTTTTGTTACAATTGCACGGCAGGGTGACAAAGGCCAAGTTAACTGTTGGTTCTGTTTTTCTTTGCCTCAGGACGACAAGCGTGGTGCCTCCCGCCGCGGGAAAGGCCGGGGCCGAGGGCGTGCTTTTATCGGGGCTTAGGGCCTTGAAGTTCAAATTGCCGAGGCCTTTGAACTTTTCGACGAAAGTGTGTGTTGCAACAGAATTGCAGTAGCAAAGCACAAGTGTGAGTGAGTAATTCTACCGCTGACGATGCCAGGTTCGACTGGCTCAAGGCGGGTCAGCTCCATCTGTCTAGCTTAGGGCCGCGCAGGTTCGCACAGGTCCTGTTCGGAGGATGGCCCTCGACATGCCTTGTGACAAGTTTGTCTTTGTGTTGAAGCTTGCCTCGTGAGCATTCAGAAGTTCTTCCAACAAGATGCGATGAAAGTCCTCAGTGCTGCAAGGCTCGCCCTATCTCGCCACGCTAGCTCTCAGAGTCCTGGAATCCTATAGAGTTTAGAGTTTAGAGGACTCTTCGACGCGTGCTGCCATTGCTACTCCTTTGATTCCTTATGTTCTTGACTACATGTTACTATCACGGAGTCCAATAGGTTCGTATCAGGGTCTTGCGACAGGGCTGCTCTGACGGAAAGGAAAACCAACATGCAATGTGCGATGCTCTTGTTGCATGTGAGCCCCCGCGTGGAGGCACAATGGTGAGGCAATGCCTGCGTCAAAGCTGCCTTGCGGCCATGCAATTGGGACCCCGAGGCAGGATAAGACCCATCAGTTCAGTGGGCCCGATCATGGGGATCGTCCTCCAGTGACCGCCTTTACATTTTGCAGAGAGCGCAGGCACAACGCCTGTCGCAACGAATTAGATCCAATCGAATGCCTCTTGGGTAGTCATGTGCTCGCAGGAGCTGCTAAGATTGACGCCAAAAACGCACGGCCCCGGCATAAGGTGCACCCATGGCCCTGACAGCACGAAGCCCATGCTGCAGCCGGGCCAGAATAAGGCTGAAAGCTTCAGCGACAGACCTACTCCGCAACAAGGGGATGCAGCGCGTGGTGGGACAAATGAGTCAAGATGATGTTCGCCATTGAGCGTGCGAAAATGTGCTAGACGTGGATTTGCGGTCCCACAGCTTTGCAGGCTCAAGCTGGCATCCCTGGTTGTTCAGGTCAGCCACGTGCCGGTGCCCATGGCTCTTCGTCAGGCCCCGGCTCACCCCACGCCGCACACGGCGCACACAGCGCACGGCTTTTTGCTCCCGGAGATTCCTCAGACTCAGATGTGGTCCCCGTGCGGTGGCGTTTTCATCCTGGATGTGATTCCTAGCTGGGGTCCTGTGGTGGCCTTCGACGAGCAGGTGCCCTGAGTTGTTTGAATCGCTGCACCAGCATCAACCAAACAGCCTATAGAGGTGTTGAACTCGATTAGTTATCCGACGCCCCTGCAGATGTGGTACCACGGCTGGGAGTACGTTGAGGCATCTTGCCCAATTTGAGCATGTTTGCTCTGATCAAACAGAGCCACTGTCGAGGACGGGCCGGCCAAGCATAAACATAAAGACACCTTGAAGACTTAGACCTGAGAATACATAAGGAGTGTTGGCAGCTGCTCATGTCGGTGTGATGAGCATGGGGCCCAGACCACCTGCTTGCGACGTGCAGTGCCGTTGCGCGGTGGTCTTGGGACAGTTGGGTTCGACTACGTTGAAATTATCTGATTCTGCCGGACTTGGTCCACTGAGGATTCGACGACTGTGGGCAGCTTCGTCACAGGCCCAGCCTTGCCAGTATGGAGCTAAGGGTGCGAGAGACGATGTCTGAGAGCGGCCAGGAAGCGATGCTTCGCTTGCCACGCCGCTTGACATGACTAGCCGCAGCAATCCCATCTTCGCCAACAGCTAGAGCAGGAGCTCCAGGACACTCATCTTGTTGGCATGTTCATCGTGAGGGTTTCCGCGTATGTTGGAATGCATATCCGCTCGAACCAAGAATGTCCGCACCGATGGCACCGAGTATCAGAGTTACCCTTCTTTGCGGGTGCTCCCGGCCAACTGCCAGTTGTCTGAGGTTGGCGCCGCCGCCTCCATCCTGTGATACTTGGGATGCACTGGCTGACGATCACACGCATTGCCCGAAGGACCGAAGGAGCCCTGTTGAATTCAATGATGGCTGAGGCCATGGAAGAGATCCCATCCAAGCTGAACGCAAGGCAGGATGGTGGTTGTCTCCCTGAGCCATCCTGAGCCCCTTTGCCTCTTACTAGTCCGTAGAAGGCCTGGAGAAAGTTGGTCTCATTCTTCGCTGGCTGTTGGGTCCCCCAAGCAAAACTGTGCGCTGCTTCTGGGCTTCTGTAATGCTTGGCATGGCGTAGCAGGCACAGACTAGGCTGTCAGCTTGTGAAAAAAGAGTATGAGTCAGCAAGTGCTTGGACAGTTGGAGTAGGTTTTGTGGCACATGGCCCTCGATGTATGGGTAGGTGGTAGGTAGGTGGCCCTGAACAACCTTTCAATTGAGCTTTCATGAAGAAACGCCTTCAGTTCTGCGCGTGACTCTTGCCAGGGCACCCGTCTTCGTCCCGATGTGCATGAGAATGCCACAGAAGATACAGCCAAGCGCGACGTGGCAGGACAGGGTGCGTGCAATGCTTTGAAGCGCAGTCGGTTGGACATTGGACTGCGTGATTGACTGGCAACAAACATCGAAAGGTAAAGGAAAAGCCTGCCCAACTCCGCTGGGCTGACATGGAGGACCTTTGGCTGAGGGCGGGCGGCGCGGCGGGGGCAAGCTAAACAAGACTGAGGCTTTCACGTTCTCGGTGTTTGTGACGAAAGGTTGTCACTCCTGGGTTTTCCTGAGCCTCAACAGTATTTTGGATCCGAGGCACTTGGGCGCAGAATTTCCACAACTAGTCCCAGCATTCGGCCTTTGGTGCACCATCAGGAGCTTTGATCGTGCTCCCGCAACGCGTGAGTGAGAATGAACTTGAGTAGCAGATGCTGGAGAGGCAAATCCCACTTTGGGGCTACGGCCGAGAGTCTAGACACCAAAGCCCTACACCCTCAAGCATTAAAACAGGGGCTCAAAGTTGGAAACGTTCAGGACTCTGGCAAAGTCCAGAGCTAGCACTCCTGCTCATAGCACATGGCATGGTGATAGTTGCAAGAGCATCCAGCATGGAGGCCTTGGGGACACACAGCTTGGACATGCTTGGGCACTTCCACTGTAGCTTGTTACGCCGCCCTAGGATGAGGTCATGAACCCCGGGGCCTGCTCGATGTACAGTCCATGAACCATTCCTGTTAGTCGCCGCTGTCAACATTGATTGCAAGAGTTGCTTCACCCTCAAACCGTTTCGGCAGCTCCGAGACGAGCTCCGGAAAATGCTCTGCCTGGCTCAAGAACACGTTTTGCCAGAGCACGGTTTCACCTCCTCCTGACAGCTGGATTTGCCGTTGCAAATGTCATGGAGAAGGAGAAAAGAACAGCGCCCGAGCACTTGCTGCACTTAGCATCACGTGTCTGCCTTGCTTCCCTGTAGCTCCTCGTAGGTGCAGTTTCGCCTTGCGTTCGTGCTTGATAGCCACGCGTAGTCGACAAAGATAGAAAGTCAACAGCAAGTTTTGCTTCCTGGGCAAGCCTTGCCTTAAGCAGACGTACAAGAAGTTTATTGGTGGGACCTGGCTGGGGACGCTGCTTCTGCAGCTGTGGACAGGAACTGGGCATGAAGAGTGACCTACTTAAGATCACCGGGCCAAGTTTCAAAGTTAAGAACAAGTCATATTGGGTGTGACTTGGAAGGCTGCACGCTCAAAGGACCCCCATTTGGAAACTGCACAGATGAATACTGAATAGCAAGTTGCTGTATGAGAATCGCAGGAGGTCAGGGCGTAGGGCTTATTCGATCACGGGTTGGAGTCCGGAAATGATCCTTGCAAGGACCCAAACTTGCGCGGAGGGCGGCGCAGGGCACGCAGTATCTTCATTTCTAAACAGGAAAACCGCATTTCTGGAGGTGTTAGGTCGTGGGGTGGGACCGGTGGCTGGGGAGAGGAGATGAGGTCCGGCACACCGGGGTCTGCCAAAATGTCAAGACTTGCAGGAACCTTTGAAACTTTGCTTTTCGACGGGCAGCCAACTATCTATCAAGTTAGACTACGGGAGGGTGTTTTGAGAGTGAGAGTAGATAGTGATAGTGGAGCCACTTGCCATGGCTTGCCGCATCCTCAGCGGGATGCATGGGTAATAGGATTTCACAGCTGCATGGTTCAAGAAGTGATTCGCGCTCATCCGGGACAGGACAGGCGCCCATGGACTAGCCGCTATAAGCCATTTCTCATCACCAACCATTACAAGGCTTCCAATGGCTCTCATAAGGTTCCCATGTGCTGGCCTTTCCTATTCTAACCTTAGGCATCTGATTGCAGATGCGCGTGTGTGGGCTCGTGGAAGCACACGGTGAATCCCAGGCATGGCCTCACCCATCACGATACGGCGCCCTGTGTCACCTGCAAGGGGCCAAGTGGCCCATGATACCTGCTTCAATCCATGCTCTCATTCTCTCGCATCTCTTGTCTTTCAGGTCAGCCACGTGCCGGTGCCCATGGCTGTTCGTCAAGCCCCGGCTCACCACACGGCGCACACGGCGCACGGCGTGCACAGTGTGCACAGTGCAGCTGCTGCCACGCATCACCACGCAGCTCACACTGCCCACACGGCCCATGCCGTGCACACACATCACACACATGCTACAGCAGCTGTTCACGGGGCGCACCCCCAACAGCAGGTGGGAGATGTGGGAGCAGGGTGAAGTGTTCTCAGAGTTGGAAGTTCCCTTTGACAGGCAAACGTGGTACCAATGAAGACCGTACGGGACTCTGTCAGACCGATGTTTGCGAGTTGTCGCGTGATCCGGCAGAAAGAGAGTGCTGTTGTGAGGTCGCACCGGTTCACTACTCTCCTGCGCAGAGTGCTCGTGCTGCGACTCAGGGAGTCCGGAGCCTGGCGGGGTTCTTTCGTCTCCTGCTTTGCGCTAATCGGCCTTAGGCCGCATGGGCCTGCACTGTGGGGTTGTTGTTTTGTTGCACAGACTGAGTGGCTGCATGCAAAGGCATCTTAATCCCTTACCTTGTTTTACTTGTTTCTTTAGCTTGCAAACCTCCGCCCCTTTGAGTGCCTGAGGTGGCTTCCTCGTCCTTACCGCAGCCGGGCGCTCGGAGAGTGGGTAGAGTCTGCAGAGCCCCTCAGTCTCCAAGCTCCCGAATTTTCTGCAGCTCCCAAGTCAAGCCGAATCGGAATAAGCCTGCTAGCATCCTGGAACCTTCTGCACGGAGTTCTGCCGAGGCGCAGCCCGCACGTCGTGAGCAACAAGAACCTGGGCCAGAGGCTTTAGATGGACCGGCTTCCAGTTTCCCAAGTTTGCGATGTAGGTTAGTCGGGCATGGTACGCACCTTATAGGGATGGGACGTGTCGTCACATCATCACGTCCCAGGTCACTACATCCTGGGCCGAACCATTGGCCCATACCTTGATGGCCAGACCCGGAGGGGACATGGAGATGCCATTGCTGCCCTTAGGCGAGGGGACCTTCGGCAAGGTCAAGCTGGGAAGGCGCGAACAAGAACGCATAAGATCGCATCACACAAGTCCCAGCGCACCAAAACCACCCTGAGGCACATCCTGACCGGAGAGCGCGTGGCTGTGAAGGTCCTTGAGAAGGACCGTATTCAGGAGGCGGGGCCGCTTGCCTAACACAGCAGCTGCTTCATGAGTGCTGGACGAGCGAGTCAAAGGACATCAAAGGCTCGCCTGCAGTGAGAACATGTCTGACGCTGGGCGCGAGTGCGGCCGGCGCGACCCAGGGAACCCGAGCCAGTCGTGGCAACTGAGAAGCGCCAAGGACAGTCGCAGAGCTTCGCACAGCTTCGCAGAGCTTCACACAGCTTCACAGAGATCTTGGAGACACAGGTAAAATGGTCAAGGGCACCTTTCCACACCGCCAATGAGGACTCCGTGCCCAGGACACGCTTATTCCCACAGCGGGCGAACGAGAAGCTTCCAAGCACTCAAAACACAGCGGTAAGCGCTGCTGTCGGCTCACGTGCCTGCACTGCCACGGGCACTTGAACCGACGGTCGAATGTCACCCTACGTTGACTCACTGTAGAGGCCCTGCAAAGCTGGGCAAGGCACAACCTGAGACCAAAAGGGCTCAAAGACCTGCAAACCACTAAGACCCTCGAGCAACTGCAAGGACAGGCGCTCCACAGCAGGGCAAGTGTCAACACCTGCATATGCGTAGGAATTGCGTAGAGTCATCTCCATGACAGCAGGTCGCCGACATCGAGCGCGTTGCGCGCGAAGTCCAGCTTCTGAAGCTGATCAGGTGCCGTCAGTGTCGTTGCTCTGACTCCGGTGTCGTGGGGAGGGGGGCTGAAGTTTGCTTTGGATCAGAGACTCACCGGGGCTAAACACGTTGTCTCTTTCACGACGTCGAGGCACCCGCATGTGGTGCAGCTGTTCGAAATCATCGAAACCCGTGGGCAGCCAGAGCCCCGCATTTTGGGAGAGGAGAAGGGGCAAGGAGCACACGGGAAGCTCACCATCATGGTGAAAACTGTGCGGTTTTGAGGTTGTACTTGATCATGGAGTATGCCTCCGGGGGCGAGCTCTTCGACTACATCGTGCAGAATCAGCGTGTGCCCGTGAGTGGCCTCAGACTGCAACAAGGAGCAAGAACGGAGTTGGGGGCACTGCGCTGACATCATGCAAGGAACCGGAGGCATGCCGCTTTTTCCACCAGATCATTGCTGGGGCCCGGGGCCCGGGCACAAAAATCTCGACTCGAGTAGCAGCCCTAGAGCCCTAGGGCCCTAGAGTCTCACTCAGCCACACAGAAGCCGTTTCCCAAATGTCCCCTCTTCCCGGCCGAGAATACGGGGGTGGTTGAGTGAGGGGGGGGGGGTTCAGGGTTGAGCTGGAACGCTCTTTTTTGCGTGCTCAACGGCCTAAGTGGGTGTTCAAGGCGAGGGTTTCAAGGGGTCCAGGCAGAATACACCCAGAACAGAACGCGTCCTAGTAAGGGTCTCAGGAGAGGTCCCCCAGATTTTTGGCACGGAGGGGGGGGGGGGGTGGTGCTGGGACGGGGTGAAGGAGACCAGATCCTGATCCGAGGCGAATATGGGACATGATTAAGGCATTAAGGCATTGATTTCAGCTTCCAAGGTCGAACAGATCCACGCGATGAATGTTGTACATCGCGTCAGCGGGCTCAGCGCCGAAACCGAGACGAAAGAAACCTGAGAACTTGTGGAAAACATGTGCGCAGCCTGCACAACTGCGCACGTCTCCACGGTGGAGGATCTGAAGCCTGAGAATCTCCTTCTTGACGAGCAGTGCTCCCGGTGAAAGGAGATGTGAGGAGGAACTGTGCGACTTGAAGCCCTCAATTGCAGAGCCATTGCAGAGCCATTGAGGCACAAGTGCATCAAGATCGTTGATTTCGGCCTCAGCAACGTGCGCGGCCTCAAGAGTCCCCATGTCCTGCATGGCCCGTATGGCTCTTTGCAGGTCAGTGAAATGTCTATCGAGTCTAGAGTCTAGAGTCGAGGCCAAGCCCAAGTGTAGAAACACTTAGAAGTGTAGCTGGTGCATGGATTTTCCCCAATTGCCTTTCCCTGCGATCCCGCAACCTGCGCAGCGCTTCGACGACAACCAGCTGCTGAAAACCGCCTGCGGCTCTCCCTGCCCGGGCCTCGGGATTCACGTCGGTGCTCGTCGCTGCAGATATCAGTCCCCAGAGTCCCCACCTTGCAGTCAAAGAAGCAGATCTTTGGATAGCCAGGCTACGCTCCGCCAGAAATGGTCTCAGGGCAGAGCTGCGCTCTCAAAGCGAGAAGATCCCTAAAGAGACTTAAGTGTTGTGGTGCTGCAAGTTCGCTTCACTGCATCGGAAGCCCTCCTTATAAGGCTACGTCCCTCAGATGTGCGATCTCTGGAGCTGCGGGGTCATCCTCTTTGCCGCGACCTCGGGAAGAGAGTCTCGATAACGTCACAAGTATATCGCTAATCGACCATGAAGATCATGGGCTGAGGGTGCTCTCCTTTTTGTGGTTCCTGATTTGCTCAGTCCTTTGAGGCTATGGTGTGCGGATTCCTACCATTCGAGGACCATGGGCTCTTGACCCCCCACTTCCGAGCCTTGACATAACCTGTTGGATAACTCTTTCTCTCCTTGGCAGGATTCCAACACCTCGGCGCTGTACAAAAAGATCCTGGCAGCCAGCTACACGCCTCCATCATTCATCACCGACTCTGTCAAGGACTTTCCTCGTCCTTTCAAAAACCAGGCGGACTGCTGTCTTCAAGAGCGGGCACAAACAAGGAACAGAAGCATGGCCTCACCGGGTTGCCTGTGTTTAGTTTACAAAAGCTGTGACACAGCCTCCTACAGCTTAAGACAACGCCATTGGTCGTTAGAGGTACTCAGGCGCTCCTGCCTCGCAATGGTAGATATGGTACAGCTCTTTGTGATTTGAGTCCTGTCTTGATGAAAGTTGACCAAGTTTCAATGTGCGTGAGGACCTCATCGCTGGGCTCCTGACTGTGGATCCTGCGAAACGCTTCACGATTGCGGATGCCTGGGGCCCTGCATCCTCAAACGTCGACTTTGGGCCACTTGAGGCCTTGAAAACTCGTCCCTGCCAGAGGAGCTCCAGAAGAGCTCCCCCTTGAACCCTTTACCCTCTCAACACGCACAATCGCGAACCGACATACATGGCACATGTAGCTCGAGGAGAGCTCAGCTGTTCCACGCGATTTTTCTTCAAGCCCAGTCTTTGTTTGCTCTGCAAACGAAGGCAGTTCACCCACTATCCATGAGAAAGGTCAGCTTTCCTTAGAGGGTTCGGGGGTTGAGGATGTTGATGGGGTGTTAAGTCTGTGCGTTTCAAGCACAGCTTCGACTCTGCTGCCATCCGGGAGTGGATTATGTACTGCTCCAGAGTTTGTTACAGTTGCCAGCTTGAGCTCCTCGCTCTGCCGGGCGCATTGTGCATGAGCTCGCTCCAAGGTGCGAGCCCACGAGTGGTACCGCCAAATTTCGGAGGACCGGACAATTTCTGTTGCTCTTGTCGCGCTGCTTCACTCATCCCCCTTGCCCTCTCCTTTCTTCTTCCATCCCTCTCCATCTCCCTCTCCCCGTGATGCGACGTGTTTCCACCAATGCCAGTAGGAAACCGAGACTCTGCTGCAAAGTGAAATTTTTTTGAATTGGTAGGCTTGACAGTACGACTCCCATGCGGAAACCCTTTGCTGCAAAGCCCATCGAAGCCGATGGTCTAGTCATGAAACGCTGAACACTTGGCAGCCGGGCCGCCCAGCATTTCAAAGCAGGTCCAAGCTAAATCCCCAAAAACCTCAATGGGATCCCAAAATGTTTGTGACTTTATGACTCTTGGGGCGGGGTCCCAGGGGGTTGGGTTAGGGGGACGGGAAGGGGACCACATCTTGGTCTGCTTGTTCTAGACGCCTCCCGGCCGGAGGCCGAGGCGAATTGCGCCGCTCGTTGAAGAGTGCGAGGATGATCCGAGACTGGCATGTGAACCATCGGATGGTACGAAACGGATTCCGCGCAGCTCCATCCGGTCCACGCCCTCATAGACTCGTAGACATTACTTCCATCGCCTCTTTCCCTAATTCTGTCACCTATCTCGCCTTCTCTCTTTCTCCCTTTAAGTCTTTCCCTCCAACTTCGGCAGCATAGCCTGGCATAGCCGCAACAGGCCTCTGTCCGTCCTCGTGACTTGGTCTCCCGGCAATGCGGCGACTGTCTCAGACGAAAGTCTCTCTGCCCCCGAAAGTGGTCTCAGTGTTCTTGTTCGGTGGCTTCATGATGTCTCTGCAGGTCTCGAGGAGGACGTGCTCCAAGAGCTGAAGTGCCATGGTGCGGAGCTTTGTGTAACATCTCCAAGATTTCGACTTGGAATGCTTCGTTTTCTGGTCTGCGAGGTTTCCCTCAAGAGTATGCGACAAACTGCCTCCTGAACAACAAGCACAACAGCGTTACGACCACGCTCGGAACTTGAGTGCGGGAGCGGCTTCCGCCCGTCGGGTTTGCGATCTGCAGGGGACGCGTGTCAGTGAGAAGTACCCACTGAACAGCCTGTCTAAGGTACTATTTGCTGGCGGCCAAGCGAAGGAGGCTTACCTGCGGTGGGTGGCGTGAACTGGTGCTGCAAACGATCATTGCAATTGAGTAAGGGGTGGGTAGTCTTATTGTCCTCTTGTCGTTGTGCTGGCACTGTGTGGTGGACATGGAGATGGACGAATCGAATTATGCGAATTTGCATTCGACTTCGGAATTAGCAGCTTAGCATTGACCAGGATGGCAGAACACCTGCAGCTCCGGGAGTCTGAGCGTGCAAGCCCCAGCGGAGTCCGGAGCGTCTGGAGCATATATGGGTTGGGCTCCGGGGTGCGTGAGTTGCACAGTGCAGGTGCTCGCGACGAGCGGGACCTGCACTCAGAATTCGACTCTCGTCTCTTCTGAGCCGGTCTGAGCCCACCTTTGCCCAATGTGGGGATTCCACTGAAAACCGAGGCCCGATCCCCACATTCCTCGGTGCCCTCACCAGCCCCGGGAGCCCCGGGAGCCCCGGCAGCCGGAGCGGGAGCTCCGGGAGCCGGAGCCCCAAAAAAGAAAGGAGCCGGCTTTTGCGCTTTCAACCATCCGGGTGTCCCTTGGTCCCTTGAGGCATCGGCAACCGATGAAAGGCACCGTTGAACACTGCAAAGAGTGGCACGTCCCTTGTTGACTTAAAGCAGATGCTTGTACTTCGATTGAGGCCACCTGCGGAACCCCTTCGCGAGAACAGCACAGGCCAAAGCCCAACATATGTAATTGACAAAGAGATTGGGCACATGGCCATGCACGTCGGCACTCAGGTGCAGACGGCAAGGCCCACACCTTGGTGCTCCCCCGCAGTCCCTTTAAGCTTGCGAAGCGCCCTCAATGAACTTCGAGCTTGAGTCTCGACTCGGCCATTGCCCCACCCCCCCCCCCCCCCTCCCGCCCCCCAAAGAAACTTGGCACCGACTTTTTCAGAGTCTCTTGTGCTTCGAGGCGAGCGACGTCCATGCCGAGGCAAGGATCCTGAGGGGAGTGGCACGAAAAGCGGGGAAGGGGGGAGGTGTCTTGAAGGTGTGGGGAAGGAGGGAGAAGCTGAGAAGCTCCTGAAGAAGCTCCTGAAGTGGGCCACACCATGCCACACCTCAGTGCATCTGCAGGCGGCAGCGATCTTGAGGGAAGCCATCAGCTGAGTCTGCTCAGTGTAACTCTTTGAGAACAGGTTTTTACAATTTCTTTAGATTGCAAGATGGTTCTGTTGCGTGCACATGTGCAGTCCACGAGCAGATCTCGAGGCCACGCCCGAACCTCGTCCAGAGCATGGCCAGACCACTGTGGGTGACCTGGGAGACTTTTGGGCTTTTGCGACTGGGACCGTAGGATCGTCAGGTGATCGCTGTTGGTCGTGTGTTTCTGTGTTTCTGAGGTGTCCCCGCCATCCGCACGAACTGGCGCCGGCTTCCTGGAAAGCAGCTGCAGCTGGCCCTGGCCCACGCAAACATCCGACATTCCCGCCTCTTGAGGTGGCGCGGCCCGCTTCTGCTCGCACCGGAGCCGTTGCCCCTGCAGTGTTGTCGCGTGTGGACACAGCATGACACCATCAGAGGAGGCAGCATCTGGCAGGGTCCGAAAGAGTCCAACGCACCCAAGGCGAGCCCTCAAGACATCCCACGGGACCCACAGGCGCAAGCAAGTTTGGCACAAGCAGTTCACTGCTCATCAGTTTGTGCAGAAGGTGTCAACCCCAACTGCGATCTCCGGCCGCATGGGGGTGTGGATCTTAGATACTTAGATGGCACTAGGGTGCCATGCCAATGTGACCGCTCGCGAACATCGTGCCCTCTTCGTGGTGTTCGCTCAAATGTGTGTGTGGCAGGTGACACGGCCGAACTCTCTTCGTGGCAACCAGGCAACCCCCTTTGATCCAGCAGGACGTCGCCACTTTGCGTAGCAATATGCAATCTTATGCCGCCCTTCAAGGCAAGCGGCAGCGATGTCGCTCGTGACACACAGGTGCGACGTTGAACATGTTGAACACGACAGTTTCTTTTTGCTTCTTTGAGAGCATCAATCCAATGAATCGTAATTATGTCCGTGAAACTGTGCAACTGTGTGACTATGTCTGCGCGCACGAGTTATTTTACCATGCCAGCACAGCAGGTTTCTCCACCCACTTCTGGACGCATCGGAGCCTGAAGCTTGGAAACTGATAGAGCTGTCGGGCCAATTACGGCGATGTCTTGAGGAAGCGACAGAGCTCTGAGGTATCGCCACCTTCCTCCACCAGGGTTGCCGTCGGCCCCATAGAATTTTTGCTTCATTTAGCATCTGCAAGAAGTGCCAACTGCCAACCTACACGACCGCACTAAGGTGGTGCGGCCTGCTTCCGCTCGCACCGGAGCCGTTGCCCTGCAGTGTTGTGCGTTTGGACACAGCATATCACCCTCAGAGGAAGCAGAGTCTGACAGGGTCAGAACGAGTCTGAAGCATCGTAAGGCCAGCCCGCAAGACATCGCTCGGGACCCGCAGGCTGTGAGCAACGCGAGAATCAATCTGCAGCCCTTTGATATAGACAACCCCATAAGCGAGGTGGTACGGCCGACGCCCACACCTACTTCGGCGAGGGTCGCGGTTGTGACCTCACACACACACTGTGACAACGCCGGTTCAGGGGCTTGAGGGGTCAGTTCATGAAGCCGCCTGCAAAGGTGCCCAATGTGCCCAACTCCCCCACCCCTTCCATTGCCAGCTCCTCTGGCGGAGTGCGGATCCCAAGAGTCTTGGGGGGGCAAACATTGCTGCACAGCATGCCCTGCAGAGCGGACGTCGTAAGGTTGCGCAAGACATGCGGATGGATCTGCAGGCTGAGTGGTGGGGAGGAGCACATATGATGAATTGACATACCCCACGTGCCAGCATTTTGGGAAACTTGCCCAATCTGGCCAATCTGGCTTAACTCGTACTTTGCTCAGGCCCACTACGTGTTGAGGCGGGCGCCTGATTGAACACACTCCGGATCCGAGCACCAATTTTTGTTCAATGACGTTTGTATAGGCTGCTTGTGCCGTGCTTGTGACAAGGATGGCGCAGACCGGCGTTGCGCGGTCCAGCACGGTGCCAACCTCACGGCCGGTTGTCCAAGGCTTGAAAAGTGGGGGCACGTCGTGCACTGCGCTGCTGCATGCGTGCTGCGTGTGATGTGGTCCAAGCTGCGCAGTTTCACGTGTTCCTGTTCAAGCACTTCTCTTGAATTAGCAGGAACCCCGCAGACTGCACCAAGCACCCCGCGCCAACCGAGCTCCTCTCGAGGCAAAGCGGCCTTATAAAGCCTTCACCTTCCTCGCATCAAGAGTGAAAGAGTTCTCTGCCAAGCTCTCACCTGGGGGCCTCTCGAGGTGTGCCCGACACAAAGGCCATCGGACAATCGGACGCCCTTTGTGAGAGAAAGAGTGAGTGCGTGTGTGTGTACGTGTGTGTGTGTGTGTGTGTGATCGCGCGTGTGCGCGCGCGCGGGTGTGTGTGTGTGTGTGTGTGTGTTTTTGCTGGGGGGTCGGGGGAGGAATCGCTTTCGTCACAGCCTAGCTCTGCACTGTGCAGGTCGCAGGGGCCCGCGTCGCTGGACCCCAAGCCTGACTCCACTTGACTGCAACAATCTAATGAAGAATCCCGGCGATTTGCTCACGTGATTCTTGCTGAGGTTGCGTCGCCAAACCCCTCGCATCGTGCCGGAGCCCTGAGAAAAAAAGGCACAATCGTGGAAGCATGGACATTGCGTGAAGCGGCCTGAGGGAAATCGGCTTCCATCAGGGTTTGCTACAAATGGCCTGCCGATGAGTGCTGATACAGGTTTGCTCGATCCCTCACTGTAGTGCCTCATGTCGATCGCATAGATGAAATCTCGACGTAGGACGTAGGCATCGAGAAGGAAAGCAGGTGACAACAAAACGCCTTGGCATGTAAACCCCCAGGGCTTCACTTCCCTGTCCCGTGTCCTAGTTGAGTTTCTCCCTGCTGTTTTCAGGTCACTCTTTCGAACTCTGCTCGCACAGCCCGTGCCGACTGCCTTAGAAAGCCCTAGCGGGCCTAGCGTGAAGAACAGACCTACTCGCGTGCATCTCTCTCTCTCTTTGTTCTCTCTCTCTCTCTCTGTCTGTCTCGCTCGCTCTCTCGCAGTCACAGAAGAAGAGATGGTGCAGAGGCCCCGGAGGCGCGCCCAGACTCGCAGGCGGTCAAGCCCTCAGTGGATTTGAGGGTCCCCTGGTGCTGTTTTGTCCTCGCGCCGGATTTGAGGGTTGACGAGATGTTAACGACTGCATCTGCCTTCTTTCACAGAGAGCGCGAGAGAGTGCAGCGACCCCCGCCCATTGCGCAACCAGCCAGGCGCGCTACGTGGTCCGCCCAGTGATGCAGGGCTCTCGATGACATGCGGCGCTGGTGAGTTGTGTAGGGTTCTCACGCCGTCGCTGGGACCAGGATGGGGAGCAGAGTGGCTGGCTCCAGTCCAGTTCAAATTTCCCGACGAGTAGTTTCAGGCAGCTACAAAGGGAGCTCCCCTGGTGTCCTATGATGTAATTATGATCAATGGTGGTGCACGAATGCCCATACGCGTGCGCCGGGCAGGACAAGGCGCCCAAGCCCAAGTCCAAGCCACCCCAAGTACCCCGCGCCAGCCCACATCACGAGGCACGAGTCACCTGGGACTTTGTGCTGTATTCTAAGGCGACCTGTGATGTTTTGAGTATTTTGCAGGTGTCGTGGCTCCAGCGGCTGGCTGCCAAGAGTTCAGACTGGACTGTCAGAGTGCTTCTACAGTCGAACCTTATTCTTGAAACTTGGATGAATAACTGCACCAGTGTCTCAGGCACGCATGGCGTACCCGACCGCCTGGGCATACGGCCGCCTGCGTTGAATGACTGTACTGTGCTACAGCTTCTGTCTGATAACTGCGAAAGCCTGCGCAGCCGCGGAAATGCCAAGGTGGGTCGTGTGAAACAGTTCAGGTAACGACGCAAGACACAAACTCCCCTCCACCCACAAATGAAAGCTTACAATTGGCACTGCGCGACTGCGCACTTGAATGCCGCCAATCGGTGGATGCTCTATCGAGCTGTTTCTACCAACTTGGCTACGCTGGCCAAGCATGCACTTCCTTGCTGCGCGCCTGTGGCGCGACTCAGATTCTTTCAGGGTCTTTGACGGCTGAACCAAGCTGCTCAGGCCTCGTCGACCCGCTTAATGCACAATAGAGGACCTCCGGGGAGATCGCAGTCTCGAGTCTCGGGGCACAAGAGTCTTCGACAGGTAGCTGTATGTAGCCCACGCGGCGGAGGGTGCTGGAGTGTAGTGTTGTTGCTACAGTCTGTTACCAAGGGAGGTCTGATACGGTGGACATGGACACAGAGAGAAATGACTCGAAGGATTTCAAGCCAGTGGAGCAAAGCCGATCCCGAATGAAAAGTGGCGCGTCTTCTTTAGACAGACAACCTTCCAAGCTGAATGCTAGTTGCCCTCCGCGAGCTTGAGCCAATGATTTGTGGCGCAGAACGCAGAGGGTTCTGATGAAGGTGTGCATGCATACTTGTAGCTGTGCCAATGTCCAGGTGAAGTCATCATGTGCAGACTTCCTGCTATGGAACCAATCTCCAGCAAGGAGGTTAGGTGATCGTGTAGGACCTTGCTAGGGCATTTTGGCCCTGTTGCAAGCGCAGCTGTCATGGAGGACGGGGCAACTTCCGCCCCTCGGATGGGCTTATTAAATTGCGGAGCTGCAAAAAGTTCTCTGTCGTTGCTCTGGAAGTACAGGGTTTGGGGGCTTCGGCTGTTTTTTCAAGAGTTGCTGTTGCAACAATAGGTCAAGCATTCAAGTAAGGAAGCGAAGATCTCGACGGGTGCTCCCGCAACTGCCACCACAGGCAAGAGAGCAGGGCAGCTTGGCCGATCTTTGGTTTCACCGTCCCTGAAACGTGCAAACTTCGCGTGCGCTCCTACCAATACCAGCATCAACGGACACAAATGGACACAAATGCCCTCAAGCGGCCAGCACTTCCACACAGAACCGAACTTGGACACTCAGATCACTCAGATCCCCGACGGTTTTTTTCGCCCCTCCCCCAGCCCGCGGCCCCTGGCAAGTTCCTAGACCCAAATGAGGTGCAGAGCCTAGTTGAGTGCAGAGTCCAAGCCAATACGCCGCAGGAGCTCCTGAGGCAGATTCATCGCTTTTGGTCACAGGCCCGGAAATCTTGCCTGCGTGTGATGCGCGACGTTTAGCCCTTGGAAGTGATGAGTGCGGTCGCCACATCCGTCATGCACTGGTGCTTGCAATCAGACCTGTAACGCCGCAGCATGTCAGACGCCAAGCCGGCAGAACTCGTGTTTCTTGTCTTTCGTAGAGGTTGCCATGAACTTCTCGCCCGAGCTCAGCGTAGCTCTTCAGCGGATCACAGCCTGCAACAACAATGACAGATTGGCGAGCGTGGTCCGTGGTGATTTGCTCAAGAGTTTGCAGGAATCGAACGATGCTGTTTTGCACGCCCACGAGGCCTGGATGCAGCTGGAGATGCTGGGCACAGACGTGAACTGGATCGGGGGAGTTGTTGACTTGTTTGACAAAGAGAGTTTGTTCAAGGCCTTCAAGGACTCCAAGCTCCTGACGCGTGACCGAGTGGTGTGGCAGGCGATTGGGCGTTTTCGCAATCCACTGGACATGCAGCTGACCATGGACTACTTGTCGGAACTGGTCAGCAACAATAACACCCAAGTGTCTCAGCTTCGGAATTCATACTACAAGATTCAGTCTGACATGGTGCTTCAGGTCATGCGTGACTACTATTCGTGGGAAAGGTTTGCACTGCAGATCTTCAGCAACTACGAGGATGATGACGTGCAGTTCGTCTTGTTTAACCTCAGTCGCTTCATGGAGCTGAACATGGCGGACCTATACACCTCTTTGATGCAGTCGCCCTTCATCGTTGCTGATGCGCTGTCCAGGGCAGCGCATGACGGGGTGCCTGTGCGGCACGCTGGCAGCGGGGCACATAGCCTCTCCGACACAGCAAGCCTCTTTCAGTCCTTGGCAAGCTTGGGCCGGGACTTGTCTTATCCCGACTTCCTGGATCCTGTGAAGGATGCCATTCACAGAAGCACGCAGTCCAGCTTGCGTGCCATTCAGCACTCTGTGACCGCATGGTCCTTGCTCCATCAGGAAGCTCCCGGCAGTGGAGTCCTGACTTCCGACGACGGCCAGCGGAAGTTTCGAGACCTGGACTTCGTCATGCGGCAAGAACTTTTGTGCACAAGCTTCGCCTTCCTTGGTGCAAACGGCTTAGCTGACTTTGGCCTTGTGGAGCAGGTTCTGCGACAGCACGGGGGGCTGAAGGACGGGCCGAATGACACCGTGGATGGTTTGGTCGCCAAGCTAAGGACAACGCACTCACACATGCAGAAGCACTTTCTCCAAGAGCTCATCTGCTCGGAGAACGTTTGGTCCCGCAGTATCAAGAAGATTACACAGCTTCAGGCCAAGGAGACCCGTGGGCAAAACTGAGTCTTGCACTGAGTCTTAGGTGAGGAGCGGCCAGAGAACAGCTGCCCGAACCATATAAACATGTGTCCTGTATATTTCCCGCGACTAATCTGGGGCCGTGTGCCCTGGAAATCATTCCAAGCACTGCTGCGATGCGATGTGAAAATAGGCGGAAGCCCGGCAAGTTGTGCGCCGACAGCTGTCAGCACTGAAGCTGCACCCGCATGTGTTGCGTGCTTTTTCGCCTGGAACACAGGGCACGCAGCCTTGCATGCACTTTGAGCCGTGTCAGGAACTGATTGGCAGCCAGCTGGAGAAGCTGCAGCGGGTGGGGTCACTTAACTCGTATGAACTCGTCCGCAAAGCATGCATCAACAATGCGTTTATAAATTGTCCACAAGTCCGTCCATTCCTCTAAGGATCAACTACCAGATGATAGGCAAGCTGCACGGTGGAGTTGCGAGGTGCGCAACCAATTCTGGGCAAGTGTCGAGCGTGTGACCATGCTGTCGATCGATTGATCTACGTACCCATTCATCCATCCCCCAACTAGTCATCCATCCTTCAATCCATGCATCCGTCCACCCATCTATCTGTCTGTCTGTCTCTTTGTCTATCTGCGCCCATGTGGAATGTGATCTTACCGCAAGTGACTAGCAGTGGCCTAAGATGCAGAAGGGAGCGCTAGCATCAACTGTCCTTTATTGTTTTTTGGTGCTGTGTACGGTTTCTTTCCCCCCGTGGCCCCTGGCAAGTTCCTAGACCCAAATGAGGTGCAGAGCCTAGTTGAGTGCAGAGTCCAAGCCAATACGCCGCAGGAGCTCCTGAGGCAGATTCATCGCTTTTGGTCACAGGCCCGGAAATCTTGCCTGCGTGTGATGCGCGACGTTCAGCCCTTGGAAGGGATGAGCGTGATGAGTGCGGTCGCCACATCCGTCATGCACTGGTGCTTGCAATCAGACCTGTAACGCCGCAGCATGTCAGACGCCAAGCCGGCAGAACTCGTGTTTCTTGTCTTTCGTAGAGGTTGCCATGAACTTCTCGCCCGAGCTCAGCGTAGCTCTTCAGCGGATCACAGCCTGCAACAACAATGACAGATTGGCGAGCGTGGTCCGTGGTGATTTGCTCAAGAGTTTGCAGGAATCGAACGATGCTGTTTTGCACGCCCACGAGGCCTGGATGCAGCTGGAGATGCTGGGCACAGACGTGAACTGGATCGGGGGAGTTGTTGACTTGTTTGACAAAGAGAGTTTGTTCAAGGCCTTCAAGGACTCCAAGCTCCTGACGCGTGACCGAGTGGTGTGGCAGGCGATTGGGCGTTTTCGCAATCCACTGGACATGCAGCTGACCATGGACTACTTGTCGGAACTGGTCAGCAACAATAACACCCAAGTGTCTCAGCTTCGGAATTCATACTACAAGATTCAGTCTGACATGGTGCTTCAGGTCATGCGTGACTACTATTCGTGGGAAAGGTTTGCACTGCAGATCTTCAGCAACTACGAGGATGATGACGTGCAGTTCGTCTTGTTTAACCTCAGTCGCTTCATGGAGCTGAACATGGCGGACCTATACACCTCTTTGATGCAGTCGCCCTTCATCGTTGCTGATGCGCTGTCCAGGGCAGCGCATGACGGGGTGCCTGTGCGGCACGCTGGCAGCGGGGCACATAGCCTCTCCGACACAGCAAGCCTCTTTCAGTCCTTGGCAAGCTTGGGCCGGGACTTGTCTTATCCCGACTTCCTGGATCCTGTGAAGGATGCCATTCACAGAAGCACGCAGTCCAGCTTGCGTGCCATTCAGCACTCTGTGACCGCATGGTCCTTGCTCCATCAGGAAGCTCCCGGCAGTGGAGTCCTGACTTCCGACGACGGCCAGCGGAAGTTTCGAGACCTGGACTTCGTCATGCGGCAAGAACTTTTGTGCACAAGCTTCGCCTTCCTTGGTGCAAACGGCTTAGCTGACTTTGGCCTTGTGGAGCAGGTTCTGCGACAGCACGGGGGGCTGAAGGACGGGCCGAATGACACCGTGGATGGTTTGGTCGCCAAGCTAAGGACAACGCACTCACACATGCAGAAGCACTTTCTCCAAGAGCTCATCTGCTCGGAGAACGTTTGGTCCCGCAGTATCAAGAAGATTACACAGCTTCAGGCCAAGGAGACCCGTGGGCAAAACTGAGTCTTGCACTGAGTCTTAGGTGAGGAGCGGCCAGAGAACAGCTGCCCGAACCATATAAACATGTGTCCTGTATATTTCCCGCGACTAATCTGGGGCCGTGTGCCCTGGAAATCATTCCAAGCACTGCTGCGATGCGATGTGAAAATAGGCGGACGCCCGGCAAGTTGTGCGCCGACAGCTGTCAGCACTGAAGCTGCACCCGCATGTGTTGCGTGCTTTTTCGCCTGGAACACAGGGCACGCAGCGTTGCATGCACTTTGAGCCGTGTCAGGAACTGATTGGCAGCCAGCTGGAGAAGCTGCAGCGGGTGGGGTCACTTAACTCGTATGAACTCGTCCGCAAAGCATGCATCAACAATGCGTTTATAAATCGTCCGCAAGTCCGTCCATTCCTCTAAGGATCAACTACCAGATGATAGGCAAGCTGCACGGTGGAGTTGCGAGGTGCGCAACCAATTCTGGGCAAGTGTCGAGCGTGTGACCATGCTGTCGATCGATTGATCTACGTACCCATTCATCCATCCCCCAACTAGTCATCCATCCTTCAATCCATCCATCCGTCCACCCATCTATCTGTCTGTCTGTCTCTTTGTCTATCTGCGCCCATGTGGAATGTGATCTTACCGCAAGTGACTAGCAGTGGCCTAAGATGCAGAAGGGAGCGCTAGCATCAACTGTCCTTTTTTGTTTTTTGGTGCTGTGTACGGTTTCTTTCCCCCCGCGGCCCCTGGCAAGTTCCTAGACCCAAATGAGGTGCAGAGCGTAGTTGAGTGCAGAGTCCAAGCCAATACGCCGCAGGAGCTCCTGAGGCAGATTCATCGCTTTTGGTCACAGGCCCGGAAATCTTGCCTGCGTGTGATGCGCGACGTTTAGCCCTTGGAAGTGATGAGTTCGGTCGCCACATCCGTCATGCACTGGTGCTTGCAATCAGACCTGTAACGCCGCAGCATGTCAGACGCCAAGCCGGCAGAACTCGTGTTTCTTGTCTTTCGTAGAGGTTGCCATGAACTTCTCGCCCGAGCTCAGCGTAGCTCTTCAGCGGATCACAGCCTGCAACAACAATGACAGATTGGCGAGCGTGGTCCGTGGTGATTTGCTCAAGAGTTTGCAAGAATCGAACGATGCTGTTTTGCACGCCCACGAGGCCTGGATGCAGCTGGAGATGCTGGGCACAGACGTGAATTGGATCGGGGGAGTTGTTGACTTGTTTGACAAAGAGAGTTTGTTCAAGGCCTTCAAGGACTCCAAGCTCCTGACGCGTGACCGAGTGGTGTGGCAGGCGATTGGGCGTTTTCGCAATCCACTGGACATGCAGCTGACCATGGACTACTTGTCGGAACTGGTCAGCAACAATAACACCCAAGTGTCTCAGCTTCGAAATTCATACTACAAGATTCAGTCTGACATGGTGCTTCAGGTCATGCGTGACTACTATTCGTGGGAAAGGTTTGCACTGCAGATCTTCAGCAACTACGAGGATGATGACGTGCAGTTCGTCTTGTTTAACCTCAGTCGCTTCATGGAGCTGAACATGGCGGACCTATACACCTCTTTGATGCAGTCGCCCTTCATCGTTGCTGATGCGCTGTCCAGGGCGGCGCATGACGGGGTGCTTGTGCGGCACGCTGGCACCGGGGCACATAGCCTCTCCGACACAGCAAGCCTCTTTCAGTCCTTGGCAAGCTTGGGCCGGGACTTGTCTTATCCCGACTTCCTGGATCCTGTGAAGGATGCCATTCACAGAAGCACGCAGTCCAGCTTGCGTGCCATTCAGCACTCTGTGACCGCATGGTCCTTGCTCCATCAGGAAGCTCCCGGCAGTGGAGTCCTGACTTCCGACGACGGCCAGCGGAAGTTTCGAGACCTGGACATCGTCATGCGGCAAGAACTTTTGTGCACAAGCTTCGCCTTCCTTGGTGCAAACGGCTTAGCTGACTTTGGCCTTGTGGAGCAGGTTCTGCGACAGCACGGGGGGCTGAAGGACGGGCCGAATGACACCGTGGATGGTTTGGTCGCCAAGCTAAGGACAACGCACTCACACATGCAGAAGCACTTTCTCCAAGAGCTCATCTGCTCGGAGAACGTTTGGTCCCGCAGTATCAAGAAGATTACACAGCTTCAGGCCAAGGAGACCCGTGGGCAAAACTGAGTCTTGCACTGAGTCTTAGGTGAGGAGCGGCCAGAGAACAGCTGCCCGAACCATATAAACATGTGTCCTGTATATTTCCCGCGACTAATCTGGGGCCGTGTGCCCTGGAAATCATTCCAAGCACTGCTGCGATGCGATGTGAAAATAGGCGGAAGCCCGGCAAGTTGTGCGCCGACAGCTGTCAGCACTGAAGCTGCACCCGCATGTGTTGCGTGCTTTTTCGCCTGGAACACAGGGCACGCAGCCTTGCATGCACTTTGAGCCGTGTCAGGAACTGATTGGCAGCCAGCTGGAGAAGCTGCAGCGGGTGGGCATGGTTGCGGCTGCAACGCAGGCCGGGTTGTTTCAACACAGAGCTCAGTCACTTCGATTCTATTGGCCATAGGAAGCAATCATCAGAAGCAACAGTTGAGCCGTTTTGTGGCGACTGGTGGATTGCCTCTGTTGTCTTGGTCCAGGATGCGCGCCATCGCGACGTCATCCCGGACGCCTCTGCCGACAGCCCAAAGACTCATGGCAGCAAGTGGGTGTTTACACTGAACTGCGCATTCATCCCTCGCAATGTTGTGCTCATGGGCAGTTCTTTCAGAAGCTGTTGTGCTATCGTCATCCATGATGTCTGCTACATTGACAAGCCACTGTTCGTCTCGGCGTGAGCAGATTTGTACCTGCAGCCTGCACTGCCAAGCTCGAGGTACTGCTGGGTTCCGGAATTGAACGGTGGCCAGGGGGGGAGGGCATTTGCCAGGCAAGAAAGCCAAAGCTCAGAGCAGCCATTGTCCTGATCGCGTGGAAAACTTCCTCATGCGAATGTCTTTAGGTGTGGCGTGGTGCGTTCGTTTTCGCGATGTGTATGCCGTATGCTGAGCCTGAACTCACTCCAAGCAAGTACCCTGACGCAACAGGAAGGCTAGAATGACCTTTTGCTAGCAGGAGAATACATAATGAAATGCGATTGGGTGCTTAGATCAGTGCAAGTTTGCAGCTGAACATATGTGAAATCCTTTGCCGTTAGCTCAGTTCAGAGAACGAGATGTAGGTCAGACGTCTTGCCCAGCTATGAGCAGACCTCGCACCCTCAGCTGCCCCGCCACCTTTCTTAAGGTACTTTTCAGTGAGTTGGCTGCTGTCGTCATGGCATACAGGCATGCAATGCAGAAAGGGATGCGCTTCAGCAATTTCTGCAGTGATTTAAAGATTCATGTGTTTGGTCGCCTTGTAGCACACGCGATGGAACGATGAAGAAGAAGCCGAACAAGTACCAGGCAGATGGCGTTCGCTTGCTTGTGGAAGCAACGCTCGAAGGCAGGGGGCTAAAATCCGCTGCCCCGTCTGTTGAAGATGCGGCGCTTACATTACATAGATATTGATCTGATGTTGCACCTGCGGAGGCAAGAGATATGGGAAGACAGAATACAAGGTGCCAGCCTTTTTCGATCGTTTGGGACCAGTCGTCTCGTTCATCCACTCGAGGTGAGCAGTCAAACTTTAACTTGTGCATGCATAATGTTGGACCCTCTTTAGTGTGTGAACCCCCCCCCCCTCCCCAAACAGTCGAAGCTGGTTTTCGCCCTGTTTATACAGTCCACGGGGTGTATGTGATTTTAGTAGGGAGGAGTTCATCTAAGTTTAAAAGGGACAGCGATCGGCCGTAATTGATTTTATGGCGCACCGCACGGACTTTTTCGACACCCGGACGATTTGACTTAATTGAGGACCCCACTCTGCACCCTGAATAGCCCGGCCCGCTTGACTTAATAGAGGGGGCCCCTGCTAAAGCAGGTCCAGCATTACAAGCTTTCGTTTCAAGGGGCGTAGGTCTGTAGACGAGTTTGATTTGGAGAGCTGAATGAGGTCTACGAGGCAGTGGCTGGTCTAGAAAACGGGAAGCGTGAAGCTCCTTTCCTCTTCGTCTGGCTGCATGGCATGGACCGGTTGGGGAGATCGGGGCCATGGGAGCGTCGAAATGAGCGGGGGCTTTCCGTGTCCTCAAACCGCATGCGAAGCACCGTAGCACACTGCACACTTGAATCAATCAGCTCTCGCGCTTTCACTTGTGAAGCAGCGCTATTTTGCACCAGCCCCACGAACCACACGAACCAGTGCTTCGCACAGCCAACGTTCCACGCAGGACAATGGGATGATCGAGCCCTCTTACCTGCGGACTATGCAATCCAGACTGCGCCGCCGTGTGATCTTCATGGTGCTGCAGAGAATCAGAAGATCGGTTGAGTTTGTGTCAACATTTCAGGCTCTCCAATCCAAGGCTCGTTGGGTTTGATGTGATTCCTCTGCCAGCTGTCAAGGTTCCGAAAAGTCCAAGCACCACTCCCGACGGTTTTCACTTCAACTGGGGGTGTTGCTTCACCAAGAGCGACAACAAGAAGCAGCTAGGCAAGGAGAGTTGTGTGCAACCTGCTGTCTTCTTGTGCAAACCATCAAGTACCTTGGCGAGAGGCTACGTCTTCGGCTCGCTGCATGAGGACAGGCGCATTCTGCGCTTGCTGTGTCTCAGGTTCGAGAATCCTTCAGCGGAGTTAGTCACTGCGTGGGACCCAGATAACCTCATGCGCCCGGGGAACCTGTTTTCGTGTTCAGTCTTGATTCCTCTTCGTCTGTCCAGATTCATATGGTTCTGTGTAGGCAAGACTTTTTTTATTAGGACGTTCCTGTCTTCTGGTTGATGTTGTCCTCGCTCTCTCTCCTCTCTCTCTATCTCTCTGGCTTCTTAAAATCGTCGTTGGGGGCTTTGTGCGATACTAGTACCAGCTTAATGGACCTGCTTTATTAGGGGGGGTCGCTTTAAAGTCAATTTGGCGGAATTATTCAGGACCCCCTCACTGTTTGAGGGGTCCGCTTTAAAGTCAAACCGTCCGGGCGCCGTAAGAAAATTCCACGTGGCGCGCCTTTAAAAAAGATAACCGGGCATTGCTGCCCCTTTTAAACATATCTAAACTCCACCCTATTAAAATCATATAAGCCCCCGGGGCCGTGTAATCAGGACCCAATCCACGCCCCGACTGTTCAGGGGGGGGGGGGGGGGCCCCCCACATTAAAGCAGGTCCAAGTCCACGGTATGTCAAATGCCCTCGAGCGTGTCAAACAATTTTTTATGAGTCAAGGTCTACTTAATAGTTGATGGTCGTGTAGGTAACCAAGGTGGGAGCCATCCTCCCCTTATTGGGACAGGAGGTAATTAGGAATACTCTCCGTCGATACTGCGCTTGGGCACTTGCGGGATACTCGGCAGGATTCTCTGCAGTTCTCTCGGGCTGGGTGCTTCTGGGATTCTCTACAAGGTTTCCTTTTGCATAGGGTCTCAGGGAGATGCAGCGTCGTGCACCGAATTACACCGAGCATGCAACGAAACCTTCGTGCGACCAATTGCAGCGATTGGCAGGCGGCAGGAGCTCGCATATTGACCGTACCGAGTACAAGCTCGGTACGGTCACTATACGATGTGTTCGGCACTTTTCTTTCATTCACGATCAAGATGCCTTGAAGGAAATTGAACTGCGGGTAATAACCTCCCGCGTCTCTGCGCACGTAACAGGTACGTCAGCCCAAATTGCGGCCGTCGTGGAAAACCCCGCTTTCTGCAAGAACCAAGCCTGGCTAGTAAAGGCTGGACCCGCACAGATCAAACTAAACTTGCCACGTTCAGCGTGCTGGTGTTGCCGGTCGCTTTGACGAGCTGGATCTTGACGTTCACATTGGCGAGGCTGCCTGCCCCTTTCATGTTGTGCGTGACGGTCGGCCAAGACTTTGACGAACATTTCCCATGTTGAGCGTGATGGTATTGTCCGTCAACGCCTCCACACAAAGAGTCTGCATGCCGCAAGGAAGACGCGGCACCACGTGCAGCATAAAGAGTTCCGCTGTCGCTCCAACTGCTTGCCGTCGAAACGCAGCATGGCAGATTTGGAGCTCGGAGCTCGCAAAACTTAAACGGGCACATTCGGGGGCGTTACGAAGTTCCCTGTTGTGGCGCTCCAAGGATACTCGGATTGTCTGCGGGGCCGGCCCGGGCAATGAGTACGGGGGAGGAGAATGTCTGAAGTCACTCTCACACCCTTGCTGCCATGTGAGGAATGCGAAATTTCGTTGTGCGACTGATGGTTGCAAAAAAACTCAAGTCTGCACATTTTCCTGAGCTGATTTCGCAACTCTTTATGCCAATGTCGGGTGAGGAGTACTTGCGCGACCTCACGGCAAAAGTCAGTGAGATCGCGAGTATCTTTCAAGCTGAGAGAACCTTGGTGATGGGGTGGCTGGGTTGCAAGACCCTGCAGCATCTCAGGGCGTCTCACGCCTCATGCGCTTTGATGAGCAAAGTTCCTGAGCCTCCAATGGTATTGCCCTTCTAAGAGGAAATGCCGCGCAGCTCAGCCGTGCAGGTACAGCATGGGTGGCTTTGGCGCCTTTCAGCTTGGGTCCATGGCTCCAGACTCTTGTTTGCAAGCAAGAGCTTGGTTTTGGGACTGTTGGTGGGTCAGCTCCATAATTGCCAGGGTGCATCAATCTTACCGTGGATCACTCGGTACTGTGGAAAGCCAAGGACGTCTTTGACGTGGTGGTGTCTGTTGCCGGGTATGGCGTGGGAACGTTGGAGCCTCAAGGCCAGCGATGCTCCACGCTTCCTGGATAGGCCTATTTGTCAGTTCCGTTCTGTACGCACTCCTCAAACCTCAAGCCACCTAAGCTAGAAGCAATGTTCAGGTGAGATGTATGATGCACCACAGCCACAAGCAGGGGAACGATTTGAGAAGTTTCTTCAGCAGGCCCTTGGGCTTTGCGGAATGTGCAGCACATAGAACGTTCTTGTGCTTCTGCCTCCAGCAAAGCCTTTCGAGGATGCCAAAATGTTGTACGTTTCAGGCGATGTGTGTTGCTTTCTGTTTTAAATCACAACGTGACAACATAGCAGCAAACAGAATTTCAATAGTTACAGTCACAACAATTTCAATTACCGTAGGCTCAGCACATTCGGAGATGGCTGTCGACCGTCAGGGCTGGCCATGGGGATCCAGGGCTTAGGTGACAGATAACTGCCGAAAACAGTCATGACAGGTCGCATCAAGGCTGAGCGTCGTGCCGGTCGTTCTCGCCATGCACTCAAGGATCCTCGACGGAAGTATGACGTCTCGGCTTCTTTACTTTGATTACTTTGAGGCCGCCCCTTGCCCGAACCGGCTGGGCAAGTACAACAGCTTTTGTCGCAGGAAGGTTTCAGAACATGAGAGATATGGAAGCACTGCAACCCGCCACACGGAGCTGCTGTGCCCACCGGCGAATGAGGGTAAACAAGCAGTTGGCTTCGGACCCTTCAGGAGGGTGCTTGCAGTTGTCCTTGCAGTGCGTTTGCCGCGAACGGTCGATGACTTAGCCATGCGTGGGGCCGGTAGCAGCGACTTGCAAACGAAGAAGAGCAACAAGAATATGCAACAAGCTTAAGTACATCGCTGCGATCTCAAACACGCGGAGCTGTCTTGCTGCGGCTCAACACGCGAATAAATACTCCAAACTGATTTGGACCATGGCTGAAACCTGTGCTGGACAAATCAGGATCTTGCTGTAGTGTCTGCTTGCAACCAAGGAAAGATTCGATGTCAAGCTTCCGAGATGCGACTTCGCTTATGTCATGTCTATGGTGGTCCCACGCCATTTCATGGTGGAGCAGCATCTTGCAATATCTTGCGCCACAAATCGGCGATGTCACAATACCTTCTGTGAGGTCAACGCCATCATCCGCCACGTACAGGCACCGTGATGTCATTCAGTACGTGCCTGCATACATACTTGTAGCTGAGCAGACACAGCAGCTCTCAGAGAGATTCAGAGAGATTGAATTGCGTGCAACATTCGCTCGTTGGGTGTTGAGTATGGGCAATGCAAGAGGCTCTTAGAAGCGCATTTCGTTGAGTTCCTAAGCATCTGCTCAGTGACGGCTAACGTCGGACACTGTCGAAACAACAGTCAAACGGTGCGAATTTCAACTTTGGCAGATGGTCAAGGCATAGTATTGGTACAGCATCAAGTCTAAGCCCTTGGCCTGGATAACAATTGGTTGGTTGCATGGAAGACGCGGGTCTTTAAACAGCAGCCAGCGATAGCGCTGCGATTTCTCGACAGGAGGTCAGCTTGAAAAAAGGTTCCGAGAACATCGTCCAGCTCCTCGAGGCCGCTTAGGAAAAAGCCTTTTTTGAGGGTTCAGAGGGAGGGCGCTCAGACTGCGGAGAATGTTCGAGAGATTCTGAGTCTAAATTGTTTTGCAGAGAGTGGGGGCAGCTTTTGGACTGCTTCATGCACTGAGAGCCGTTCATGTTCTTACGATCAAAAGGAAGCCATCTTCTCTCACTCATTGCAAGAGATGCATCTGTTGCATGTTCTCGGCCTGTGAATGGCAAAGAATCATACTCACTGGCCGATCTTAAAAGGTGTGAGTGCTGCAGGGGACAGGGGATGATGGATGTGTGTGTGTGCGCAAACATACGAGCATCACATGGGGTAATAGTAGGATTCCCTAAGGACCCCCGGATAAGGTACCCCTAGTTTAGGAACCCGTCCCCCCCCCCCCCCCCCCCTTTGGCTGTTGCTGCCCTAGCAGGTCCCTGATGAGAAGGCGGACTCCGACAGAGGGCGCAAGAAGAAGAACAAGAGCGGCCGGCGCCTGAAAAGCCCCCCCCCCCCCTGAATCTTCGCTTTGGGCCGACAATGCAAACTGAACCCGTTTTCCTTCGGTGATGCGTGCTCAGCACAACTTAACACTCTTGGCCCTCCTTCTCCTTTCTACTGCTGCTCTGGCCCTTGCAGAGAACCCGAGGCCATCACTACTTCAACTACACCTTGCTGGACGACACAAGTGACGATTTTTTCTGGTCAAAGCTGCAGGGCTTCCTTCGAATTGCTGCTTCTCGGTTGCATATGTAAGTTTCCAGTTTCCAGTGAAATGTTCAGTGCTCATCACGCTCAGCCCTCAATCTACCCAAGGGATTCAGATTGCATGAGACAACATAAGGTTCGGGCTTGGGCTTAGGGTCCACGCAAAAAAACTTGACGCTTGCTCCTTGCATGTACTGAACTAGCAGGCTCCGCGACTGGAGCTGCAGACAGTGAGCTTCGACTCCATCGCACGCTTCGGGACGTCGAATACAGGTCCGAACCCGAACCTATACAGTATCGAATGACATTTCAAGTTGGCAGGCTCTTCTGGGTACTTGCGCGATCGTCCCGCGATCGGCAACATCATCATAGTTCCCACCAAATCCACGGAGCCTCAAGATTAGCTCACCGGCCGAATTGTCGTGAACTGTCGTCCGGATATGGCTTGCACAGAACAGCGGAAGTCAAGCTGTTTCTCATGATGGCAGACGGCATTATTGAGCAACTCTTGCACACGATGTGCGTTTCAATCTTGCGACATGTGGTTTGGTGTCTGGTTGCTCGCTCCTCTCCCGACAGAGCACGAATGCTCGACAAGCGCCATGCCTAGACCCAGCACCAGGTGCCCCTCTTCCACCCAAGCGAAATGGGACACTTTTGTGGTGCTTGGGCAGGCAAACCCGTGTGTGCCAAATGTGGTCCTTGGTGGAAGGTGGCCTGGCAGCATCTCTCACTGCCTTCGAGTGTCGTGCAACATTATGTGTCACATGCCCGCATGCCCGACAGTTCATTGCTGAACCGGATGAACTGTTCCTGTGAACTTTACGCCGCAGCACTCGGTCACTTGCTCGTTCGTTCTCATGGTTCAATGCTAAGTCAGCGAAGGCTAGCGCAGCTGAAAGCCCAAATCAGGCCCGCAAGCCAACACCCCACTTGAGTAGAAGCAAGGCAATGCACAAGGAACGTCGACAAAAACAGTACTTCAAGTTTCACTGGATCTGAGGCTAGGGTCGAGGAGAGGGATGAGACGAGCGTTCGGATTCCCCAGAGCCTCTGGGCAGGCACACCGGTACAGAGCATGGCACAGCCTGCCCCAGGGTGGGGCTAGTGAGGGCACGTAAAGTGGCCAGTGCGCGCGAAGCTTGCGCGAAGTGAAGATTCGGGGGAAGATGCCATGGGGACTTCTTGAAGACTCAGAGCAATGCACAGTGTCAGTCAGTGTCGGTCGTTTCCTTGCTTGCCCTGCGTTTGTGCCACCAAGCACTTCTGGGCCAGGCATGTCCCAGCGCTACTCTCCCTACTGACATCTGGCCTGAGCGCGACCGCGATGGCAAAGTGAAAAGCGGGGGGGCCTTTTTGCCAACTCATTTGAAGAATGCCGGTTACGGCTTCCACGAGAGATCCTGAGGTGCTCCGCTCCCCCACCGTTCCCCCACAACGCTCTTACTAGTAAGTCCGAAGTTATCCTTGGTTGAGATTGCAAGAACATCTACGCCCACTGAGTGCTGAACAACTGCGGTGGCTCCCAAAAGCCTGCACCAAGACCCCTCAGTAAATCACACCCCTCCCCCATTCCCAATGCCATCTAAACGCATGCTCTTCGTTGGCTCCTTAGTTCGGTTTCTTTCAAGTCTGGAGCCTTCAAGGGGGAACAGTCTGGTGAACCTGGCAACCTTGCTGCTTTCCTCCGGTTTGAACTTGGAAGAAGGCCACGCGCCATGCGCCCCATGAGTTACAAATGAAACAATGACACGCACCTCCTTTCTGCAAGTCACCGTCATGTCTCGTTGCAGCAAGGTAGGAGATGGCTTGACAAGCCAGTTAGGCCTGTTGAATTTCACATCGTTCCACAGGGTTTAGATGGGCCTCAGCTCTCCGACTACGATCGACGCCATCCAAACTTGATAGTCGCGGTCGCACCGGAACCTTGGCTCATTTCACGAGGGGTGCCGCAGCAGATTTCCGATGGTCAAGGCGCCGGCCTCAAAGGGCTTTTGAATGGGTTGCTTGGAGGGGCCACATTCTGAACGAGGTTGAGGTTCTGGAAGATTTTTTTTCCAGTCCCACAGTTCCGACATGTTCCGACCCGCTTTTGCCCTTGGGCTTCGCTCGATTTGGGATGTTATGGGTACGGGCATCAAATCAATTGTAAGGTGTAAGTTGCTGCAAGCGCGACTCTAAGGCAATGCACGCGGAGCCTACAGAAGGCGACGGGTGTACTTTAGAGTTTCCTGCTTAGTGGCAGGGCCTCTTTGGAGTTGTGTGGACTTGCCAGAGCAGACACTGGATTCGGCAGGCATTTGCAGACTCGCTAACAGCATCCTGCTTTCGTGAACATGTGTAACATGTTCAAAGAAAGTGCTTAATGTTAACCTCACATTTATAAATGGGGTGGTAATTGCAATTTTCGCCGGGCCAGAGGGCCCCAGCCGAAGACTACTTTCCATTGTGGGAGGTTTCCGGGCTGAAATCTATAAACAAGTCTATATAGGGGGGTCCTGTGAGAATAATAATGGGGTGACAACTGCAATATTTTTCCGGCCAGGAATGCAAAATTTCACTGAAAATTCAGCTGAGCTGGCTTGAAAGAGCTCCGAGGCTCCCTTCAAGACAAAGCAGAGCAGACCCTGACAGCTGACCACCCCCAGACCCCCAGAAGACCCCCAGATTCCAATTATTGACACCCCCTCTTCTTTTTGACCCCTCCAAACCCCGGGGACCAAAACAAGATGCGGGGGGGGGGGGGGGTTTATTAAAGCGACGTTAACATTAATCAGACGGTTATGTCGAGCGCAAACAGCTTGCATGGGTTCTAGGGTTAGGGTCCTAGGACGAACAGGCTGGGTGGTTAGGAGAAGCCCCCCCGCCCTCCCATTTGCACACGCAATACTCACTGACGGGTTTGGACCCATGTTGCTCACATTGTATGTATATATGTATATATTCATTTATGTGTTTATGATTGTTTATTTATTTGCGTAGCATGTATGTAGGTATGTACATATATATATATATATGGCCCTCCATGACCCAGGCGCACCAAGAACAATGCAGAGACAGACGATGGGAGGAGTGACCCATAACAGATGACACCACTCATGCATGTTCTTTTACATGTGATACTTGCTTTTTTTTTCCTCACTTTTTGATGTGTTACATCATACACCCTCACAAGGGCCTTAAATTCTTCAAAACCCATGAAGCCCTGAAGTGAATCAGTAAAGCGACGTTTTTTGGTGAAGGATCCGACTTTTTTGCAAAGCTTCAAAGTAAAGATCAGGAAACCCTTGAACTCCTTAATTCTGACAGGCAAGTTGCCCTTAAACATGTTTAAAGGCCCCTCAACTCTTCACAGCCCTGAAGCCCTTAATTGTTCAAGCGTGGCTTTTCGAAATTTTGAGATTTTATAACGGCTTTTCAGAATAGAGCATCTGACCCTTCCCCAAAAATGTTGCTGAATTTCGTTCAAATAAGGCCCCTTAAAGTCTGTAACGTCTTCAACATCATACAAGTTTTAAAGACACTTTAACATGAAACATAAATATTTTGCAGCATTTCAGGGCCATTGAACATGTCGAAACAAATTGAATCGCGATGGAGAACCACCCTTTCCAGGAACCGGGGGCCGAAATTTGCATTTGCTCAGGTCTACGCTTCAGGTTTCGATGTGTGGTGTTCTGCTTTAGTGAGGGTTCGTAGTCCCTTCCCGTGAACATGACTTGAGTTTCCACACTTCCAACTTCTCTGGAGGTGTGGGACGACAAGGGCATCAACTCGGTATCTGCGTGTTTCGGCTTCCAATTGTGAGACAAACAAATACAAGCAGGCATAGTTGTGTGTATCTGCGCTTGTCAATCCATGTCTTGAACCCCACGCTTTGCCCAGGAGTTCCTCAGACAGAACGAGGCCAAAGCTAGAGTCTGGCAATGCAGGGCAATCGAGCACAGGGCTTTAACGCTATATGGCAGACTCCTAGACATACGGGGTGCTGTGATGCTGCAGGGGCACAGACACGCGCTCGCCGACACAGTGGACTGAAGTTTAAGAGATACTGAGCCAGGTCCAAGATGAGGAGCGCAAACAGCCTTAAATTAGCCCTAGATTCCGAAGCCTAACGAGCTCTGTAATGCTTTTTGTTCTTGATAGTCCAAGCATTACTGCAGAGTGCACTAGGCAGCAAAACGTGCCATGAAAGGCGGACGTTCTCGATGATAGTACATGATTTTTGGAGTTTTAGTCCCCTGGCCTGCAGATGGATGATGTATACCGGCTATCTCGGCATCTTGGCGGAACAGTTTCATCTTGTGTGTTCCTTGATTGCCTTTGAGTTGCGGAACTCTTTTGCACCAAACTCTCAGCATTGTCCCTAACACTCAACAAGGGATGAAACACCTGGCCCAAAGCCTGAGCCTGTGCCTTTGGCATGCCTGTGGGGAAAACACCGTGAATGACAAAACCCGAAACCGTATGCAGGCCAGAATTGGTGGTGGAATCAGCAGACGTGAAGAGGCCTGAGAGTGCGTCAGCGAAAGACATAGTTCCGGTTCTCCGCAGGGCGAATCAATCGAGTGGCCGATCTTGGTTTTCAGAGGTCCAAAGTTAAGTTGTGGTTTCAGTTTATTGTTTAGGCTGCGTCAAGGCTGTGAGGTTGTCGTCTTGAACGCCGTGTCGGAAACTGCGCCGTATGTGGTGAAATTTTCTGTGGCAGTGCAGCATGATCAGGCTGCGGCCTAAAGCATGGAACGTTCAAGTTGAGGTTTTAAGAGTATACAGTATACAGTATACGGGTAATGTACGTGGCCATGGTTGCATTGGAGCTGTGGGCGCAGCCGTGAATGCGAAAAAACCAGAGTGACGCTTTGGGGCTTAGCTGCTTAGCTTGCAAGAAGAAGGAAGGAAAGAGACTGTTGAAAGAAAGAAACAACACAGAAGGACCACAAATAAAGAGAGGGAAAGGGGGTCTCACGCCCGACGCTTCCCAGCCCTGTGGGGCACGAACTTTGAGGGGAAAGTCTCCCATGGACTCCGGGATGTCACGAGCGCACCCAGTGCACGGCGGGTGGGGGGGTCACTGCTCCCGAGGGGAGGAGAGCCAGGGAATCAAAGAAGCCCCAGCACAGAAACTGTTAGTAGTTAGTCCTCAAGGGAGCAAGGATGGAAAGGTAAGTCTCTTGGACAGTAAATTGTTGTTGCGGCAAAATAACGTGAGGAAAGTATCATGTCATGGCAACCTCGAGGTCTGTCCTTAAACGCTGTCGCGCTCATTCGGCCCGGAAAGACTGTCACAATCCCTGGGCGATTTTGGTAATTAGATAAGGCTGTCCAGACCCTTCAATCTTCGAAGTGCCATGACATGTGGCACAATGCCACCACATCCTTTCTGGTTCGTTGATCACATCTCATGCGCGAGGGAAGGAGAGAAGGCATCCAAAACCCAAATGAGCGCACCCTGTTTTACAACTCACCTTATTCGTTTTTGTTATTGTTCTTCTTTTTGTTGAAGGAGCTTCAGAATCCAAGCTTATTTGTTGACTCTATAAAAGTTCCCCGAAATTGCAACCTATCCACGAACCACAATCGTCTTAAAGGCCCGCGTTAATTAAACTGCATCCTTCCCTCCCTGCAAAGGCCCCCTGCCCTCAGAAGTAGGTAGGATGTGGCTGTCTTGCAAACGTTTGTTTGTCAACATCCAGTTGAACTGACAACGTATGCATTTCCACCGAGTGCACAATAACATACTCTGGCTAGGCCGGTGATGCGGATGGGGCCTGTGCCGAGACGCAGCCGCTGTCGATCCTGCCAAAAAATGGAAAGTGGGGCTGCGCATGGACTGGGGTGGTTATGCATGCTGCGTTTTCTAAAGATGAACGAAGATGAGGCTTCAATTCAGTATATGTAATGTAGAAATACCTTGTTAATATACTCTGTGTGTATATGCGCAACATTCCACATATAATATATATATATATATGTATGCTAAGGAGCCCCTGAACCTGGGCAAACAGTCGATTGCATTTCTTTTGGCTTGCGCAGAGTTGTAAGGAGCGTCTTTTTGTTTTGGAGACTCACCGAGGCAAGGTACATGTAATCATGCAAGGCATGGGAATGATGCTTGCTTACTCGCACGATGCAGTGGTCGAGCCAAAGAAAGCCTGCAGTCTTCCCCTTTGCGACAGGCCTGCATCCAGTATGCCCAACACTTGAGGTCTTGGACTGCATCCTCGCTTATCAGAAAACAGCCAGTAACTCGCACGTCCGAGATTTCTTTCCAAAGGCTGGGGATGCCTACCCGATCGAGAAGCCCCCACTGTCTCAGCCGCATGGAAGGCAAATCCGCGACAGCTCAATCCACCGAGCAGAGGTTGGATAATGCCATATAATGCCTATCTACATTGCTGGGCACATTTTTACGTCTCTTTCCGAGAGCAAACCCTTGACACATGAGAGCCCGCGCGGTCAAAACACTTGTGTAGCCCTTTGAGTCTTGAGTTCCGAAGCGCCGCCCCCCGTCTTTTGTTTGAAACCCTTGCATGGCGACGCGGGGGATTTAGCAAATCTTCAGGCCCCTTCTCTTTGCAGGATGCGGGCTTTCGGAGCGAACTCCCTAGCACGTCTGAGACGGAGACAACGGTGAAGTACCATTTCTATTACTCACCCCCGGGAAGCGCTTGAGCTGTAGGCTACCCTAACGTGTACAAAAACCTCGCACCCGCAGCCCTTCTGAAGCCTTCAAGGTGGAGAAGCGGTGCTATCCTGAGCCCAATAATTAGCAACCTTTGCACATGGATGACTGCGGCCCCATTGGTGTCCGTGACCTCCACAGCCTCGCCAGACTTTTTGCTCAGGACCCAAAACCACAGCATCATGAATCCCACTACCCTGATGTGACACTATGCCTTGTCAAGTGACAACCAAGAACAAATTCTTTAGCCACGGGACAGAGCTCGTGTACACGAGCTCCAAAGAAAAACCCGGCTCCCTTCACAGAAGAATGCCGCGACCGCTGTCCGGGCCCTGAAGTGCAACATGTTTTTCAATGGTTGGTGAGGTGCGCTGCCTCCTTGAGACATTTGAATGTGTTGCCCCCGCTCCCAGCGTGGCTCCAGGACACAAGTTCTCATGACTGTGCACAGTCGTTTTTTGTTCCCTGGGAGCCTGAGCAAGCCATTGATGAATGAGCGGAGTTCCTGCGATGCCCAATCAAGGCTGGAGGCCACTGGGACATTTCAAAATTGGCCTGTCCACAATGTGTCCGTCCTCTCCTATCCAGGTAGAAGTGGATGAGCATTCACCTTCGCCCGTCGAAGGCCTTGTTCCTACCTGTGTTTGCTGATGTTGCGCAAGCATGGCGGCAGATATTGCATCCCATATTGCCATATTGCCATATTGCATCCCTCAGGTTCCAAAAGATCCACCAGTGTCTCCTCCTTCTTCGTGCAGGTTGTTTTGCTGGTGGCGGTGGTCCTCTTTGGCTGCGCCAACAACATCGCCAAGCAAATCGCCGCGCAGCCACTCCAGCGTCTCTCAGAGTCACAAGCAAGAAACAATCAGTGTGAGTGAACATGCAGCTTTGTTAGCTGTTAGCTGCAGAAGCACGCCTGATGCACGAGTTCCAAAATTGAGCGTTAGTTTCCACATGTTCCCGTTCAGGCTACACTTACATGCTCGGGCTCTCCACGGCCGTCGCTTATGTGCCGCTGTACTGGTCTGCAGGCTGCAATGCAAGAATGCGTCCAAGCCCCCAACAGCAAAGCAAAAATGAAAGTTTGTCAGGGCAAGACGATTGATAGGTGCATCCCATCCGAGTGAGTTAAGAGGCTCCCTCCGTGCAGAGCCTAGTGTCCGCTGGATGTGGATCCAAACGCACAAGTTGGGCGAAATGACAGGAGCACTCATTAAACAAACAACCTGCGTGCAATTTCTTGCATGTTTCGGGGGGGATGAGGGGGGAAGAGAGGGTGGGCGTTTCAGGATAAACACCGCAGCTGCATGTGTATTCCGATTTTGGTTTTGTGACTTTGAGGTTCATTCTGGTCCTGCTGCTGCTTATCCAGGTCGTGCCCAAATCCCAGTTCCGCTTCGTTTGGAAGCGAGGCGAAGGGCAAGGCCGCAGGGTCGCTGCGCCCGTGGCCCTCCTCGCGGTGTCCGCCCTGGGTCCGTGGCCCCAGTGGCCGCGTGTTGCTGGCGTGTTGCCCGGCGTGTTCTTTCACTTCTCTCGCTTCTCTCCTTTCTCTCCCTTCTCTCATTTCCTCTCATGTCTCTCCCTGGTCGCTTAAGTCCTTTCCGCTCAACGCGTGGTGCTGAGGCGACTCCTTGGGCGACACCATCGGGGCCATCTGCACTCCACACGTAAGCGGCCCGCTGCACAGCCTGCTCTCAAACTGCACCCCCATCTTCATTGCGCTGCTCTCCATGTGCCCTGGCCTTCAACAAATGGCTTTGCTTGCTGCGCAAATGACCCGTGCCACATCCTGGTACTGGGCGGTGCTAGGTGCCTCCTCCAGGAGCGCTACTCTTTGATGCAGTCCCTGGCGCTGCTCGGGGTGGAGCCCGCCACATTCAGATGCTGTGAGAGGGCGAATGTTGGTGATCATCCTGCGAAAGGCAAAGGTCGCTGAGTCCAGGGCCCGTGCCCTGTCTACTTGTTTGCCAGGTCTTCGCGGCCGTGGATCCCTGGCAACGACAACAGCATGCTTTGAGTGTTCTTATGCGTTGACCTTCCTTTAGCCGCCTTCGCATCGAACTTGATTCGAAGCAACGAATGAACATTTCAGCACACTCGAGAAAACTAGCCAACATTACTGATCAGGTCACGGGGTTGCTGCCTTCACTGGAGGGCCTTAGTGCGACCAGCGAGCCTGTGTTTGCGGTGATCCTGGGAGGCGGAGGGTAGAACCCAAAGTCTACCAGTCTACAGTCTACCTGTAGGCTTCATGTGTGTTTTGGTACCCCGGCCCCCACGCTGCCTGGCTTGCCTCCATCAGGCAGTTGCATCTTCAATGCGGCGGCTCGGATGGGGCACAGAGTCCAGAGTCATTTGAGTCATTTTTCCAGCAGTACTCTGAGTGCAGCTAATTTGTACGAGCAGCTGTCGTATGGTTGGGTGTGTAGGCCTTTTGCACGCAAGCAGTGGTGCTGAACTTTAGGTCGCTTTCGTGCTCAAGGATCTTGTTTTCAAGCGATACAAGGTGAGGACCGACCTAAGTGTCAAGAGCTCTCTCTGAGCTCTCCCTTTCTCGTAGTAGAAGCTCGCACTGAGTTCTAAAGTTCAAACTGACTCTGAGAGAGCACAAGAGAGCGCGCTTCTCACGTCTGACATTTGTATTTGTGAGAACTGTCTCTGTATGGTCTCACGGGCAGGCGGAGAACGAGGATGGCCTGAACATCTTCGTCATGAACGCCCACCTGGCGCTGTTCCAGCTCCCCCTGACCATCCTGCTGATCCCGCTGAACGAACTGCTCAAGCAGACCAACGGCGAAGGCCCCGGGTGTAGCATCCCCTAGCATCCTCATCCCTTGCCTAGCCCAGCAAGATCGGGCAAGACATGCAAAACTCGTTCTGTCATGAGCCCGGGGGGGGGCTTGTGCCAGGCATCGGCGCCTACACGCAGGAGGCCCTACATTGCGTTTTCGGTGGGCAGGCTGACAGCTGCGGTGAAGACTCCAATCACGCGGAGCTAGCTGGCCGCTGCCCCTCAGACCGGCTATGGCCATGACGGAAAGGGTTTGTTCACATGGTAGTTATATAACGTGGTAGCTGTGCAATGCAGAGCAACAATGATCCTGCTAAGGCGTCGGCATCTACGTAATTTTCAATGTGCTTTGGAACATGGCGGTGCTGCTCTCTGTGAAACACTCTGGAGCACTGGTCACTTTCATCGCGTTGAAGGCGATTTTCCCGGTCCCTTGGCCTCTGTCAGTTTCGAAAGCGGGCTGATAGTGGCATAAGTGGCGTAGTTTTTTGGAGTGTCCAAATGAGGTCTCGACGATCCTCTTCGCCTACGTAGATTGGCCGCTGCTGGGCCCCACACACTTGTCCTGGCTGGTCTGGCTCTCGATCTTGCTGCTGCTGCCCTCCATTGCCGCCTACCAGTATGCCACGCAGCTGCAGGCCGACAGAAAGCCCACGCAGAACCTCCCAGCCGAGCGAGACAGAGAGGGAAGGAGACGGAGAGAGACTTCGGGCGCGTGAGTGGGGGTCCCCCGGGCCCTAAGCCCAGCAGAAGAAGAAGAAGCAGCAGAAAGAAAGAAAGAGTGCCCCAAAAAAACGCCGAGTGCTGCGATGGCAACTGGAGGTGCAGCGTGCGCTGTTGCACCCGTCGCTGGGACGCTGTTGCTGGCCCCTCTGCCCGGGCCGGGCTGAGCGCGGGCCCCTTCTTGGCGGCGAGATCCAAGGTGGCTAGTGACCTGACACACCTCCTCGACCCAAAGGGTGGTCTTAAGGTGCTGTGGCTCTCTTTGCTGCCAGCTGCTAGTGAAGGTACACGAAAGTACATGATGCTCGGTTCATTCAGTTCTTGGCGTTTCTTGGGTGTCAAGAGCGCTGAGCTCAAGGCACGAGGCCCTTGTAAAGGCGAGGGCTGCTCTGACTTCCCAACGCCCAGAACCTCCCCAATTCTGCCCTCCCCGGGTCACAGAGCCATAGAGGTCGCAGGCCCAAGACGTACAGGGACACTTGGTCCAGAGCTCTGCTCGGAGGGCGGGAAAACGGAGCGAGTCCTTTCTTCTTGCCAGTGCCATGGCAGTGCCATGGCATCATGGGCATGCTGTGACATCGGCATTCACCAGGCCGAGACTATGGCATCGGCCTTCTTCTCTCTCATCGACTCTATCGGAGAGACCTTCGAGGGCGTTGTCGAGAATGCCTTGCTCCTAGGGCCCTGACAGGAGAACTTTTGAAAATGCCCTGGCATGGGCATGTGTCTCAGGTGGAGAATGTCGTTGGGACCGTGGAGAAGGAGGCCAAAGATTCGGGGGAGTGGGTGGGGGGGGGGGGACCGGCATCATTCGAACCGTTTGAAACATCTCGCGCCTTTGCCAGGTGGAGGGTGCAGTGCAGCAGATGGATGCAGGGGTGGACCTCGACGACGTCCTGGAGGACAACTAAGTCAGTGTCGCGATGCCTGCAACTGTATGGACTTAGGCCTGAGGAGCAGAAGCATGATTTCGCATTTTTTGCCAAATGTGTTGTCTTCCACAGCTGATTTTCTCGGCAATTTTGTGCGCCTGATCCACCTGCCCCTCCGCCATGGCCGAGCCAGCTCAGAAGAAGGCCCGCACCACGCGCACCTTCCTCTTCTCCTCGGAGTCAGTGAATGAAGGTCCTGGGCCCAAGTCACTGCTAGAGGCTCTCACAGTGCAGCGAAATTGCAGCGCGTCAACGCGTCTGAGGCCACCCGGACAAGATTTGCGATCAAGTCTCGGATGCCGTCCTGGATGCTTGCTTGACAGCGGACCCAAAGAGCAAGGTGGCCTGCGAGACCGCGACCAAGGACAACATGGTCATGGTGGCCGGAGTGCCTCGGCTTGGAATGCTTGGAATTGAGCTCCGGGAGTTTGGGGTCTAAGCTTCGGCGCACTGTGCCGGGTTGATCTCCTGTGTACTTAGGAGATCACCACTGGAGCGAAGCTCGACTACGACAAAGTGGTGCGCGGCGTTGTCCAGCAGATCGGTTTTGACAGCTTCGTGGATGACCTGTCCAGTGTGGATAGCAAGGGCTTGAGCTACAAGACCTGCACCTCAGCTTCTCCATACAGGCCTATACAGTGAATTTTGTGTTGCGCCATTGAATCAGTGAGCGAGCATTGGCTGAGGCGAGGTCTTGGTGCGCATCAACAAGCAGAGCCCGGACATTGCAGGCGGAGTGCATGTAGGCAAGGACGAGATGGACGTGGGCGCCGGCGACCAGGGCATCATGTTCGGCTATGCCAGCGACGAGACGTCCGATTGCATGCCCCTGACTCACTCCATGGCCACCCGCCTCGGCAAGACCTTGACCGACGTGCGAAAGAGCGGCGAGTGCTGGTGGCTGCGACCTGACGGCAAGACGCAGGTGACCATCGAGTACATGCAGCATCCAGATGGCTCCGTGGAGCCGAAGAAGATCCACACCGTTGTCATCTCCACGCAGCATGCGGAGCCGTCCAAGGCCAAGCGAACACAGGAGTGTGCCGGCTACAGTGGCGCCGAGATGGTCGCACCCACCATGGAGCAGATGAACAAGGAGATCGAGGAGAAGGTCATCAAGCGAACGCTTCAGTCCATCAAATTGAAGAACGGCCAGCAAGCCATCAGCCTGTATGGCAGCCACACGCACCTGCACATCAATCCGTCGGGCAAGTTCATCATCGGTGGTCCTCAGGGCGATGCGGGCCTTACTGGTCGCAAGATCATCATTGTGCCTGGGTCGGCAGTTGTTGCAGCTAGGCATGATCGCATAAGCTAGTTTTGTATGGGTACAGCCGCAAAGGACACCTATGGAGGCTGGGGAGCCCATGGCGGCGGAGCCTTCTCTGGCAAGGACCCCACCAAGGTGGACCGATCAGCCGCCTACATCTGCCGGCAGATGGCCAAGTCCGTGGTCAGCAGCGGCCTGAGCGCGCGCTGCCTGGTGCAGCTGTCGTACGCCATCGGCGTGGCCAAGCCCCTGTCCCTGTTCGTGGAGACCTACGGTAGCGAGAAGGGCGCACTGACCGTGGATGACATTACCAACGTGCTGAAGATCGAGTTCGACTGCCGGCCTGGCGCCATCGCCCAGTCGCTGGCCCTGCGGGAACCCAAGTACCAGGACACGGCCGCCTACTGCCACTTTGGCCGCGAGCCGGTGACCAAGAACGGCATCAAGTTCTTCGAGTGGGAGAACTCCAAGGACCTGTCTAAGTACAAGAGCATGAGCTCGTCCCAGGTGGAGGCCGCCCTGAAGGCCAGCACCTACTTGACCAAGTGGGTGGACTAAGGCCATGGCGGAGCTAAGTCGACGGCTTCCGACGCCCCATCTCGCCCTTCAGGAACCCGGGTGCGACGGGCTGAAACTCCCTGTCGAGTTTTGAGTGCCGCGGCTATTTCAGATCCATCAGTCTTCCTACTGGTGAGTTGGAGTAGGCGGGGGATCCTCGACAGATTTTCCTCAAAGCGCTCTGTAAAAACCTGCGGAGAAAAGGAGCTTTGCCTGCTCTTGGTCCTGAAGGTTAGCAATACAAGCAGGATCCATGACCGAGAAGAAGCCATCACTGAGAAGTGCGCAAAGGAACAGAAACTCGAAAAGGAATGCCGGTCAAGCCACGCCTGTAGAGCCTGTACCCGGTTGGGGGGTGCTGCACGTGAAATCGAAGTGCAGTCGTGTCTGAAACTTTCTGTGAGACTCCGACTCAGGAGATCCAGCTCGCCGCGGACGAGGCGATGGCACTGTCGCAGTGATACGGGGATCTGCTACGACATGTTGCGATGCTGCATCTCTTTAAGCTTCAACTTGTGATCCCTGATTGCTCTGTGGTTTTTCTTCCTTCTCTCAAGGAGGCGTTATTCCAAGCTTATCGTCGCTTGGAGGCAGGTGCCGCAGACTTCGTGCAAGATTGTGCAAGCCTGCGTAGCTCCAGCAGTTCCTCAGTTCCAATGCGCGTGACCATGAGACCATTCAAAGGTCCTCGCACGCAACCAGGCGGCGACCATCCTGCATGGGTGGGTTGTGGAGGTGCAGGGCCTATGGAGCGCGCTGAATGAAGCCACGTATGGTTGGGGTGCGTCGAGGACCGGGTCGTCCCTGTTGTGTGCGCTGCCCTGTGCCGGGTGGAGTGGCGGCCTTGTGACAGATGTTGGCCTTGATGTTTTCGTGGTTTATTATAATTTGTGATCTGGCAGAGTCCGAAAAGAAAAGAAGGCGTGAGCAGCGTGACTCCACAGTGCTTCGAGGGCCTTAAGGGCTTGCCAAGTGAGGTCGGCAGAGTTGGCGGCGGCGCCACTTGCCCGAACACTGAACGGCATGGGCCGCGCCTTGGATTCCACGGGCACCACAAAGGAGGCACATGTCGGCGGATCGCACAGAGTCCTGCGGAGCTATATCGTACCAAATCAATGTCAATCTAAGACGAAGAATAACAATCGCCAAAGGTAAGAATCTTCTTTATTTACATACACAACACAGGCGATGTATAATAATGAGTTTATACCTGGAAATATATTGAGCATCTAGACAAAACTCAGCACCCTCAGCCTCAGTCCACGGAGGAGATGGCATCCTTCCATGAGCAGATCGTTCGGCGAACGGAGAACGGCAAGGCCATGCTGAAGCTGCTGCAGGACCGCTGCACTATGCTGCACTGCGGCTGCACTGGGGGCAATCGGGCAATCTGCTTCCAGTATGCGACGTTGTTGCCGTTCCGCAGGCCACGGACTTGGCCTCACGCACCGAGAGTGCGGTACTCGGTGGGCACTGGGATGCAAGAGGTCCCAGGACGATCTATGCCACTGGTTGTTGTTTTTCAGCACTCTACGAGCACCCTCTCGGATGTTGTGCTTTCAGGTCTGGCACTGCTACGCCGGGTCTACCCCCAGACCAGCAAGGTGCAACAAGTGCAGAGAATGGGAGAAGCTGTAGACTCTGCCCTCCTCCCTCTCAGTGACTCATCGAGGTCCTGGGCCGGCACCTTCTCAGTGACCCACAGTCCATTGCAGCCCTGATGCAGATACTCCAGGCACGGGTTGCTCACACGCATCAGATTATGCGGGAGACAATCATAACTACAGTAGTGTAGAGATTTTTTGCCGGTTTAATACCGGGTCTTGTTTCGGGAGGAGGCTGGAGGCTCCAGCTGGGCTGATGCCCCAGAGGAGGCCGCTCTCTGCGCCGAATGTGCCCGACGCCTACACGAACATTCAGAGTTCCCTTGCCTCAAAGCGACACTTAAGAGCTGACCTGTGTGTGATCTGTGTGCTGAGGTGCATTTCCTTCGGCTCGTGACGGCAGAGGACGGCGACGTGCGCATGATCATCATCTTCCAGGATGGAGCTGAGGTGCCATCCCCATCGCGCACTCGTACAAGGTCGCATGTACAGGAAGTGTCTAAGTCTGTACATTGTACGTCCTGCAGCGTCTACTTTTTTTACATGTGGCACCGTGAGAGGCGCTTCTGGCAATTGCCACCCAGGCCCAAGTGCCCATTTGCGTTTATCTTCTCCTCGGACGAGTTTTCCATTCTTTTCAAAGCAGTCCTGATTCACTGATGCTGCGCAGAGGCCCTGAGTGCGGCCAGCGGCTCCTCAGGCACGGAAGTACTCTCACAGTGCCAGGGCGCTCCTTTGCCCTTTGCCTTTTGCCCTTGGCCTCCCTTTGCCTCCCTTTATCGCATGGTCTTTTTGAGGCTCGGACGCGGCCGCGGCTCCAGCAAAAGAGAGCACTCTAAAAGAGAAGTTAGAGAGAAGTTTGAGGTGGTGTTGAGGAGAAGTCTTGAGAAGCGCTTCTCTTGATAAGGGGAGAGGAGATGAGAGGAGAGATCCCTAGGCTTCAGCTTTCCTGGGCCTGGCCGGGGATGCTTGCGTGCGGAGCCACAAGCGGTACAGGGGCGGGGGCAATGTTTACAAATCTGTGAGCAAATATAGGGTTTGTCATTTAGGGTTCCGGGTTCAGTTTAGGGTTTGGGGTGCATCTGGGGGGTTATGGGCCTTTCCACCACGGCCCTAGAGGGACTGGGAAATTTCGGAGGTAGATGCCCAATGTGAAACCGGACGCAGCCAATATTCCCTTCCAGAGCCCAACTTGAAACTTGGATCCGGACGAACTTCCCCCCTTCTGCTTGAGCCCAACGCATGGGTAGAACTGCAACGTCTCGCTGTTTTGTCTAATTCACATATCAGATCTTCAAGCTCCACAGATTCCAGCTGCAAGGACACCAGCTGCGAAATTGAATTGTCCAAGGCGTGCTTTCGCTTCACATGTTCGATTCAGGGAGGTTAGCAAGGACAGCGGCTTCAAGTTCTGCCGAGTTGTCTCATGCTCTTATTCCATATGATTATCCCATGTTATCCCTGTTCCAGCCTGTTCCACTCGAAGCTCGCGACCAGTGCCTGAAGGTCCCAGGAACACTCACTAAGTTGACTGCCCCTTCTGGTACCTTGAACTATGAGAGAATATACCACGAAACCCCGGAAGTAAGGCAGTAAGGGCAGACAAAACTTGGAGTTATCTAAGTCGAATAGATCGCATGAGTCGATGAGGTCTGTGTTCAGCAGCTGGTCGGGCAGGGCCCGGTCGCGCAGAAGTACATGCGGGAGGCAACAGATCAAGACCTGCCACCCTCGCCCCCCCGTTTCCCCTGTTCATTTCTGAGTGATTATTCAGTGTGGGCTTTGCACAGCACATAGTTCTAGATTATGCACATACCAAGGGTTGAAGGGCTAGGCACCTGATCACTTGTAAACCGAACGAGTTTCCTAATCTTGCAGCCTCTCCTTGTTCACCGTTCACTTCGGGGATATCTTCATGATTCCAAGAAATGTTATGGCGGGAACTGAGCGGTTAATTGAGACACAAGAGTTCATCACAGGTTCATTCCGGGGTTCTTTCGCCGCTTGGAAATAGAAGTACCGTCAAGGTATGTCAACCGGTCCATTTGTCTCACTTCGAGCACGCATTGACTGGAGAACACGCCCTTGATAAGCCTTGGAACTGGGAACGCGAAGTGTGCCAGCTGCTGAGATTTGTCGAGAAGTGAATAAGGGCTTGAGACGACCAATGTTTCATAGAGGACCATTTGGGGGTCTTTAGGGGGAGAGAATGAGCAGAGGCCGCTGTGGTTTTTACTCGCGATCCGCGTGGTTTGGGCGGATGTCCGTTCCCCAAAAGTACCGCTTATGTGGCACGTTGCGAGGCAGGGCACCTGGCAACCGTCACGCGCACTCTCCGCTGTGTCTTCGCCGCGCTGGCGCTGCAGGCCATGCCTGCATGCAACTTGTGCATGCAGTCCACTCACAATACGCAGTCCAAGCACTTCCTGCGATGCGTCAAGGCGCCAGGGAGTTGCTCTGCTTGGACGACGGGGCTTCAGGCTGGGAGTGCATCACGTTAGTATCACGTTGCATCAGCTGTGCCTGAAGATGCCTGATGTGTTACGAGGCTGCAGCCACGGTACTGCTGGACCTCACAGGGAAAGAGGGGAAAGAGATGGAAAGAGGGTCAGGCGTGACTTGAGATGACCCGTCGAACATGGCAGGACACTCTGGCAGCCTTCGTCACTAAAGCCGGTGCTGAGGCGAATCGTAACAAACATTCTCGTGTTAGCTCGGAAGAACGTTGCGACAGTGTCGTTGTTGTAGGGGTGTGGGATGGTGTGGGGAAATGGGTGACTGCTGGGGGCAAGGTGTTGCACAGATCTCGTGTGCATTTGATGAGACACAACTTGTGACATTTCGCCCGCGAGGCGGCTGGCAACTCGAAGGCCTTGGCAGGATGCCCATCTCTGTGCTGCATCTCTGTGCTGCTTTTTACAAATTCCCGAAAGCATCGCGAAGGGTTCTTCCGTGCGGAGCCCCCTGACACAACAACATAGACTGAAGTGCATAGAGTGAAGTGCATAGAGTGAAGTGCATAGAGTGAAGTGCATAGAGTGAAGTGCATAGAGTGAAGTGCATAGAGTGAAGTGCATAGAGCGAAGTGCATAGAATGAAGTGCATAGAGCGAAGTGCATAGAGTGAAGCGCATAGAGCAAAGTGCATAGAGTGAAGTGCATAGAGGCAAGTGCACAGAGTGAAGTGCACAGAGTGAAGCGCATAGAGTGAAGTGCATAGAGTGAAGTGCATAGAGTGAAGTGCATAGAGTAAAGTGCATAGAGTGAAGTGCATAGAGTGAAGTGCATAGAGTGAAGTGCATAGAGTGAAGTGCATAGAGTGAATTGCATAGAGTTTAGTAATCAGTGAATACAAATTTCTAGATTTACGTAGAATTTACTAGACCTTCGTACCCAGTCCTAGATTTCTAAATTAAAATTACTCTTTCTAAGGCGGCGGGCTGGGTTGACATCGCCAATCGGGATTGCAATCCTCTGCGGGTTTCGGCGTGGTCGCGGCGCTAAAACCGTCGTTTTTTTACGTTTCTTGATTTGCGCGGACAACCCTCTGCGGGTTTCGGCGTGGTCGCGGTGCCAAAACCGTCGTTTTTTTACGTTTCTTTGTGGCCGCGGACAACCCTCTGCGGGTTTCGGCGTGGTCGCGGTGCCAAAACCGTCGTTTTTTTACGTTTCTTTGTGGCCGCGGACAACCCTCTGCGGGTTTCGGCGTGGTCGCGGTGCCAAAACCGTCGTTTTTTTACGTTTCTTTGTGTCCGCGGACAACCCTCTGCGGGTGATCGCCGAGTCGCGGTGCTAAAACCGTCGTTTTTGGAACTTTTTTCCGTGGCCGCAGACAACCCTCTGCGGGTTTCGGCGTTGGCGCGGTGCCAAAACCATCGTGTTTTGGCCTTTTTTGACAAACAAACGTAACCCCTCTGCGGGTTGCGGCGTTGGCGCGTGGGCACGGAACTCTGGGGCTTTGAAAACCTCGCAAATAACATGGGCGCGGAATTCTGGGGCTTTGAAAACCTAGCAAATAACGTGGGCGCGGAATGCTGGGGCTTCGAAACCCTCGCAAATAACGTGGGCGCGGAACTGTGGGGCTTCGAAATCCTCGCAAATAACGTGGGCGCGGAATTGTGGAGCTTCGAAATCCTCGCAAACAACTTGGGGAACATGGGCGCGGAACTCTGGGGCTGTGAAAACCTCGCAAATAACATGGGCGCCGAATTCTGGGGCTTTGAAAACCTAGCAAATAACGTGGGCGCGGAATGCTGGGGCTTCGAAACCCTCGCAAATAACGTGGGCGCGGAACTGTGGGGCTTCGAAATCCTTGCAAATAACGTGGGCGCGGAATTGTGGAGCTTCGAAATCCTCGCAAACAACTTGGGGAACATGGGCACGGAACTCGCAACTAACGTGGGCGCGGAACTCTGGGGCTTTGAAAACCTCGCAAATAACATGGGCGCGGAATTCTGGGGCTTTGAAAACCTAGCAAATAACGTGGGCGCGGAATTCTGGGGCTTCGAAACCCTCGCAAATAACGTGGGCGCGGAACTGTGGGGCTTCGAAATCCTCGCAAATAACGTGGGCGCGGAATTGTGGAGCTTCGAAACCCTCGCAAACAACTTGGGGACGGTGTGTTCGAATTCGCTTCCAAAACCATTGCGAAAACCATGGTCCCCGAAGTTGCTGTTTCCAAAACCATCGCAAACACCATGGTCCCCGAATTCGCTGTGTCCAAAACCATCGCGAAAACCATGGTACTCGAATTCGCTGTTTCCAAGACCATCGCGAAAACCATGGTCCCCGAATTATTCGCTATTTCCAAAACCCCAAAACCATGGCAAATATCAGCCATGCAGGGGAGCGGGAAAAAAAGTGATCTCGATTTGGAGGGAAGGCAACCAGTCCTGCGCTCAGACTCGTCTCTCTGTGGGAAGTGATCAGTGGTTGCTAACATGTTTGGGCGATGTCCGATTTGGACGTCCTGGGGCGCGCCGACGTCAATGAAGGGGAGAAGGCATCCCGCACTGTGTGTCGGTGCTAGCGTTCGTGTGCTGTATGTCTGTTGTTTTGTGCTGTTGCTGCGTGTAGGTGGTGTCACGACATCAAGAAACACGAGAAGGCATCCTGCGCTGTCTGCGTGTGCCGCATGCGTAGCACTGAATTCACGCTTTGACATTTTGCTGTGTGGACCACCTCATGATGCGTTGCTGTACATGCGTGCGTGCTAGCTTTGGCCCGAGAGGCGCTATTGAGTGAAACCTTGGCGCCAGCTTGGACGGTGCGGTTTTTTGTAGGTCCAGGCATGTCGTACGCCGGCGGGGATGCTATGCAGACGCTGCAGCGTGGTTTCCGTGCTAAAGGTGCAGGTTGGCTGCGCCAGGAGCTTGCGAAAAAGACGGTCACGCAGCTGCGCGAGCTTGGTGGCGCTGCAGGCATACCGCGGCGCTCTGACGGGCGCGTGCGAAACAAAGAGGAGCTTGTGCACGCTCTGTCGCAGCGCATTTCCGAGCAGGAGGCGTTGTGGGGAAAGCCTCTCTTTTGTCCTGTACATTCTTGGTTTCCTTGTTCTGCAAGGGTGTGTCATATCGTTTGCATTCCTAGGCAGGTCAGGGGTCTTGATTTTCGTTGCTTGGAGCTTGCTTCAAGCGGCGCGTGCGCAGTGTCTCTTGACTAGGGCAGTTTCCGGCTTTTCTTGTCGACCTTCGAACAGGATGAAGCTGGCCCTGCGCTGCAGCAAGAGCTGCAGGGCCTGCGAGAAGGTTTTGCTGCTGACGGCGTGGCTTGGCTGCGCGGGGAGCTCGCGAAGCAGACTGCCCTGCATTTGCGTGAGCTTGCTGGGGCTGCGGGCGTGCAGCAGCGCTTTGAAGCTGGCCTGCGAAACAAAGAGGAGCTTCTGCACGCTCTGTCGCAGTGCATTTCCGGGCAGGAGGCGTCATGGGGAAAGCTTCTCTATTGCCCTGCGCAGTGTCTCTTGACTAGGGCAGTTTCTGGCTTTTCTTGCCAACCTTCGAACAGGATGAAGCTGGCGCTGCGCTGCAGCAAGAGCTGCAGGGCCTGCGAGAAGGTTTTGCTGCTGACGGCGTGGCTTGGCTGCGCGAGGAGCTCGCGAAGCAGACTGCCCTGCATTTGCGTGAGCTTGCTGGGGCTGCGGGCGTGCAGCAGCGCTTTGAAGCTGGCCGGCGAAACAAAGAGGAGCTTCTGCACGCTCTGTTGCAGTGCATTTCCGGGCAGGAGACGTCATGGGGAAAGCTTCTCTTTTTTCCTGCGCAGTGTCTCTTGACTAGGGCAGTTTCAGGCTTTTCTTGTCAACCTTCGAACAGGATGAAGCTGGCGCTGCGCTGCAGCAAGAGCTGCAGGGCCTGCGATAAGGTTTTGCTGCTGACGGCGTGGCTTGGCTGCGCGGGGAGCTCGCGAAGAAGACCGTCAAGCAGTTGCGGGCGCTGGCTGGGGCTGCGGGTGTGCAGCAGGGCTCTGGCACGTCTTCTGGGCCGACAATGTCCGACGCGGAGATGTGCTGGATTCGACAGAGGCAGCTCGACATCTCCACAAAATACAATGAGGGACCTTGGTCAGACATGGACTATACTGTTTGGAGAGCTTCCTACAACCTGGGCGACATCTCCGACTGGCCTCTCGATGCCGTGGTGGTGCGGTCTGCGAAGCCTGGTGAGAGGTGCTTGCTGGGCAGCGTGCGCTCGGCTGCCGACATCTTCCACGTCGAGGTCAGCACCAACACTTCTGTGACGGTTGTGGTGAGCGTGTGCCGGCCAGCAGAGCTGCGAGTCAGGGGGGCTCCCCAAGACTGGCGCGAGCACTTTTCCCGCTCTGGTGTGCGGCACGCCCAAGTTGAATTGGACGACCCCAGAATCAAATGCAACCGGGATGCTTCCTGGTTCTTCGACAGCGCAGAGCGGTGCGCCCAGGCTTGGACAGACATGGCTCAGACTTTGCGCACTCTGCGCGAGCAGTGCCAACAGGCGGGCGAGGAGTTCAACGTGCTCTTCCATTGCTTCGGTGGCATTAATCGCAGTCCTGCTGCCCTCTGCGCTTGGCTGGTGCTGGACGGCCAATGCAGCGCAGATGAAGCTGTGGACTGCATCTTGTCGGCTCGGCCAGCTCTGCAACCGTGGAAATGCAGAGATTATGCTCTCTTGGCTTTGCACCGCCTGCAGAACTCTCGCTAGTTTGAACCCTTGCTTACTCCCCTCAACGCTGTCTTGCGAAAGGGTCTTTCGCGTGTACCAGCCCAAGATATAAAAAGCAAAGCTGCTTGGCCTCCTGCCTGCGCCTCAACATGCACACATATGCGCCGTCACACATTCCATCGGATGCTCTACACGCATGCGTGTTGTCTTGGACCAGCGAAGGTGCCTGCCGCGACCAGGCAGTGGACTTCGGTGCGCAGCCTCAGTGCCACTCTGCTGCTGCTTGATGGTGCACTGAAGCGGAACCGCAGCATGGCCCCTCGCCGAAGCATTGGCCCTAGTGACTTCCAGGTGGTATTTTGCCAGGGCCGAATGGACGCTGTCTTGCGAAATTTCCGTCTGCAAGAGACGGACACCTCCGCCGCAGCTGAAGATGGGCACGTATATTCTGGTGTAAGGTATCAGAACCTACGTTGCTTGATTCCTGTAGT